AACAGGAATATATTAAAGTAACAAATTGCTTTTTATCGCGAATTTGAAGAAATTGTTGTCACACATTTTGCAAGTGGTTTATTCAAAGTTTTATATATAGGATAAATGAATGTGAATTCGCAACATTTCATTACTTGCGTCGAACACGTAACACCGAATTATGTAATGCATACTCTATCGGCTAACAATTGTTTTTTATATTTCATTGCCACATAAGGTATCCATCCCTATCGAAGATAGCCTCCCACAATTTTTTTATTCCGAAGATGTGAAACTTTTTTTAATTTTCTCCGATGGGTTCGAGTGAATATAATATAGACCATGTTAACAGAAATTATCCGATGTGAATTTAATGGGTATCTTCAGCGAGAACAACAATTTATTTATCTGGGTATTTACTATTGAATCGTTAATACAACACCTTACACCCTAATTCCGGGTTTCTGTTATAAATAGCCAAGTATTTACCCAAAAATTGGGTATATACTCATTAACTGGCGAACCACTTGACATTGTTGGCTCACCTGTTTTAAATGTAAAAGCGAATACTGGGTTCAAGTTTTGATATGGCCCCATATAACCATACCTCCCGATTTAATATATTTTTTGTCTATTAGATACACTTTACGATCGAATCGATGAAGGTCCACGTTTTCTGTTAGCCCCCATACAAAGGTACCCCTATTTGGCTCAGATGGATTTTATATCAATATCAATACAACTACTGATATGGGAAATGATATAGCTCCCATATAACCTTCCGATTTAATGTATTTTGGTGTGTATTAGACACATTCTACGAACAAATTGGCTGCAATGTTATCAATTTTTTATTGATTGGATTGGAGTTAACCGGGCCAAAACATATGCAACACTGACGGATTTAAAAATATCGTTATTTTAGTTATCATAGTTTATATTTTTCGCAGTTCCAGTATTCTTGAGTGTTAAGAGGTAATTTTAATAAAACCACCTAGTATAATTATTCAGACGTAATTCTTATGAATATTGAGAAATGTAATAAAATAAATTCTAATGTGACAATTAATAGTAAATATTGTTGAAATACAAATTTAAAAATATTTTTGTTTAGGTTTTGCTGTTATCCATGGCATAATTACAGACGGTAGTCTCATTTGCGAAATTAATAATGACAACCCTTTTTAATTTGGAACTCATTTATCAATTTCAGATTGTTTTAATAATAAATTTCATAAAATTGTATGCATGTCTATTGGCATATTTTTTATAAAATAAAAATGTATATTTTCTAAAGATTTTAAGTATTTTAATATGAACAATTCTATTCATAATTGCATATAAATATGCATGATATGTACTTACTTATATTTCAATCCGGACTTGCGGTCAATAAAATGCAATGTAATAAATAGCTGAATTTTTTGATCCACATTGTTCATAAGCTATATCTACAGATGCTACAACTTATTTTTATAGATTATAGAGGCTGGGAACTTCGAAATATTACACATTTTGTAATTATTGAAGGAGGATATTTTCATTTAAATTTTGAATGCAAATTTATGAAATATTTACAAATACTGTAATTGTAATTATTTTCCTTTATTCTGTGAAAAAATCAAATCAAAAATTTTACTAGACAATATAACAAGGTATTGCATTGGAAAAGCTACGCCTAACTAACTATCTGGCAGGCGTAATTTTTACGAATATTGAGAAATGCAATAAAATAAATTATTTTGTAAGTGTTAACCCTACGATCAATAACCGGGTACATTTGTAATTTTTTTAATAAAAATGTTTTAAAATGTTCATGTTCAAGTAGGAAGGTTTCTTTTTAAGGGTCCATTGTATGTTAGGTATTCCGAAACGTGGATCAACTGCTAAATTGCAACACTAATTACTGTTTTCGTCCAAAGTCAACTACCAATTTTCATCGAATTTCGATGGATACTAATGAATTTAAATTTAAAAAGGCGAATTTTTCAAATGTTGCGCCAGGCTTCTCGGGCTTTTGAACCACACAAAACGGCATACGCGTTTGTATCCCTCAACATGTCTTTAGTTGTGAAAATCATAAAAGAGTTCAATGCAATAAATTCAAAATAAGATGTTCATCGATTTCTATGACCAATGCCTCATTTTCTTCAGAAGTCGGGGGGTTTAAAAAAATTATACTTTTTCCGTTTTGGATACGCATGATTCAAAAAATAAAACATAATTTCCAAATGGATATTGCCGACATTCAGCAAACGAGCGTTCGCACACACATTACGAACTAGTACGAGCACACAGGAGCTATGGATCATTGCGTTGGCGATGAATTCTGCAATCGCCAATGACAACGAACGATCGCAAATGCGAACTCTCAAACAACAACAAACGTTCTTGAACGCAATTGTAGTTGGACATGTGGGATAACAATAACACTTTCTGTGCACACTCATTCATTCGTTGTGTTTGTGTGTGTTTACATTTGTATGATCTTTTTGTTTGTTGTTGTTTTTAGTGGTGGTCGCGAACATTCTCATTGATAAATTGAGAGTAGAGTTGGAAAACGAAACGAAAAGTATGAAAAGGTACCTTACATTTCACTTCACTTCAAATGATTATAAATCATAATTATCAAGAAATATTGACCAATATTTATACCAGTTATTTGTATAAAACATATATATTATAATTTAAGCGTAAATGAATTCACGAATAATAAAAAAAAACAAATTTTTGTCTTGTTAATTTTGTTATGTAAATTGGTACTTTTTGTGAACAAAAAGTAAGCTTGTTACAAAATTTAAAATATCACAACTCTAATTACTTTCATTTTACCAATGAGAGAGAAAAAACTCTCATGACAACTGGTGTAAAGTACGCCTTACAAATGAACGTTCTTCAGCAACGAACGCTCTTGAAAGATCGAGTCAACGACGCTTGCAGCAAAGTTATATCGTTCGTGGATTTTTCGTACAATGCGAACTTCCCAAAATCATACGTTAGTGCAAAAGGTTAGAAACGTACTCTCATTTGTTCTATTTTCCTAAGCGCTCTTTTACACTATTCGTCATGGGCATTTGTCACGAGAGTATTTCTCTCTCTCTCATTAGTAAATTGAGAGTAGAGTTGGAAAACATTGCCACAGGTAGGACCAAAAAGTACGAAGAGATACCTTAAATTTTATTTCATATGATAATAAATCATAATTATCGAGAAATATTGACCAATATGTATTAAATGTATAACGGATAATAAAAAATATACATTTTGTTTTGGTACATTCATGTAAACAATCAAAAAATTTTGGGCGTAAACAACCAACAATTTGAACGCGAACGGATTCAAAGCCGAGCATTTTTCCAAATCTATGTACCAAAAATCATTGGCTGTATTGCCCATACTTATACAAATATAACATATGCACTGCATTCCACCACCTCCATTCCTGATTATTTTCCCAATTGTTTATGTTAGAAATGGTTAATTACAATAAATCAGTCTGCACCGTTTATTAGGCCAAACCTACTTAATAGGCTCACCATGTTAAACTAGTCGCCATTTCCGTATATCAACAAAAATACAATAGTCAATTGGTTGTTGTTAAAAACCAGTTTGAAACAATTGTCTAAAAGCAATGAGGACCGAATATTTACTCTTACCTACACGTCTGTCAACAGCAGAAGTCATCATCAAAAATACCAGTCTTGCTACACAATCATCCCAAAACCAGACGGTTATAATGTACATAAACGTATGTCCTCCTATTATTTTATGCGCCAATGCTGTTAGTTGGTCGCTATCCCCCTGTTAAACTAAGAGTTTTTTCATATTTTCATCAATTTCCCTCTCGTAACAGTTTCCATGGGTTGGATACACGACGAGAAATATATAAATCATGCCCCGACATTTATTTTCAAAGTTCAATAAACAACGCGGACCGTGGCGGTGTCTTATTGTTTGGTAACGCTAATACCCTTGTGTACACTTGAATTTTCAAATTAATAAAATGTATATTGTGAGTACTGCAACATGTAACATTAGTCTTGAAAGTGGCAAAGGCTCTAGTAGTGATTTATAGTGTTTTTTGTCTGTATTCATGTGGTCACCAGATTTAATATAATTGGATACAGCCTAATAAGATTGTACTTCCTAAACCTGCTGAAAAGGTTATAAATCGATTTTGATAAATAACGAATCGTGATTATGAAATTCGATGGACACAATGTATTCGAGTGTATGAGAACAATTAGTCAATTGTTTTAGACAAAACGCCAATGAATGATAACACGATGTTCCAATGGTTATAATTATGTAATAAAGTTTAAAATTAAAATAAAACAAACATTTACAAAATTATAGGACTATCAGCCTTATTCTGTACATTCGCTAGGGAGTGACTTCTCAATTGAACAATGTTTTTTGAACTTTTGTTATTGATTTTTCTAACAACGACTTTTATTTTTTATTGTTATTTAAACTTTTTAAAACAAAAATTCGAATTCGAATTTCGCCGTAAAACTGATTTTTTATAAAAATAAATACAATGTATGAAAATGTGGCAAAATGCGCGGCATGACGACAGGAACTGCATTGGAGTGAAAGAAATATCAAATAATTGGAATTTATCTGCGAGATATAATTAATTTGCAGTTTATTATTTCATTACATAATTTTGTGCCTTTTTATTTAATTTCCATATGTTATCCTATTTATATTATTCAAAATGATAAATGAATAACTACTATGGGGATATTTTTCATGTCCACCAAGGGGTAAGGAAGGCTTTTGTTGCGGATGTCGCCACTGAAGGGAAGGCTTTTGTTGCGGATGTCGCCACTGATCCTCATCAGTAGGATTGGCGAGTTATTGGGGATACCATTTAATTTTCTTATTGCAAAATAGTCAGGAGTAATCCCAGTTTGTTTATTAGTGGGGGAATGGAAATACGACGAAGATCGTGTGCCCAGCATTTCGCCTATGATATAAATTCTGCAACTTCAGTATATTTTTGCTTTATTTCGCAGGTACATTGTGTCTTAATAACAACTTGGTCAATAATTGTATTGACATCAGCAAACATATTTGACTATGGCACTAAGATTGGAAAAACAAATGGATTTCTGCAATTTGGAATTCGCACGAAAAGAAATGCTCCGAATCCTGAAAAACGGGATATAAGCTTGGCTTATTCTGCAACAAACATAAATTCCAAAGAGGGTACACAGGTAAAAACTGTAACAGTGATCAAAAACATAGGAACTGACAGAAACTCTGGAACACTGCAAATAAAGCCAGAATTGTCTAAAAGCGAGGTATGGACAAACACATTCAAAGACAATTTCCACGGCTATGGAGTAATACCAGACGTCCCTGACGTTGAAGATCTCTTCGAGTATGTGAATAAAAAACATATTGTCGTAGAAAACAATAAGGAGCATAGCAAAAGTGGCGGTGATGAAATGAAACAAAAGAATAATGTTACACCAAAGCAAACAGAAAAACCCACATTCGAAGAATCGTCTGAGGAGTTTGTGGAAAAAATTGAGGGCGATGCTGAACTTTTGCCGAAAGTCAACACTAGCAAATTGAAAACACGCGAATCTTTGGTAGATTTTAACTATTCCACACCTCAACATTCAGTACACCAGTATTTTGATAATTATGTCCAATTGAATCCCAGTCATAATATCGGGTATAGTTACCCCAAGCCGTGTATACACGAGCAACCTGTCGGAAGTGAAGTGGTGGTCACTCCATCGGGAAAAACGTATAATATTCCAAAAAACAATACGAATGCAGATATAAACCCGTATTTGGCACCTTCCGTAACAAGAAGGCCCCAAATTAGTCAGCAGACACAATCAACCGTTGGACAAACAAAAGCTCCTGTTTTCCCCATAAACTCATTGTTACCGCCATTGCAGCAGCAGCAACCAGGTCCCGTCATACAACAATCAAACACATTGGTTACCCAACAACCTACATCCGCCTCGCCACAGCAACAACAAACAAATAATCAACAGCAATCTCAATCGTTACTTCCGTCAACAAGCCAACGTCCATATGTTGCACCCAATCTACGATCAGGGTTGAATGCAGTCAGTCGCGGACCAGCATCAACCGCAATTGCTAGTGTTGGCTCTCCATCAAATCGAGTATATCGAATCAATTCATACAATACGATATTTAGGAAGCCCAATGCTTCCAGGTCACGAGGCTTGAAATATTAAATATTTGGAGAAACCAATGCTTACCTTGAATGTTCAGTAGCATACATGTACATTCCCACATACACTTCGGTTCACACGAACATCAATTCAAGCTTCGAAGTACTTTGCTTGGATTTTCTTAATTTATCGAAACAGTGCTGCTGATGGTTCTAAATTTATACACCATTGTCAACAAGTTGGAATACGGCTAAAGTACGGGACTTATGCAGTTAAAATATTGTAGTGAAAAGTTTAGAGTCTGAATTATGGCAGACAATGTGAATACATATCGTCACCTAAAATGCAAACGGACGTAACTACATAAAAAATCAAAATTGAGATTATTTGTTTTATCCAACTACATGTTCACAAAAAAAGGCGAGTTGATTTCAGAAATTCATATATTTATAACTTGGAAAAATTGCAATAAAAACTTTGTATTTTTGTACATTTTAGGTGACAATATATATACAGTAAAATCTCACTAATCGGGACAATTTATTGCAGACCCTAATCCAGATTACCAATTTTTCCGGATAATCATTTAATTTTTTGTTGAATTAATTATCATTAAAAAGTTCGAGCAACAAATTAAACTTTAAATATAATAGGTGTACCATTTTCACTGAAATATGTAAATTTTTATGTGAGCCCTATACGGGAGGCGTCGCGCAAAAATAGTACATTGATCAGGAAAACATTCACATTTTGTTTTTTAATTGTTACATTTAGCAAAATGTTTTCTAAAAGTATTTTTTTCTGTTACCCTTTAGAGCATTGGGGTTCCAGAACGGATCGCCAGCTTACGCGGTTAGCAAAATATATAATTATTGTATTTAAAATTACTAAGAAATCATGTTTTCACAAAATCGTGGCAAATTTATGAACATTGTGTGTGTAAGCTTAACAGTTTATACTTTTAGATAAATCTAAAACATCTACCGACGAATTCAATGTATACTTACTTGCCAAGTCATTTCCTTTAAAAAGTTAGTTTATAAATAACGAGTACAATTCGGCTAATTGTTCACTCACATATAAGCTCTGAGAAATCTGTCCGGCACACCTCCAAACATTCAAATCATAGAAATAGCATGTTCTTATAACTTCCACAACGGTCTCTGCGTGAAATTATCACAGTATATACACAAATTTGCTGAATCACATATTTCGAAATCTTGTGTAGTTTTGCTCTTTTTAGCAATGGAATAAATGTAAATGGGGTTATACTTACGGTTGATTGTTATAACATTTAGTATAGTTTAGTTTCTATTTCAACAAATATACTCTAAAACTGGGAGTTAAACTTAATTTTGCAAAACACTTCATCATGGTCCGATCAAAAAAACACTAAGGTCTGATTGTTTATTCATCAAAAATTGCATTCTCGGGAGCAAGAAATTTTATAAATGTTATGTAATAATTATATTTTACCAACTTATGTTAAAGTATGGCGCTGAATACAAATTTAGACAATACATTATAGTCATAAGTATTACTTACTATTATTAACACTCTTTATTATAATGTTTGGAAAATAAGTATCAATAAATTAAAATTTGAATTTAAATTTGTTTATTAATTTATGTAGATCAACATTTCAAATATCTATGTGCATTTAATTTCATGTTTTACACAAAAATTAATACTGTCTCTTTGATTTGTTTAACTCAGAACTCGTATATAGACCTTTAATGGGTTATCCATAAAAAATTGGAATTCGCTGCGTAAAAATGATATAGCAGAAAGTCACACTTTGGACTGTCACAAATATGTGATTGAAACGATAGATTTTAAAAATTATAAATTAAAAAAATAACACTGTTTCATTCGCTTCCAATTTAAATTTTTTCAGAAGGAATATTTATTGTAATTTTTTTTTAGACGAAAAAACACCTCTACAAATTAGATTCACAATGACGAAATCAATTGTCATTTTTAATCGCGAAAATCGCTGTGTCTATTTGTATTTTCAGGAAAATTTACTCAGTAGTATCTTTCAGAGGGTAATCCAATTATGTTCTCGGTTGCAAAAATACAGTAAAAAGTAAAAATACAACATCATGTACGACTTTACAACGTTACCTAAATTTCAACGAGGCATACAAAAATATTCAACTTCCCCACTATGGCAAAATGGTTTGTACGGCCGTATTACCCAAACACGTCGAATCGATATATTTTCGCGAATTAAAGAAAATCCCGAAACAAAATTAAAAAATTATAAAATGTATTTAAATATTTCACATTCTTATTAAACATTTTATATTCTTCTTCTTTTTGTTTTGTTTATATTTTCAACAAAAGAGAAAAACAAAATTACGTTCTGTCATATGGTCTGTTCCAGTACTTTTTTAATAGTAAATCTAGTAAAGAGAAACATTTCAAAATTGCTTTCAGAGTACAAAATAATTTGAAAAGTTCGGGAACGCAAAGCTAGTAAATATGCCAAAATTAGATGGCAATACATACTTCAAAATCAACATAACAGCCAATCAGAAGTAGGCATTCCTGTTTACCATTTTTACTCGCCCAAATTTCTTGAATAAAAAGAATCTACTACTTTTTACTACGATAACGAAATTTCCTTTATGTTATAGAAGAAAATAGTAAAATCTAGTAGATTCTTGCAGTACGGGTACAGACCAATTCATATAAATACATGTGTTCTACTTATGTGGTGAATAACGTCGAACGGTCTAGTAGAATTTTAGGTAGGACTGTTACTTTTGTAAACTAACAATACAATTACATTAACAAAATTTAAAATTATATAGTTGAGGACCAAAATGTATACAGTGTCAATTTGTGAATACAGCCTAATCGCTTCGTAATCGAATCAAGTTATTTTTGAATAAAAAAAGTGATTCTTCGCCGTTTTTGCATTTGATTTTCTGGATATTGGACTTTTATTTTTCTGAGAGAATGTACTGTATACCCCGAATTCAAGGATGTAGCGATGTTCAACTAGTATCACTCTCTCAATAAAAATGAAATTTATCCCAGTTTTAGAAGCAATCGTCTAAATTTACGTTATAATTAATGAAAATCAGCAAATTAACATGTTTTAGTATTCCTTTCTACTTTTATAAAAATTTAAATTTAATGTTGACAGAACAAAGCGAGGTGAATCACTTAAGGGGACCTCCCCATTCTTGAAGATTTAAAAGAAAATAAAAATAATTTGCAAAATTTGGTTCTTTTGGTTTTAACTCCTCACTGTTACATAGGAATCCGGAAATTCCAAGGGTGTTAGAAAGAGTAATGTCTGGCTCTCGAATGAACTAGGATTATTAACCTCGGTCAAAAAATTTACAAAATGGCGGACCTTAGATTTTTTTTTGAAACTCTCCTACTTTTGACCACAAACTAGTTAAAAAATAATGAAGTTCTTCACCGATTGGCTTTATCCTAGTTCAGGGGATAGCCATATACTCCCAGAGCAACGTGTCAAAATTTGGAATCATTCGTAAAAACACTGCTTCGAGAAAAATGCGTTAAAGTTTGAGAATCACTCTTGCCGTTACTTGAGGCTGACACAATAAATCGGCTATATCTTCAAGAGTTCTTGAGATTCCCACTTGAATGCGGTAATCCCCTTAAATCAACATACGCCAAAAGGAACCACATGAACGTATGGTTAAAACTTTGGAACCTCATATCTCCTGAAATCTTTGAAATATTTAATAAAAATGGCATTGGTGCCGGATTACAAGATTTCTTGTGGAAATCGGCATTTCCGAAGATATGGACCTCCAAAGATCCGTTGTGGCTGATGTTGAGTTTAGGGACCCATTTTACCACAGGTAGATCTCGTCTCCCTGATAACGAAAATATATGACTTTCATGGAGAAAGTCCACACTTCCCGGGATATGGACCTCAGAAGTTCCGGAATTCATATGCTCACAACTTCGCCACCGATGGTGGAAATATCGGCGGCTATTAAAAAAAATACAATTTAAAAGAAATATTCGGTAGCGTAGCCGAATTTTCCATCTGTCCACATGATAATCTTTAATATCCGGCCAAAGTCCGGCTATAAACAAAAAATGTTAGGGAACTTGTAATCGCATAGCCAAATTTTCACCTGTCTATAGGAGAAAGTTTTAAATATCCGTCCGAATGCCGGCTACTTTGGAAATTTATTAATTAAAACGAATATAAGTGAAAATATAATGTGTACTCTTAAAACACATATCAATATTACCTTCATCGATCCATAAATGACGATGTCATCAGCATAGGAATTGTGGAAATTCATCGGTCCATATCTCGGGAAGTTTGGAATTTCCCCATGAGTCATACCTGTGGTAAAAATTTCAGAAATGTCCGAGATGAGCCCATAAACTCAACTTGTCTCATTAATGAAATGGCAAAAAATGTTTTCCTGCATTTATTTAGCTAGCAACCAAACAATAACATTAATTCAGTACGCGTATTAAGCTTAGGTATACACAGATACATACATATATGTATTGTTCGTGTTTTATAACAAATCGTGTTACGACAAGCGAAAAAATGAACCTCAAATTGCAAATTACTACAATAAAAATTACCAGCAATCGATCAATGTATTGTATGTAAAAACCATCTGTCCCTCCAATATCCAAGTCTGAAATTAATGCGAACATGACATTTCATTGATAATTAACAATCGATGATCGCGAAACGTTTCACTTCAATATTCATTTAAGGTTTCAACATATTCTCTTATTTCTTAGCTCAAAGAATCCGTGCTCAAGCTTTACTTACCAGAGTCTTAAATACAAATAGCGCTACCAAATATGCGATAATAAAATGCTAAAATTAGTTCTTTTCCTTTTTATTTTTAACAATAAAAAAATAAAATGTCTTGGTTAATGAAAAACAGCCACAGAAATGCTGTGTGTATTGAGAATAGACACTAGGGATAAGTAAATCGACTTTCGACTAATCGTCTTTTTGTTTTGAACATGGCCTATAAATAAGGTCACCAAGGGAGACCAGCTGATAATCGATACCTCTCAAGTTTGCTGTCCAAATGCATTATTGTGAATTGACTTCCATTACGAAAACGTAAACAAAGTCGAAATTTTTGACATTAGACTTGAGAAAAAACAGCTGTTTTCCGATTTCGATTGCTATCTTGGTGACCTTATTTATAGGCCATGGACAAAAACAAGACATATGGCCTATAAAGTACGAAAAGGTACCTCAAATTCTACTTCAAATGATAATAAATCAAAATTATCGAGAAATATTTGCCAATATTTATACCAGTTATTTGCATACATAATATATGTTATAATTTAAGCGTAAATGTATTCACGAATAATAAAAAAATCTAATTTTTGTTTTCGTACGTTTATGTCAATTCGTACCTTTTGTGAACAAAAAGTACGCTTGTTACAAAATTAAAAATAGCGCAACTCTAATTACTCTCTCAAGAGAGAGAAACTCTCAACACCGATCCCGATCCCGACAAATATAAAACCACGCTTATTTGGGTAATATTTTAGTACGGGGCGCAAAAAATTAGGTACGACCTTAATGTCAAAAATTTGAAAATTGTTTAAGGCGCGTTTAGAATATAGCCTTCATCGTAATAATGTGCATTATCGAATATGGGTTCACCCATGGTATAATTATTACTCATGGTTCACCCATGGTATAATTATTACAAGGTAGGGCACAGCTACCAACTGATTACAATTGTTTCTCAATACATTGTCAAATAAATTGAAATATATTCAAGTTTAATTGAAATGAAAATACATTACTTTGTTACGGATGAAACAAACATTTTATGGTATTCCCTACTGGATTTTGGGAAGAAATCATAACATTTCATTCATTTTTCGCGAATTTAGTTTTGTGTTGAAAATATTTCAAATAAACACAAACACTTGTTGCGTATATTTATTTTATTTTTGGAAGAAGAGGCCACACGTGCATTGTTGCTTTTTTGTTATTCAACTCAAGCTGCCCTACCTTGTATTATTGTACCATGGGTTCACCCAAATTAACATTTATTAAAGTACATTTACATATACGATTTTAAATCGACTCGATTAACGAAATCCAGAAATACACCCTAATTGTTTACACATACCCTTAATCATGATCTAAATGCCGATCAGCTGATGTTTGTTAGTATACATACAAAATTATTAATTTGCGGCAAAAATATTTGTTTGCAATTTGAAAAAGAATAGAAGAATTACCACAATGGAAATGTTTTTGCAATACTGTGATCGTTTGGAAAGTAAAAAAACACCTAAAAACACAAAAATTCTATAATTAATTTTTATTTTCCTTTGATCTGTCATTTTTGTATTTGTCACCCGTTAAATTTAAAAACAAACGGCATGTAAAACAGTTGCAAATTTTGGTACATTGTGAGAGAGTTGTATTTTTTCGTACAAAACCCGCGATGCATCTCAGTAGTATCATGATTTCGATCATGATTTAAAATAAATCCTGCTGCACGATGATTTAAATTTGTGTGGTAAATCATGGTAAATTTAGCCTGATTAAGAAAATAAACCCTGATTCAGCCTTTAATCATGATTAAATGTTATATGTAAATTCGCTTTTAGTCCGCTTTTCCACAGGCAGATTTTTATTTGGCAAATTTTTTGTTTTCTCTTTTGAAATTTTCGCTTGCTTTTCCATTAGCAAATTTTTCTTTGCCAAATTTGCGAATCAAAATACAAAAGAAAGAAAAAAAAACCGTCAAAAGTGTTTGCATTTTAAAGTTTTTTTTAATATATTTTTTTTATTTTTTATATATTTTATTATATATATATATTTCAAAAATTAAATTTCACTTGCACAAATTAAAACAACAGGTTTGTAAACAAAAGCCGGCTGTGTGTCAGTAAAACGAATAGGTTAAAAAACAAATGTCAACAAAATTGTTTTCAACGAACAGACCAAAGCAGAATTTGCGTGTACCGCAAATTCTGAACAGGCAAAGTTTTATTTTTCTTCCTCTCACCCCTCTCGCCTACAAACTCCGTATTTGCCAAATAAAAATTTGCCTGTGGAAAAGCAGACTTACCATTTTCCAAAACTTTCTACATATCCCAATCCTACACCCCAAAAGTGACCATAGCTCCGAATTTCGGGATTACAGTTGTATTGGTTCACCCAAATCCAAATTGTACCAATTAGTACTTTTCGTACACATAAGTAAACTATTTCCAAAACTATGTACTTATTCCAATCCTACACTCCGGCGGCGATGTTAATTTCAAATTTCCGGATTCCAGCTCCATTTGTACCTCCAATTAAAAAGTGTACCAAATATACTACCATATAGAATGTTTCGTGTATATGAGTACACGCTATCAAACCCACCTCCTTATATCGACCCTACTTCTCTACTATTGCTGTGTTCTTCGGAGTTAAATGTATTTTAAATTTTTGTGCACGTTAACACGAACCCTTTAATGTCATATGTGTTGTCAGTTTTCTGTTTGTATCATGGTATAATAATAGAAGGTAACAGCAAGTGTTGTTGTACAACAAACGATACAACAACCACATAGAAATTTGTTGCTGTAAGTTATACTATTGTCAACGTCTTTTGACAGAAAAATTTAAACAAACAAATTATCAAGAAATTCTATTTATTTTGAAAATGAAATATTTTCGAATCCTCAAAATAAAATTGAAAAACTTGAATGAAAATCTATCAAATTTATATTTCTATCGCTTCCACATCTTTCCTATAATTGAGCCATTGCCACATATAAGTGTAACACGTATGAAAATGCAGGGAATTGCGAGTTATTTCACGAAGAAATATTTGCTTCCTCAAACTTTCCCAGTAGGCAGATTGAGTAAATTGTATACGGGAGCACATTTAATAAAGAACAATTTCAAATTGTATGCGTTCCCAATTTTCCTGTTGGGTGATTTTTAAAAACATAATTTGTCAAATTCATATTGACACTAGTATTACGTTGGAATCAAATCAGCTGGGATTTGCTGTTACCTTTTATAATTGTACCATGCAAAGGGAGTAAAACATTGTGAAAATTGACACTTCATTGAATTTCTTTATACATTTAATTTTAAAACCAGTGAACCGAGCCATAAAGCAATATAATACTATACACTATTACCATTGGACTTACATTTTCAATGTATGCATGCTTATTTGTTCCAAGATACATTTCTCCTATACAATTTGGTGGTATATGAACTTTTACAAAAATAGAGAGAAATTAAGGATTTTCATTCATCATAATTTGTGACATCTTTAAACTTTATGCGGTCTCGTAGCCATCGGCCCTATATTGGAATGTTCGATAATATTAATATTAGATAATTTCAGAATATGTAGTGCCTGTAAATATTTATTTATAAATACCACCTCTGTGTACATACATTAATATAATTGCATTTATAAAATTCAACCACTCCTCAACCATATAATTAAAATTTAGCGATTTTTAAAATAATATATATTTGACGTTAACCGTCTCCGTAAATTCCTGGGTTTGGGTCAAAATTGTGGCCTTTAAATATAAACTGGTCACTACCAAAACTAATAGAAGTCGACTTAGGCCAGAACCGAATATACATACAACATTTCCAGAATTCTTGAAGGGAAATTTTTGAAAGATGCCGACACATACTGAATCATTTATTCAAAATTGTGCTAATATTGTGTTTTCAGAAGATAATTGTTTAAATCACCATTTAATTCGGATCGTGATAATCAGATTACAAATTATAAGGGACAAACGGACATATGATAAACGATATACACAAATTTAAGTCTAGGAGTTGTGCAGCTACAAACTCTTGAGGCTACACAACTTTTAACATAGATGTGTAGGGTATAAAAACATTTTGTTCTGATTGGTTGAATCAAATTTGCCTAAATTTTGAAATGTCAAGGCGAATTGAATTTTATTTGCCTTGTTTACAAATTTTGACATATTATGTTACAAAAAAAATTGCTTTGTTGTAGTAATTTGCCGATGCGACTACCTAATATATGTGCCTTGGTCTCGATTTAGCAATTAAAACGACATACTGCACATTGTCACCATAAAAGGTTCAGTATAAACACGCTTTATGCGCAATGTATGACTGGGTACCTAAATTATGAACAAACCGAATACTGAATTTGTATTAGCTACTCTACATTGAAGCATTCCACATCACAAAGGTTTATAAGAGACGCGAATATGGAATTGGTGGAAGTAATATTTATTAGATAAATAATTCCAACATAAAAAGTATAATTGCCGTATGTATGTTAAATGTTGATATAAATGGTGTTTTAGTTGGTGAGATAGAATGGCTTTCAAGAAAACAAATATTTTTGCAGTCACTTAACAAGTTCTCTGAAATCGTTTAGTATTCGCGAATGGAAAAGCCAGACACTAAGGATACAGTGGAAGAAGCATCCACAAAAAAGGAGCTACTGGACAAAGCGCATACAAAAAATGAGCCTTCAAAGAGAATCATTGTTAAATTCGTGCCTGAAGACGAAGTTGTATTAAGGCACACCATAAAAGTAATTCAACAGTCCACCGATTGTGCTGAGAAGAAAGGGCCCAGTATGATTGTCAGATCTGTCAATTTGAATGACGGGATTCAAATAAGACGGAGATTCGGTAATTTTCATAAAATACAAATAATTATAATTAGTTATTTTGCAGTAAATGTTCACCATCTTTTCGAAGAACAAGCTTCTTATAATTATATAAACTTGAAATGCATTAATAAGTAATAATGGATCAACAATCAACATTCCCTTTGGAATCCGATACTGGAATATCTATCGTAAGTATAAAACAACCATGGTATAGGGAAAAGGTCTTCAATTGTGCTTAGATAAGCGAAGTTACGGAAAAAATACAAAGAAAGACAGCATTATTTCTTCTTGTTCGCTCTTAGCATTAATACCAATGTAATGACTATAAATGTAGGTACTGCAGAAACGAATATGTGTCGTAATTGGCCAGTTAAATCATTCGCAAAAAATTACAGGACAAATTTCAAAGGTGCAATAAAGATGAATTAGGATTTTTGTTGTACCATTTGTATGAAATCGAACAAAAATATATACTCGTTATTCTGGATTCCGTAAGGTACGCTCCGCAAAATTCTATCGCAATCGAATAAATATTGGGTATTTGGTGCAGAATTTACATAAAATCGGTCGAAAATGTATATGGGAGCTATATGTAAATCTGAACCGATTTCAAACAAATAAACAAGAAAAGTAGTTAGCCACTTGCCAAACATTGAAATATATTATTATTTTTAGAATAATACCTTCTAAGATATCATTAAGAAATCTTGTTAAATGGAGTAGTATAGTTTGCAATTTAAATGAAATCGGCCTTAATGGCTTCAAATTGCATTTTTTGGAATAAATAAATAAATAAAAAAGTGCTAATGAATTATACCTATACACTGGTGGCGAAAACAAAAAAGCCACTGAAATTGAAAACTGAATAAACTTATACTAATTTTTTTCAAAAATAAATATGTATTCACTAAAAAAACACAGTATTTGTTTTGAAATAGAAAATAATCTATGAAAAATTAAATTGACCCAGTTTTTGCTTGGATAAAACTAATGCAACTTTTTGATTTCGTAAAGATCTGATGATTGTGCTGGCCATTATAAAACCCTGATTTTTGACTCCCGCAAACAATCTTGACATGTTTCGGGGTATATTTGAGGATATTTTCAAGCTGAAACGCCCAAACAAGCGGTATATTTTCTTCAACGAGGGCCATAGCGTTTTTATTTATTTAAATAATCCGATCCATTACTTCATATAATATTACCGAAATAAAATTCTGAGATAAATTATTTTCACAATCACTGGTAATTAGCTGTTTTATCGGTGTACTGTATTTGTTTCCAGCCATTTTTGTCTCATTAGGCAGTAAGTCAAAATTGAAAACAAACACATCTAATAAAATTATTTTAAAAACCATCTACAACAATCGAAATATGCGTAGAAATCAAAACAAAGTAATTATAATGATAAAAATAACTAACATTTCAGAGTTCATCAGTTTGTACTGTAGAGTTGCTTTAATTTAGTCCAAGCAAAAATTGAGGCCTTTTCGATTTCCATACATTATTATTTATTTCATTAAAGAAGTACCCGATTTAAAACTGAAAACCCCAGACGATATAATTATTTTTGAAAAAGTTATACGGCAAATATATATATATATATATATAAGAAGTACCCGATTTAAAACTGAAAACCCCAGACGATATAATTATTTTTGAAAAAGTTATACGGCATATATGTAAATATATTAAATGCCGTATAACTTTTATTATATCGTCTGGGGTTTTCAGTTTTAAATCATATATATATATATATATATACATATGTATATATATACAGTTCCGAATATAGAAACAATTGGTAACTATATATTAAATTTGTCGATTATGCGAATATGCAGTAAATGAGATTCAATTCATCAATATCTCTGATATGCATTGAATTAGTTACGAGACTGAAATTTAAAGTATTTTCAAATTTATTTATATTGCATATTGCACATTCTATCAACCTTCCATAAAAACATTTAATATACAAATTTTGCAAATCATCCTATGCTTCATTTTTTTCAGAACACCAAAAGTACTCGTATTTGCAACACGATTCAGTTCTACATAAATGATTTCGGCCAGAGAACTTTTAAAAAATATATATTCATAGCAACAGATGGAATTCGTATGGCAGCACAACAAAGTGTAAGCAGAAAAAAATTCTAGCAAACTTATCTACAATCAACACGCCCTTAAAATATCAGGAGAGAAAAATATGCCTACAATCAACTAGTCCCTAAAGGAAAACATCTGCAATCAACATGTCCATATAGGATAAAGTCAACAAGACCGGAATCATGTCTACAATCAACTTACTTTTTACGACACAACGATAATCAATTTAATCGTATGCGAAATCGTGGAGTCATCGATTCAAAATTGAGGTATATACTAGGGAAATTAAAAATATGTTATATATGGTGGTTTGATTGCCTTTATAGCATATATTATTACGAATATCCATATATAACACATTTATTTCGGCAAAATAATTCGTGCATGCATATGTTAAATGATCTTGATACGAACATCGGTAGGTATGAATGTATGTCAAATATAAAGACTATACATGTATATACTGCAGAAACAAAAATGTCGCGAGAGTGACCCAGAAGAATCCTTCGTAAAAAGGACAGATCAAATATGGAAATTTTGAAAGTGCAATAATAATGTTTGATATTTATTATTTATGTGAAAATGTTGAAAGTGCAAAATGTTCACACAATTCACATATTAACTCGCAAAAGAAACCGCTCTTTATCTCAAAAGATAAAAATAGGAGGCTCTCAACCTATGGTAGTACTCTTAAAATACTACAAAAAGTATTAATTGTGAATTGTAAACAATTTAGTTGTGTTTTATTTATTTTTTTAAATATTATTTTGTCTCCGAAAGTCGTGTAGGTGACTGTGAAGTCCATATGGACTGGAGCCAAAACTAAAGCAACTGTAATAGCAAACTGAATAAATTACCTGTAACTTTTTTAAAAATTAACTTATAGTAAACGTATTTTTAGAAATAAATAGGTAATTTATTCTCTTAAAATAACAACAATCTGTGAAAATTGTTACAAATTATTGTAAACAACTCAGAACATCCGTTTTTATTACTATTTGCAGTCGTCATTTTTTTATAAATGTAAAATAAAGACTTATTTTACATTCTTATGTAAATAATGTTCATATATTACGATAGTTTATTGTGGAGTAAAATATCAACATTGTGGTAAATTAGGCTTAAGTGTTTTTTATTATAGAAGTATTGAATAAAACATGGCATGCATTCTATTAAAGTATATAGGTATTTCCATAATACCAAACATAGCTTACCAAAACAAAGCTACAATCAACTGGTAAATCGTCTATCAACTTACATACACAAATGGAGGAATTGTGGCAGCGCAAAAGTCGACTGAATTTTTAAAAATTAAATGAAACAAATCATATATAAATAAGTCTACATCAAAATAACGTGTAATAAATTTAATTTACAGTTTTTTTTCTGAACTGAAAAAATGTTAACATATTACATATATATATTTTATCCTATTTTCTGTGCATTCCACTCCTTTGTTCAATATAACCCAATCAATATATGCATGTTGAGTCGTTACAGTACATATTGTTTTAATGTATATCTGATTTCCTGAATAGGTGAAGGTGCCAAGCCTCTATTTGATCGCGATGATGTAAAGGTGAATACAGTTGAGGATTGCGGAAGTAGTTCCGATCACAAATCCAAATATCCCAAAGTAAGTTATAAAAATCTCTAAATTTGTTCACAATTGTTTATTAAAGTTTCGGAAAAGGGCTCCAGTCCTTTCAAACACTATCATGGAGTACTGCATGAAAAATCTCCGGACACTTCACGAAATTTAGACGGAAAACATGAACGTGGCGAAAAACACGATTATAGGCGGAAAAGCAAATCGGAGAAGACAAATTTGAAACAGATTATAAGCAAACAAGCTTACGAAAGAAGTAAAAAACCATATTTCAGTGATCCCATTCGGGAGAGGGATCGTTTAAGGCGTCTCTATGGTAGTCCCAACGCACGAAAATCTCGGTCACATTCCCCTAGCTACATTAGAAGGCGAAGTTCACCGAGATCTCGGCGTGTAAGCAGTAGTCCAAGAAGTAGACGTTCCAGAAGTCGAAGTAGGCGCCGAAGCTCCTCCCGGGACAGGTCTTCTCGGAGGCACCGTTATGATCACAGAACACATCATCGTTCTCGTACACGCTCGCCAAGACGGAATCGTTCCAGACATAGAAGTTCCTCCCCTAGAGAGCGGGATGAAAGAGGGACAAATTTTCAAGAAACGCCACATCGTAATATTCCCCCGACACTACCAGCAGCATTGCCAAATTTTTCCTGCCCATATGTAAGTAAAAAATTGTTGTGTAACTTCTAATGTCTTTTTTTTTTGCGAAGAAGTTCTATTCATTCACTTTTTTGCAAGACGAAAATTAAATAATGTACTATAACTTAATATTCGTCATTTGCCTTGAATTTATTAAATCTTTTACCTAATAAAAAAGGAAAATTACTTATTTATAGAAAATGGATATCATGCAAATATGCTCTGTTCCAGAACCAGAAATAATGTTCTATTAAATACAATAGTTTTCGAGTTTCCTTAAAAATTTGAAGTTTTACCATACATACCAAGTTCAATATTAATTAATGCATTTTGTTCTTTCCCAGTGAATTGTATTAATGTAACATTTATAATATTAATCCAATGTTGGCAAACATTTCTTTCAGCATATTCCTCAACCAATTTTGACTTTCCATGGTGCGCCCCAGCGTCCTTTTACAGCAATTAGACATTTTGCTCCTCCTGCGCTATACGGAGGACTCACACCAACGATGCCCTACATCCAAATGCCATACATCCCAATGCCTGCTGCATCATATCGCCCACATACAGGTCATAGGTATCCACCGCCTAGACAGAACATTAGCAGTACACACGTTCGAAATAAAAAACAATTTCCTAAGTCATAGATATAATATCATTGTTACAGAAATACATGTAATTTTAATATCAACAAGGGCATATTATTGACATCATTTGTTCTAATGAATTTGTTTACGGTAAGCATATACAAACAACGAATTAATGTTATGTTCACTTTTGCTCTATTCCAGAACCTGCAAGAATATTTAATTTATTACAATTTTGGCAACCAGGTCAAAAAGTCCGTCTATGTTACAGAAACACATTTGCCTTTATTATTTGAGGTTCGTACCTAATAGCATGCGTTCAATTTTATCGCCTCAAAATTAAATACATGTATTTCAATGAGAGTTACTCAAATGACCACCATACAGAGTGTGTAGAAGGCTCTTATTTATATACTCCCAAAAGAAACTCAAAATAGATTGTTGGATTCATTTGTCGATGGAGACAATATATTCGAATAATTATACAGCCTTATTCTGGATGTCAATTCCATGTGAATTTACTCGCTCTTCCCCTTCGGCTTATTCTGAACATTTTCCTGTGAATTTTTTCGCATTCTCGCTTTCGCCTTATTCTGAATGAAGTTCGAAAGCGAAAAAATCCGCTTTGGGGAAAAATTAGGTATTCTGAATTACAGGGAGTAGGAGAATGAGATGAAATTTTGTGCGAAATTTTTCGCTAATAAATTTAAAGGGAGTTAACTACAAAAACATAAGTAATAACTATGTTTTGAAAAATATTCTCACAATACTTATTCTATGACGATTTAGAATATTATAAATGATAGTAAGCTAATTTTAAACTGGAAAACAACCAATAAAATGCCATTGGAAATCCTATTGATAACGATGCATGCTGAACCAAGTATTGCCAAGGAATGTATGAAGGTAATAAGGAATATTTAAGTGGAGTTTGATGCATTTTGGAGGCGAAATACAGACACTTTGGGTGAAGTTCTGTCTCTCAAGAAAAAAAAAATTTTAAATTATGGAAAATCCAAATTTGCCTGATGAGCCGTTTAACAGTGAAAAACTTAAATAAAAATTATGAAAGAACTAATTTTTTTTAAGCAAATCATAACATAACAGTCCACTTTAAGAATTTGGGGAGATAAACTATCGGAATTAAATAAAAAGGCACACAATTATGTAGTGAAATAATAGATTGTGAATTAATTAATTAAATCGCAGATTTCTTCCTATTATTCGTTGTGTTTTTGCCATCATAAAAAAATGTTCTTTTATTTGTAATTTATTGTAGTTGTTGCAACAAATTGCATCAAAACAATGAACAGCTATTTCACATGCCATATTGTAGGTTGCCATATTTTCAAACTTTAATTTATTTTCTTTTAATTACAAAGCATTTATACAGCGGATTCTTGATATTTCACATTTGTATTGCTATATAGTTTAAATAACAATAAAAAGTAACAATTTTTAATAACAAAAATCAATAAAAATATATTGAAAAATGTTACACAATTAAATTACAATGGGGCAACACACATTGCAACTATTCGCTTTATATAAATCATATGTTTTTATCAAATAGGTTTCCGATTTAAAACGGCATTTATATTAAAACTTTTTACGGGGTTAACCTACTTTATGAGGATTTATTTGACATGTATACAATGAAATTTATAATTTAAACCCACTGGGTTAACGAAATCCGGTACAATATAAACGTACTATAATGTTGATCAAATTGGATATTCGATTTGCTTAAATTATTGCTTAATTTATGCTTGGTAATGGCAATAAGTTGTCCCCATATTCGAACTTAAACTAAGTTTGCAAGAAATATTAGAATGAGCAAAGTGTGTATGAAATCGGTTACTCCCTTCGGAAGTTATCGTGAGCACCAGCCGGCCAGACAGACGGACATGCATAAATCGACTGCAATTTGTCTGAAACGGATTTGGTCCAAAGGAACATGGGGTTAAAAACCAATATTTCGATAAGGCACATTTTTGTCGTATAAAATTGTATATACCCTCATTAGCCATAAGGCTGAGAGCATAACAAATGCAACAAGTGGTTCTGTTAATTTTACACATTTTAGCACTTTACTGAAAACGCGAAAAATTAATGGACTGCCAGTTGGGAATATGATTTAGATATTGATACATCCACAAATCCTAAATTTCCTATGTTGTAAATTTTTTTTTTTTATTTTTTCTATTTTTATACACACTCTCATATTTTTCTATATGACTTTGGCATAGTTGATATGGCCTACCTTAAACAATTGTACCATGCTAGAATGTTTATTTCTTAAAGGTTATCAAGAGATCAAAAGAAAAAATCATACATTTTTAACAAAAGCAATTTTATTCCTTTAAGTAGTACACACACACATACAAGTATGAAACATATATATATATATATATAAAGTAGTAGAAATATCATGACTTTTTATACACTTTCTACCAATTGAGTTACGGAATCTTTTGTAATGAGCTGCAACAAAGATCCAGATTTAGGACGTTCTACACCTTTGGTCCACTTCAGGAATAGACTGAAATTACAGAAATGAACAAGTTTAAAATATGTAAATATGTAGCATTAACATAAATACCCAGCCACTTCAGACAATGGTGTCCAGGTACTGAAATCAGCTTTAGGCATCCATTTACGGTTCATTGGAGTGTCAAGGGTAACAGGCAATATCGATACAACTAGTGCATCATTTGGTAAACCAGAATCTTTGCCAGCCAAAGAACGTGTTAGTTGATGAACAGCAGCTTTGGCCATGCCATATCCGATCATACCAGGTGTGCCATCCAATGCCGGCTTGGCGCCAGTCAAGGCCAATACTCCTCCATCCTTAAGATAATGTGAAGCAACGGCAGCCGAAATAGTTGAAGTCCACACACTTTGACGCCACATTAAGTCCGCATTTTTGGCCAAATCTAAATTTGTTTATTTTTTAATATTTAGTATTCGCTGGTGGTCCCATAGTTTCCTACCTTTTTTTGCATTTCCCCCAGCCCATCCTCCAGCAACACAAATCACAGCATCCAATTTATTTTCTTGCAGTACATCCCCTACTTTACTGAGAACGTGTTGCTCTTGGTCAGTCCATGAGCCGTCTCTTGGCACCACAATGCTGACATCGGCCTGATCATTTTCACTTAAATCTATACTTCCAACCCACTAGAATTGTCAGTGAAAGTTCTTTATATTTCCAAGGCCATGTTAAGCTATAATTTGTTACAATACTCACATAATTGTGACTCTTGAAATGAGATACACATGCTGCCCCCAGTGCCCCCCTACCACCGTAGATTAAAACACGACCAACAGACATTTTCCGAGACAACCAACTGATACAGTGGAAAGGCAAAAAGCTAATGCTACTGTAAACCGGACCAATAATATTCAGAATCAAATTTATTACAAACAGTCAAATAAAACCAATACACACGGCCTTCATACAGATTTAGTCAGTGATGCGCGGCTGATGAGAGTATGTACGTTTAATTGGCCGCTTTCTGGTAGTAGTTTTTACGCATGTATGTCGTATGTCAAGAAAAATGCTAAAGCAAATTAGCCATTTTGCGTACTTCCCAGACGCTAGGATGTAGCATAATAAGTTTTTAACCCGTACCATTATTTAAGAATTACGTATTTACTGGAATAATAGTTTATCCTACGTGTACAAATTTGTACGGACATCTGAGTTTCCCATCACTAATTCCATTTATATGACACGAGCTAACGAACTTTTTGAAAGTGTAATCAAATACTTGTTGAATCAAGCTGGTTCGTGAGTCAGTTGTTTTTTGGGAAATTATAAATGGCACAGTAGTCTCCGAAATAGAATAAAATACGAGTTCAATTCTATGCCATGTCCTAACGGGCATTTGAACAACTATGCTCGCTCGCACAATCACGTACATGAATTAACTCGTTTATACTACACATAAGGTTCGTTCCCGTACTTTTTGATAGTAAAGCTAGTAAAAGAGCGACTATCAAAAATTACTCTCACATACAAGATTTGCGCAAAAAGTAAAGGAACTGAAAATAGTTAAAACATGAAGAAACGTCCAAATCAAAAATTTCATCAGTTAAGGACAAAAAAAGACTGCAGAAACCTAATGCATACAAAGAAACAAAATGTTAAACGGCGTCCATTGTGTGATTTTGATAATATTAATAGTTATTTTTTATTTGCATAATTTATAGGAAAACATTATCGAATATTTGGAAGTGGAGTTTCCGACGACTCCAAGCCCGGAAAGGCTTACATGGCTGGACGCTCCCATAATGTTAATGCTATAGCCCACTAGAACAACAAGATATGGATGAAGTCAAGTTTAGGGGCTCCACTCGGATCATTTTAAAATGATTACCGTTAGTAGCCCTCCTTGGAGCTGATTACTGTGATATCCCGAGACAGCAACGTAGACAGGATTTCATTTCGGGGAGGGCCCGGTAGTACAAAATGAATAAAAATCGCTGTTGCAAACATACATTTATTGTGAAAAAAATTCATTTCGTACGTCCCTGTCCCGAGATATTGGCCTTGAAATTTCGGAACATATGCATGTTCCCAATCCAAGTCTTCATTCTATAGTATCTTCATCTGAATCTTCTGCCAGCCATTCATCTTCCCTATCCTCCAAAAGAGAATAACAAAATCTGTTTGCCCATTTTTAAATTTTTTATTTGGTTTTATTTTAAAGCAAATGTGTGTGCGTGTGTCCCTTTTGTTGAAGCGCTAACTTTCATATGCTTTATTTCGGACTGTATATCTCTGGCAATCAAATGTCAAATTCACAATTTACTACATTTATTATTTCGTGCTAGGCCAAATTGGTCTTGCAGAAAATAGGAGAAGAGAACGCCATTTTGGTTTTAACTCTCTTAAATTTAACTTCAATTTTTCCTACTTTTCGGAGTAAGGGAACGCTTTTCGAGCAAAAATTCCAAAACTATTACAATATAGTACTATTTTGCAGGTTTGGGAACACAGCTATAATTAGTACCAAATTTACATCCTTCTGCATATGTAAAAAGTAAACTCTTTTTTTACATTTCATTCATAATTTTCAATTTTACTGAATAAATTTGAAAATTTTATAAATATTTACATGCTGTCCAAACTAATTTATTTTCGATAAATTTTAAGGTATTCTCGCAACACCATCATATGCAGACATATGATTTCTATTTTTTCATAATTTTACTTTTGTCAACATTAAGCTTCCAAAATTCAAATGAGGATATTCTCTTTTGAAATCTACGCACAACATGTGTTCGGTGGGTAAAATTACCAAATTATTAATATTGTTTAATATTTTAAAGTTCCCTGCCTCTATAATCTATAAATATGAGTTGTTATACCAATAGCTATATCTTGAGAACAAATGTGCATCAAAAATTAAGATATTTGCAATATAGAATTTTATTGATCACAACTTCTGATTTAAATATATGTATATGACATGCATATTTATATGTAATTATATAAAGATTTGTAAATCATAAAACATATAAGAGCTTTAGAAAATATACATTTTAAATTTGTAAAAAATATGTCGATGTATTACATTTTATGGAATTTATTTTTCATATTTGGTCTGTTCCCGTACTGAAAGAATCTACTCGATTTTACTATTTTCTTCGATATCATAAAGGAAATTTTGTTATCGTAGTAAAAAATAGTAGATTCTTGCAGTACGGGAACAGACCAATTATTTGAAATTGATAGATGGGTTACATACATGGTACAATTACAAAAGGTAACAGCAAATCCCAGCTGATTTGATTCCAACGTAATACTAGTGTCAATATGAATTTGACAAATTATGTTTTTAAAAATCACCCAACAGGAAAATTGGGAACGCATACAATTTGAAATTATTCTTTATTAAATGTGCTCCTGTATTCAATTTACTCAATCTGCCTGCTGGGAAAGTTTGAGGAAGCAAATCTTTCTTCAAGGAATAACTCGCTATTCCCAGCATTTTCATATGTGTTACACATATATATGGCAATGGCTCAATTATAGGAAAGATGTGGAAGCGATAGAAATATAAATTTGATAGATTTTCATTCATTTTTTCAATTTTTATTTTGAGGATTCGAAAATATTTCATTTTCAAAATAAAAATAATTTGATGATAATTTGTTTGTTTGTTTACATTTTTCTGTCAAATGAGTTGACACTAGTAGAACTTACAACAAGTGGTTGTTGTATCGTTTTTTGTACAACAACACTTGCTGTTACCTTCTATTATTATACCATGGGTTACATATTGAAAAGTTTTGCCATTATTTGGTCTGTTCCCGTACTGCGAGAATCTATTCGATTTTACTATTTTATTTTTTATTTATTTATTTATGCATTTCAAAGCCAAGCCAAAAAACCTTATAAGGCCAGTATACTGCAAAATAAACTTAGACCAAATTAAAAATATAAATTTTTAACAATAGTATTTCTTTTCATGTAACATATGTTCAAGCTCTATAATTATTCATTGAAAGTAATAGATAAAAATCATTTGAATAAGAACTACTCTGAATTAGATTTCGTTTACCCAGTGGGTTTCAATTGTCAATTCCTTTGCATATATGTCAAATAAATACTCTTAAATCCTCTAATGTATATGCCGTTTTACCCTGGCACAATAATATAAAGGTACACTTGGGGTTTAAACAGAATTAACGTGAAATAGACTGGATTTGGTAGTAGATTTGTTAATATCGCCCGAAGCAGAATGCTCACGTTGAGCCATCCGTCGCGTTATTTGTTATCGAAAATACAACAACCACAAGGAAACGATATGCGTTTGTGTTATCGTTTCCTTGTGGTTGTTGTATTTTCGATAACATCTAACGCGACGGATGGCTCAACGCGAGCGTTCTGCTTAGCCCTTTATTGAGGACAGCCAAAAGGAAATTCAACGTATCCATTGCACATACCATTGTGCAGCCAAAAGGAGTTTCACATTTTTTAAATTTTGTAAAGTGCATTTTTGTACGCCGAAATGTCAACATACAAATGTCAAATATTCAGCTAAGCCCCAAAAATTTTCGCATTGAGCGTTTTTTTTGTTTAAAATATATTTAACTTCGAAGCGCAACGCACATCAACTTCAAGCGTTAATGGCTAAGCAGAATGCTCGTATGGATCCTTTGCGAGCGACGCAATATCGTGGTTCAAGTAAAATCCAAACACCGTGGCAACTCAGATACCATTTTGACATTGACAGTCAGTGTAGCCAACTTCAAAATGAAAATGTGAAATGTATTATTGTCGTGTCTGTTGTCAGGTTGTATTTGTTGACAGTGAAGAAAAAATATAATATTTTACAACTAAGACTCGGCTATGTGTAATTAAGTTACTGATATGGAAAGGAGAGTTAAACTGAAGTCCATAAACCCGCATATAACCTGCAAAATTTGCGGTGGTTACTTCATAGACGCCACTACTGTCACAGAATGTTTACATACCTGTTAGTATATACATACACTTATATGCATTTCCCTATGAAATTATTGTACTTATTTACTGATGTTATTGTTTTGTAGTCTGCAAAAGTTGTTTAGTCAAACATTTGGAGGAGAAGAAAACGTGTCCCACTTGCGAAAATGTCATCCATCAGTCCCACCCGTTACAGTATATCAGTTTCGATCGTACCATGCAAGATATTGTTTACAAACTTGTGCCAAATCTACAAGAAGGTAAGAACAAATTGAGTCTATTCCCTGTATGCCGGTTGTAAAAAAGGCACAAATCTCATTGTATCTTTGCATAGTTAGCCAGTAGCATTGGATTTCTGTAAAGTATTTCTAGGTTAGAAGCCTTTGGGGTCAATAGAGTGTTCCAATCATGAGTGTAGGCTTAAGCGGAAATGTCAATTACATCATAACCTTTTAAGAAGGGATTACAAACACCTTTGTGCATAAGCATACATATACAAAATTCAAAAAAAAAACTATGTTAAATAACAATTATTTACATTCAATGATATTGGCTTTAGATATTGTTCTTCAAACAATAAAATTAGAAAAAGTAAAACAAGCAATTTATATAGTTTTTCATATTTTCATATATTTTATTGAGGAACATGTTTCCAGTAAAATTTTTAAATACTCAGTAATACAAAATTCTAAATAGCTCTCACAATTTATACTCTTATTGAAGTTTTGTATAAAAAGGCAACATTTGGTACAAATTGCTAAAAAATGTTGAAATAAAAATATATTATTTTATGATCCGTCTGAATCGCGTATTCATCAAATTCATTTGAAGCGCATAAGATTTCCACGAAGTACTAAAGTGTTTTTGTCATCAAAAATGTACTGCATTTCAATTCACCCATATGCCGACTATAGGGAAACCTTTAAAAAGGTTATTTTAAGGATGGTATTGATTAAAATACATTATTACAAATATTTATTATTAATTTTAAATTTCTTTAACCCCTCAAACCACGGCACTTTTTGTGATTATTTTCTAACAGTTACCTTCAGTGCATTCTCCAACAATATGCATAAGGAGGTTAGATTCAAAGATATGACTGGTTTTGTTGAAACCAATATATGCGATGAAAGATATGAGTGGTTTTGTTGCAAAAGAAATTCGCAATTGATGGCGTCAATCGGCTATAAAATGTGGATTGCGCATTCGCCACTGACTTCCACAGCTTTACAAAAGTGAATAGGAATTGATGAAAAATTATGCTTTCTCTTAACTTCATGTACTTTTTTATGGCCCCACTATATACACTATGTTGTCGTACCCTGTGCAGTATCTGGGATTTTCCTAATTAAATGTTGATGTATTAAAATGGCGTGTTCCAAACGCAATTGGGGACAATATTTTTATTTTATCAATGTTCTTTGGGTATATTGCGATTTATTTGACACACATGTGGTGATAATGTTAAAAGTGGCTCATGTTAGTTATGTGTTGTTTATGCAAGTTATCAAATATGTGTGCTTTGAGATCAAGTCAAGATACGTTTGTAATGCTTGTTATTGCCGACAGACTGATATATATTTGGTCAGTTCCCCTGCTGCAAGAATCTGCTAATTTTTACTATAATAAAGAAAAATTGTTATCGGTGTAAAAAATTATATATTAATGCATGCTCTGGAACATACCAATTATATATATTTATATATTTTATTATATTATTGATTAAAATCTAATTATATATGTATTCAAGATGAAATGCGAAGAGAGCGTGATTTTTACAAGAGTCGCAATATGGCATGTCCCAAAGATTTGCCTCAAAATCACGAAGACGATAACGAAAAGGTTATGGAAGCGCATGCTGAATCCGATTTCCACAGATTGGACGAACAAGTCAATGTATGCCTAGAATGCATGAGCAATAATTTCAAAAATTTGCAAAGACGTTTCATACGCTGCAGTTCCCAAGCAACTATCACACACCTAAAAAAGTTGGTAGCAAAGAAAATATTGAATGGCATTGATAAATATCGAGAGGTAAGATTAAGCGCTTATTTATAACAATGTTTACTGTTAAGCAATTACTTTCTCCTTTAGATTGACATTTTGTGTAATGAGGAGTTATTGGGAAAGGACCACACACTGAAATTCGTTTATGTAACACGTTGGCGTTTTCGTGATCCGCCTTTGAGATTGCAATTTCGACCTAGAGTAGAGCTGTAGACTAAAATATGGTGTTCATCAATGACTATTATACAATTCCATAATGTCTTTCTACTTTGAAACTGACGCTGTTGGCGCTGCCTTTCGGAATAAAAGTTCTTGTAATTATTATTTTATCAAATTTAATTTATATTTAGAAATAATATTATTTAAGACAAATAGTTCATGTATGACATTTTTAAATTATCGGACGGTTTTTTCGTAAGCTTTCATTACTCAGTGCTCATTTTGTTTGATTTTTTCTAATAATTATTAATTTTTATAGCATGCCAGCATTTAACTTCATGTTCTAGAAAGTTAATGTGTCTACATATATTTTTGTAAATAACATTGCAAAATAGTATGTATCGATAGGTGAAATAGAAAATATGTACAAATAAAATATTTTTTAAACAGAAAATGTTTTTTATTAGATTTTTTAATTATAATAGGAGTTATGTTTGTTAACCATCTGCCAATGTTTATTTATAAAGGGGGATACACAAATGCTTTCTTAAGTTAGCTTTGTAACGTGTAAAGGAATAAAGGAGGACGGCGACACAACTAACCCTTTTATTTGCGGATGACGTTTTCTTTGTATTCAGCAGGAATTAAAGGTCTCCAAGAATTTTTGAAAGTGAAATTAATAGTATTCTTGCTCGTATAAGGCTTTTGTCTTTGGAAAATTCGTTGACTATAAACCCTTTTAAGACTAAAGCTATACGATTTGGTTGTCTAACATATGACCTAAATATTTTTTTGGACCAAACCCAGATCTCTTTTGCTTGTTGCCTCAAAATATTAGGTATTTTCATTGATGAAAAACTTTCATTCGAACCTCATATTGATTTTGTTCAGAGGAAAGTTGTAGGTGTTATTCGTAGGTTTTATTCCACAAACATATATCTTCCACCGTGAGTTAAGAAGAGATTGGCTAATGCTATGTTGATGACAAATATTAATTATGGTCTTGAAGTGTTTTCTGGTACTTTTGAACGAGTTTTAGTGAGATTAAAGCGCGTAGATCACAGAATTATACGCTTTGGGTTTGCTTGAGGATATGCGAACACGTGTCGAGCTATGTTTTGAGCTTCATGGGGATGGATTTTGAAAGATTCGTCTCCACCAAAGTATTGTGTAATTTTTATAAAACAATTAGGAATGATGTACCAATTTCATTGAACAACATGTTCTGTTTTAATATGTCGTCGAGAATTACGCAAATTTTCATACCCAGGATATACAACTCCACATTTGAAAAATCATTTTTAATACGTGTAGCTAGATTGTGGAATTACTTATCGGTAGAACTTTGAATTTTCTCGCACTCGAATAATGCTTTTCGTTTAAAGCTGTTGAGCTATTATGTACCTGAGCATTAGTGGTGTTATTTGGAGAAATTTCTGACACATGAAATATTTTTTGTTTGGATGACTTGTTTGCTACGTACTTCATTTGCGTGTAATGGAATTTATTACTTTTCTTTTGCGTACATTGTTGGCTCTTCTGGTCAATCTTTGCAAATTTTTGTTAAGGCTGGTATTACTTATGTATTATTAGGACATTATGTCCTTGTTAAAACTATTTTTGGCCTTGGAGGCTTATGTATTATTGAATGGAATAAATAAATAATTTGACATTTAATAATATGCAGCATGAAGAAGCCTTAAATCCTGTTAAGTAACCCCTGCAAAGAATTAAATTGAGATTAAATTATGCACGGCTTATTTATGGCGCCTTAGACTAGGAAGTCACTGATTGCAAATTCCACAGTTTAATCCTGTCCATTCCTGTTTTACGTAGAACAAGTGTATTTCGTAAATCTAAACCTGTTTCTATAATATATACTGCTAATTTTAAGCTTTTGGAGTAGTCCATGTAATGAAGTTGTTGGAATCGCTCATTTACCTTTGGGTTAAGTGATCAAGTGTACACGTAGTTGACAGCGCCATTAGCCAATTAAAATCAATCAGTAGAGTCCAGATAACACAAAATCACAACAAACGCTGACATTTTAAATGTGAGTATTTTTCTGTAGATGTGCATGTACAATGACCAGTAATGAAGTTATCAAAAAGAGCTTGGAACAAAAAAAAAAAATATAATATGCATATATTTTACTAAGTCCCAATTTAGATTAGGCGAGTTTACTTGCGGCAAGTCTTTGTTTGTTGGAGAGAGGGGCAAGGGGTATAGAAATGAAAAAAAATTGCTCGTACCGACAATTTTCTGGCAATTTGTTTTGTGTATTTCGTATTTGTTGACATTTTATATATATTTAAATGTGAAAAAACAACAAATAAAAAATATTTTGGAAACCGAATTGCCTTGTATAGACGCATGGAGCAAGTTCAAAAGAGAACGATAAAAATTGCCGCAAGTAAACTCGCCTAATATAAATCAGGACTAACATCAAAATGTTTTCCCATGATGTAATTTTAAATTTGTAATTTTTTCAAAAAAATAAACCAATACAGAAATAAAACAGCTACAATTTACATACGAACTTTAATTAGGTACATTTTCTTTAATTATTATTTTTATTTTAATTGCAATTTTGGTCTAAACGGAACACAAGGCAACTGAACACAGCACCCGAGTCTCACTCGGCCAACGTCTGTCACCTCAGCCCATTGTATAAAATCAATAGGGCTGCTACAACAACAACAACCACAAAATCCAAATCAAATGAAGGCAATAGCACAGGCAGTTTCGCTTACAGAATACCGAAACTTGTTCAGTGAGTTATACAGTTGTGTTCTTAAAAATAGTAGTGCAGTTGAAAAATTTATAAATGTCATTTAAACAACCAAATACGCTCATATATTTGATCACTGGCGAAGAAATTTTGAAGAATGGAATGTAAAGATCTAGAAAGCTTGAATTTCTCTAGTATGGTGAAATTCATGAAAATGTACATGTTCACTAAAATAGTAGTGGTCGAAGGGAATGCTAATAGAACAAATTAATAAGCAAAAGTACGTGTTTTCTAAACAAGAACTATGTTGTCATTTGATATTTTAATTAATTACAATTCAGCGTGCTCTGAAATGAAATTTAAACTTACAAATCAGTGATCTGACATTACGCTGGAGATTGATCGAAACTAAGGTATATGCTAGAAACCACAGAAAGGTCCCCTTTGAGTTTTGCAAAATCTCTTAAAGGCTGGCCACTTGAAAAGTGGCGTAACATAACATGGACAAATGAAACAAAAATTGTCCTATAATGTGGAACAGGCTCCAGACAGTTCCCCCAAAGACGGAATATCAACTTCAATACACAGCCAAAACTGTAAAGCATGCAGGGTTAAGTATAATGCATGGGACCTGTTTTTTAATAACCTAAAACCATATACCAGATAGGAAATGTCCATTAAATGGACATTTCAACAGGATCATGATCCTAAACATACCAGCAAACTCGCAAAGGACTGATTTGTATCAGAAAGGATAGACGTAATGCAACGGCATGCGCAGTCACCGGATCTTAATCCGATAGAAAATTTGTTGGCAGATGTAAAGCGATGTGTGACCAATGCCAAACCATTGGGCTTTCGGTAAGTAGGCTTAATTGGTCATTAACACTAGATATAAGTAAGATTCCACCCTGACCAGAACTATTTACCGTATCCTCCAAGTCTTCGCTGTGATACTAAAAAATAATCAATTAATGATTTAAATTGGACAATTATTATTATTATCTTTTTTTTAATAGAAAAAATATCATTTTTTCCGGAATAAATGTGTTGAACTTTATAAAACGAAATAAAACTAAACCCCCTCTGGCTACGGCGCTGATCTGCCCATATATATGTTGTGTATTTTCTCAAATTGTTCCTAATGTCTGCAACTATTGTAATCACAAATAGCTGAAAAATCATGTCACAAAAATACCTTTTAAAACAGCATCATTCGGTGTTTCCGACAGATATGTTCCCTCAGACTATGGTCCGCGGAATTACACACATGTTTTTTTTTATTTTTATTGGGAGGTACCAAAGAGAGTTAAACGATTGGATTGTTCCCATCTTCGGACTTGATCTAAAATATTACAAAAACCGTCGGCGTTTTTCTATAGACAGCATTTTTGCAATAATTATAAGCTCAAAGTTTGAACATTTTTAAATAAACTCACTAAACCCCCCATGGAATCCAAAATCCAATTCGTTTATAAAAAAAATCAGTTTTGAATGTTTTTTTTTACAATAGTAGACATAAATTTTATCTCAAACGTTTTTAACCTGATCGCTTTGATATGTTTTTCAGATGTGTCAATTTAAAGAATTTGAATTACAGTTCTTTGATTATTCTTATCAAAAAAGTGCATACTTTCTGAGATATTGGTCTCCAGATTTCTGCGGAATTTTGGAGGCACATATGATCTGAAATACCGATTTCCGCCAGAAAAAAAATGACACCGTTGTAATCCGGAAAAATGGTAAAAATGTCAAAACGATTCGTGAAGGGGCCCTAAACTAGACTTAAGCCAAATAATGTGATAATCCGTCAAATATATACTTGATCTTTAATTGCTAATTGGTGTCCCGACTATTGGCAAAGCACTATTTTATTAAACTGTCAAATTACTCAAATTTAAACAAAATAATTTAAAATGTTTTTGTTGCAAAGTAAAAAACATTTTAAAAACAGATGAACACATTATTCCTTAGGAAGGCAATAATACAAACACACACTTTTGTTTTTAAAAAATTCCATCAACCAACTGATTGATTTGTTTATTCACGTCTTTTGGAATTTTCTCAAGCGATGTAGTCACAATTTTAATTGGTTGAGAGAAGAGTAGACTTAAATTACAAATAAACATTCGGAGGTGTTATCTTTCGCGAATTGTTTACTTCTTATAACCACAGCTGGAACGACGACCACGGGCGCGTTCGAATTTACGTCCCTTGGAGCGAACATAGGGGCGGGTGTGGGAGTGAGGTACACCGGGTGCCTTTCCGAAATGTTTGCAGGCTGTACGAGCGGTGCGTTTACCTTGCAACAAAAGGCAGTTCTTGCCAGTGGGCGACTTCAAAGCCAGTTGATCGAAGGTGATTACCTCACCGCCAGCCTTCAAGATACGTTCGCGGGCAGTTTGGGTGACATGCAATGCACAAACGGTCATTTTGGGCACGTTCAATAGACGAACATCATCGGTTACGGTTCCGACAATGACAACAGTTGATTCTGGCTGTTGGGCGGCCTTAAAGAAACGAGCAACGCGTTGCAAGGACATGGGTGGCCTGTTGGTCTTGCTCATAAACAAGCGCTTCAACACAATACGGTTAAACTTTTTGTTGGTGCGACGTTGGAGGAAGCGGTACAACTGAAAAACAAAACAAACGATCAAAAACGGTTCACAATATACTATTCGATTGTAAATGCCCGGTATGGTGCTGAATCTTCGATATTTCTGCCCAACGGGTACCAGCATCTACAAATATTGTATGGATAGTTCACTCACCTTGACCAACAAACGGAGGTAAACATCCTGGGATTTAGGTTCGGTTCTGCGAACCTTGCGATCGTATTTGTGGCTGATATCAATACCCTGGAATAGAAGAATAAAAATCTCACTTAGTTATTGTTCATTCACATAACTCATTTGGTAATTTCATTTCATTTTGCTTGTGTAGACTATTTAATTATCGATTGTTTACAATTATTTTCCACTAATTTTTTTCCACATCAAGTCTTACCATAGTGCCGACCGGAAAAAGAAAGAGACGTAGGCTCGCAATATGTAACGTCAAATTGACAAGCACATCGAAGCGAAGTGAGCTGCAGTTTGACACAAATTGCCACCTGGCAATGATATGAGTAGGTTTGTGCCCTTACTGAGTATAGGTTTGTTATACTTCATATTCGTGATTCTTTCCCAGATTAGATTTAGATTTTCCAAAGCAGATTTTTTTGTGAATAACTGAAATTAAAAGGGTATTGATATAACACCAAATATTCTCTTTCTTTCTCCTGACTGTAGGTAGAACAATGTAAAACGATGTCAAACATTTCACAAAATGGTGTTGTATATTTTCCTGGTTTTCTATGTGTGTGTATTATCATATATCTTATTTAAAATATAACTGGACCGTTCCAGTACTTATTTAATAGTAAAGCTAGTAAAAGGGAAACATTTCAGAATCGCTCTCAGAATACAAAATACTTTGAAAAGGGAACACAATCTATTAAATACGCCAAAATATACGCAATGCGTATTTAGGTAGTTAAATACATGTATTTTAATAAATGTTACCCAAATACGTATTGCGTATAAAATTGCAAAGTTGAAATTTTTCTACACTGGCAATGCGTATTTAGGATTTTTTTTTTGAAATTAGAATTCCAGCCATTGAAAATTTTCTATAAACGTAAACGCCGTTTTCAATTGACGCACAAGTTAATAAGGTCGTTGCGTATTTGGGTAATACGGATATTTTAGTACGCAACGGGCTTGAAATATATATATATATATATATATATAGAGGCGAATAAAATCGTACGCATAAGGTACTTGCATATTTGGACAATACGGACGTTCAACAAACATTTAAAAGATGGGTATTTTAGTACGCAACGCATTGGGTTATGTTCGAGGCTTATATAGGGCCCCATCACTGATCGCTTTGAAATGTTTTTCACATGTAGTCCTTGAGGCCTGATTACAATGTTATACCTTTTTCTTGCTCATTTTTTTAATTCACTAAAGCATTTTGGATGTTAATTTAAAGAATTTGAATTACAGTAATATGTTATTCTTATCAAAGAAGTCAATACTTTCTGAGATATTGGTCTCCAGATTTCCGCGGGACCCCTTTATAATTCTGAAACCCAGTAAAGGTGAATAAAATCGTACGCATAAGGTACTTGCGTATTTGGATAATACGGACGTTCAACAAACATTATAAAGGTAAAAAGGTGGTTATTTTAGTACGCAACGCATTGGATTAGGTTCGAGCCATGATGCAATAATAAGGTGATGTATTACAACAAAAACATTTGTTTTTGTCTCGATCATCTGTCAAATTTTTCCTTATAATATTCAGCCGCTCTAAATGGACTACCTATTCATTGTGCCATGGTTCGAGCCTTACATACAATCATGGGTCAATTATAAGGTCGTTCGATAAGGACAGATGATTTCACACGAGTTGTTAAAGTGCTTTCAATTTTGACTTTCGTATGAAAACGTAAACAAAAGTTTAACCGTATGCCGGATTTTTAACCAAAATTACTGAAAATATTCGCTTCTTACGCGTCCTGTTTAATGGATCTTGATATGTGCTGTCACAGTTCCTGTATATATTGTTACGAATATAACTTTAGATTTAAGTTAATTCAGATGAATTCCGTTAATTTAAGAATTTGAATTGTAACGTAAATTTCTACTACGCAGTTTATTCGAATAACTTCACAACAACAACTATTGTATAGATTTTTCTACATCCTTCCATTTCCTCTTTCATTGTCTATTTTGTTGTTGACGTACAATTCTTGTTAAACGTCATCATTGATGATCGCTTAATTCCTCTTTCTTTGTTACTCCCTCGCCTGTATATGTGTTGTTGTTATTGTTCATTCAAAGTAAGTTTGTATGTGTTTGTTGCATTGGTAGATTGTTCGTAATCTAGGTGTTACCAGATCGTCTAGAAACTTCTGTAGCGACAGGCAAGGTTCATATAAATAGGGGAAATGGCGAGGCAGTTAGTCAGTTGTGAATCAGATCGCGAATTGAAACCGTCAAGTAAAGTAAAGTTGCGTCAATAAAATCATTGTAATATTCGTAATCAGAAAGAACCCGCGTTTGATTTAGTACGAACTGTACTGGGAAATAAAACAACGTCTACACGGGATTAAGTAAAATCCAAGAACGTAACAATATGACATTATTTATGTATGTGAAAATTGGTACTTTACATACATCTTTTACTCTTGGGTTCACACGTGTATATGCATTTTTGTTTAATTTCTTTCATTCTATTTTCCTCCTAAGTCAGTAGTCACACGGGCAAATTTTGTGGTAAAGTAAATTGAGTTTATGGGCGAAAGAGGTGAGAGGAATAAAAGGGGGTACATACATACTTGTACTCCGCAATTCTCTTTTGTTTCGTTATTCGTTGTAAACAACTGAAGTTGGCTGCAGAAAAGTTTTGCATTTTCTTTCATTTTATGTTTTCTGTCGGCAAACAAACGCCAAGGCAGTTTGCGAGGAAAAAAACACATAATATGTTTGTCGAGTAATACAAGAGTTCCTTTTACAATTTCTTTTTTTTTCTTTTAATTCCATTTTTTAATTTTCATGAACAATGGTCAAACGAGAAAATGAGTGTGTGGAAGAATAAGAAAATTCATAAATTTGATGCAAGGGTTATTTGCGTGTCTAAACAACAATGCAATTTTTAAAGAAATTGAGAAGAAAATTTGTCATGAAATTTTGCACGTGTGACTACTGACTAATTTAACTTCATTTCTTCAAATTATTTTCTATCAGAAATTTATCTTCATCTGCCAAACAAAACAGCTGATTAATTTGGTTTGTATATAAAAAACATGCAGAAATATATCGGTCCCTAAAGGAAAGAAATACGTATGCGTTTTAACAGATGGAATTTTGGTGTACAGTATTCACATATGTAAAATTTGACCGTACATACATCACTTTATTATTGCATCATGGGCTTTACCATGGTACAATTATTCAAGGTAGGCCATAGCAACGTGTAAAATGTGTGAATGTTTTGAAAAATATAACAAAATATATTAGAAAATCGAATTGTTTTAAGATAAATTTTACAACATTTGTAAGAAGAAATGTAAGATTTTTGATTGAAACAACATGTAAATAATATCCCCAACTCGATTTCGAAAAGAAACCCATTCTTTTTTTTGCGTTTTTGGTAAAATGTGAAAAATATGTCAAATGAACAGAACGACTTGTTGCTTAAGTTAGAGGTGCATTTTCTCCTTTCTGACAAAAGCTACCCTACCTTGTATAACTGACCATGGGCTTTACCTTGTATCATGGCACAATAAATAGGTATTCCATTTAGCGCAGCTGGCGTTTTGACTGTTAAAGTGCATAGCTTCTTTTTGAATGTTGCCAACCATGTGAAATCTACTAGAAAAAAATTTGACAGATGGTCGGGACCATGTCACAATAAATAAGTAGTACATTTAGAGCAGCTGATGTCTTATTTAACTGTCAAAGTGCATAATTTCTACTTGAATTCGACGTGCAATGTTGCCAACTATTAAAAAAATATAATAAGGAAAGATTTGACAAAAACAAGGGTTTTTGTTTTGATACATTACCTTCATGGTACAATTATAAAAGGTAACATCAAATCCCAGCTGATTTGATTCCAAGGTAATACTAGAGTCAATATGAATTTGACAAATAATGTTTTTAAAAATTAACCAACAGGAAAATTGCGAACGCATACAATTTGAAATTGTTCTTTATTAAATGTGATCCCGTATTCAATTTAAAGCGAATTTACATATAACATTTAATCATGATTAAAGGCTGAATCAGGGTTTATTTTCTTAATCAGGCTAAATTTACCATGATTTGCCACACAAATTTAAATCATCGTGCAGCAGGATTTATTTTAAATCATGATCGAAATCATGATACTACTGAGATGCAACGCGGGTTTTGTACGAAAAAATACAACTCTCTCACAATGTACCAAAATTTGCAACTGTTTTACATGCCGTTTGTTTTTAAATTTAACGGCTGACAAATACAAAAATGACAGATCAAAGGAAAATAAAAATTAATTATAGAATTTTTGTGTTTTTAGATGTTTTTTTTACTTTCCAAACGATCACAGTATTGCAAAAACATTTCCATTGTGGTAATTCTTCTATTCTTTTTCAAATTGCAAACAAATATTTTTGGCGCAAATTAATAATTTTGTATGTATACTAACAAACATCAGCTGATCGGCATTTAGATCATGATTAAGGGTATGTGTAAACAATTAGGGTGTATTTCTGGATTTCGTTAATCGAGTCGATTTAAAATCGTATATGTAAATGTACTTTTACTCAATCTGCCTGCTGCGAAAGTTTGAGGAAGCAAATCTATTTTCATGGAATAACTCGCAATTCCCTGCATTTTCATATGTGTTACACATATAAGTAGCAATGGTTCAATTATAGGAAAGATGTGGAAGCGATAGGAATATAAATTTGATAGCTTTTCATTCCTGTTTTTCAACTTTTTTTGAAGATTTGAAAAAAATGTAATTTTCAAAATAAATACAATTTGTTGATAATTTGTTTATTTGTTTGCATTTTTCTGTCAAATGACGTTGACACTAGTATAACTTCCAACAACAAATTTCCATGTGGTTGTTGTATCGTTTGTTGTACAAAGAACACTTGCTTTTACCTTTTATTATTATACCTTATTGCATCAGACCTTGAACTAAATCGATTTCGCTTTCAGTTCCTTCTTTATCTGACATTCTTTCTTTATCTCCCTATTTGTATCAAGTGCAAAGTCGTTAAAAAGTCTCGCATAATTTATTTATTTTGTAAAAATAAGAAAGGCAGGGGTTTTGCATTTTATTCTCGTCAATTTAATTTATTTACACAAATTTGTAAATGCAGGCGACAAAACTAAATGTAAACATTCGTACATTGCTCGCAAACTGCGAGGAATTAGTCAAAGATGAAGCTAACTACTGGCGTCTTAAGAAATTCATAAAATCATTGGATACAATGATAGAAGAACTTGGAAGCATGGAAGAGTAGGTATTCTATGTTGTTTATTTTATGATGGTCATTCAAAGAACATTGCAAATATCTTTGCAGTCCCTACAGCAATGAAAAGATTCCAGATTATAGCAAACGCGTCCAGCACTTGAAAAAATTGACTAATTATATCGACAGTCCAACGTCGGCCAATAGAAAGAGAATATCTGGAAACCTTAAAACAGCCGTCGAAGCTGGGGACGATGCATTGAAGGAAGTTAACCAAATGAATCAAACTAGACAATATGTAGAACTTCGAAAGGAATTGTTACAGGACGACACTTTGAGGAGAAGAAAGCCATTAGAAGAGGGCAGTGGAGATCAGGGCGAGGCTGTGAAATTCATACGCGACAACCAGGAAAAAATTACGGAGCATATGCTATCATTAACGAGGAACCTGAAGGAACAAACAGAGACAGCCAACAAAATCATAAAGAAGGACACGGAAATGATGTCACGTTCAGCAGGGATGACTGATCGGAATATAAGTGCCTTAAATAAAGAAACCGAAAAACTGGAAGATCACTCGCGTAATGCCTGGAAGTGTTGGATGTGGTTAATGATAATTTTCGTTATTGTAACGTTTATAGGAATGGTGTTATTTATGAAAATTGTAAAAAAGAAAAAATATTAATTTAAAGTGTTTGAAATTGGTAGCACTGGGTTAACGAAATCCTGTTAAATGTAAACGTACTATAAACGAAGGTGTATATTTATTAAAATAGTTGGTTCCAAGGTGTATTTTATCAACGTTACCTAAAATTCAACGTAGCGTACAAAAATATTCAACATACCCACTATGGCAAAATGTTTTGTACGGCCGTATTACCCAAATACGTCGAATCCATATCTCTTAGCGAACTAAACAAAATCGCGAAACAAAATTAAAAAATTATACAATGTATTCAAATATTTCACATTATTATTGGAATTTTCATATTTTCTTTTTGTATCGTCAAACGCCCTAGTTGAATTTTACAACGTTACCTAAAATCCGACGGGGCGTACAAAAATATTCAACTTCCCCACTATGGCAAAATGTTGTGTACGGCCGTATTACCCAAATACGTCGAATCCATATCTCAACAAATAATACAAACCGCAACACAAAATTGAAAATTTATTAAATTAATCCACATATTTTTAGGTTCCATTCGAAATTTCAAATTTCCTGAATCTCTTGTTTTTATTTTCAAAAAGAAAAAAAATGAAAAATACGTTCTGTCAACGTTAAAAATTTTCAACATGAAATTTTGTAGGTTCGACTTATTTCGGTAACATTCATATAAATACATGTGTTCTACTTTTGTGGTGAAAAACGTCGAACGAGCTAGTTGAATTTTTGGTAAGGCTGTTAGGTAGTGCTCTATAAGGTGTGACAATCATATGGTTTTAAATTTTTTTCTTTATTGTTTGTAAAGCAAATTGTCAAAAATATTTGTCAACGTTTCATTTCGATTTAAAACAGCAGTGCCCAGAATAGGTCCCATGGGCTGTCGGTGTGTGCCAAAACTCTCACACACAAAATGATAAAAATAGAAAAATTTGAAAATAAAAAATATTTTCAAAATTGTCATTCATTCCTTTTTGTTTTCATACACTGAACGAAAAAATTAGGACATTTTTGCCAAAAATTAGTTCAGAAAAAGTCGAAATATGTGACCAATACCATGGGGATTGGTTATATAGGAAAATATATCATTAACAAGCATATTTGCATTGAATACAAAATGTTTTTCTGTCTTAAAATTTGAAATACAAGTTTCTACAATTTTTCTCACAGTTTAATAAGAGAGAAATATAAATTTGAAATTGTGTATTTGAAACAAATACAATAACAAACATTTGCATGTATTAGTGTGGACAGCCCTGATTTAAAATATTGTCTTTTGTTTTCGGTTATTATTTTTTTATTAATAAAAGTGCAATAATAATGCATCTGTAGGGACGGAATATTTGTTAATGCCCCAAGTGTCGACAAGGAAACGTGAGCTTAAATCAGTTTTAAATCCGGCCGCTGATTTGTTCCACATATTTGCCGCAAGTACAACTTGGGTTCCAGAACGCAAATACACATATGTATATGTGTGTTCTTATGATCGATTCAATCCAAAAAGGAGATTGTTTCGTACTCCACTTACCAATGATCGAAAAACTGGTGATTTGTGCATATGATTCGTAATGTAAAGTACTGTTTTGCAATTTACATGTTTTGAATAACAAGTACCGTTTGGAATTTTACAAAAACAGGGTGTTAGACTACCAAATCCACTTGAACTCAAACGTCAATTATATTGCGTACACGTCACTTTAACGTATAGTTGATTACGTAAATCTAAACGTATCTTTATCGTATCGAATAAACCGAGAAAATAATCTGAATTTACCAATGATCGAAAAACTGGTGATTTGTGCATATGATTCGTAATGTAAAGTACTGTTTTGCAATTTACATGTTTTGAATAAGGAGTACCACCGTCCTTTAAGTGGCCGGACACGGTCATGCATGCATGACATGCATTTTTTGGTATGTATGTGTCACACCTACGATGCATGAAGCAAAATCAAAAAATTTTGATTTTTCGCATGCGCGACGTTCGATTTTGACGTGTGTGCGGTGGAGGCATCATGCATATTCTCACTTGTGACCAGTGTTGCCGAAAGTGGGCATTTATGCCCAAAAGTGGGCATAAATAATGTAATATTTTGGACTTGGGCGGATTTTGGGCATATTTTTCGTTTCCGGCGCATTTATTTTTTTGTGTATTTGTTTACGCTACACAAATATTTTTTGAGAAATAGTTTTCTGTAGTGATCCGACAATCATTATAGGATAAAATTGACCAAAATATTTATTAATGTCTTATTCTAATCGCTCTATAGATCATAAGCATGATCCGAATATCATATAATTTATCCGGGAAGTGGATCTGGGCATCGATGAACATAACAATCTATGGTGGACATGTTTTATCCAGGAACATATTAAATAAAATCATTTGTACTTTGAAATCATCTCAACTATCTTGACTTATGTGTTGGGATATACCAAAATGCTCATATGTGGACAAACATTCACTGAAAATGTATGTCCAGTGGTATTTGTCAACCCCTTCCGAATATCTGCTCCGCTTACTGGTTTTCTTTTAGGTCATTCTGTTGGGTTTCCCGACATATATACTACCTCAATATGGTTTGCTGTGGTCTCTATTGCCAAGGTGGAACATTTTTATTATATTGTGACCGATTATTGCCCTAAATTTATATTAATTATAAATATTAAGGCTTTTCATGTTTAGACTACACAGTATTTACCATTCGCTTTATTTAAGGTATATGTTTTTATTAAAGAGTTGTGCCCTAGGGGCCATTTATTCGGATTTAATGCAGATTTGGTAACATATTATGATGTGGAATCAATGCATGAAATCAACATTTACAACCATTTAAAATATTGACCCTGAAGCAATGAATTTAATCTAGGTTCCGTTCAACTGATATTGGATGAACAAATTTTAAAAATTTCGGCACTTTGTGGGGAACTTGATTTAAATTTGGAAGAAAAATATGTGTTAAGTTTGGATTAAATCGGTTACTTCTTTCGAATGATATCGTGCGCACCAGTCATCCAGACGGTTATTTGTTAATGGACTCCAAATTGAATCGGATTTGATCCAAAGACACATGGGGACTAAACGAATATTTCGATGAGGTACTTTTTCCGCAACATAGTACAAATTTTTAAAACAAAGACATTAAAAAACTATTTAAAAATAAAAAATCAATTTTGCTATTATTTTCCCCATATTTCCATGCCGCAAAACAGTGTACTTTTTTGCATTTGAAAAAATGTAGAACAAAAAGGACACTCGCTTTTAATACTTAACGTCAGTGTATACCTTTTCAACTCTTGAATTTTTGGGCATAAATTGTTGATTTTGGGCACTTTTTAGGGAAATTTTGGGCGGAAATAAAATTTTCAAACGGCAACACTGCTTGTGACGTTTTTTTTTCAAAGAGAATACTGCGAGAAAAATGTTATAGAGTTGTTGGATGTATGCCAGTCGTTCTCAGCCCTTTTTTCAGCATTTTCTCTATTTTGTAAGCGTGGTTTTATATTTGTCGGGATCGGGATAGGTGTTGAGAGTTTCTCTCTCTTGAGAGAGTAATTAGAGTTGCGCTATTTTTAATTTTGTAACAAGCGTACTTTTTGTTCACAAAAGGCACGAATTGACATAAACGTACCAAAACAAAAATTAGATTTTTTTATTATTCGTGAATACATTTACGCTCAAATTATAACATATATTATTTATGCAAATAACCGGTATAAATATTGGCCAATATTTCTCGACAATTATGATTTATTATCATTTGAAGTAGAATTTTAGGTACCTTTTCGTACTTTTTTGTTCCTACCTGTGGTAATGTTTTCCAACACAATTCACAATTTACCACTAAGAGAGAGAGAAACTCTCAACACCGATCCCGATCCTGACAAATATAAAACCACGCTCATGCATGCATGATCGTCTACGGCCCACTTTAAGTACGTAAATATGCATCTCTGAAGTAACCAACAAATTACTACTAATTGAAGCAAAGAACCGTTAGTTTTCAGGGCTTGCTTTGCAGGGATTTTAATAAATATTGTGGAAATTAAATCATAAAAGAAATGTAGAAGAAATGTTTGGGGAAAAGAAAAGTAATGGATGTGGTAACTGGTCGTACGATCCTTTCAGCAACCAGCGCGATGAGTATGTATTCCTTTGGAAATAGATTTGAAATTGTTTGGTATTAGTGTCCTTTATTTTCTAGTGTTCCCTCTCCAAATCGCATTGAATTTAGGTCTCCTGTTATCCCATACATTAGAACTCATGCGGCAATATTACGTTCTAATGTCGCTGGGGTGAGTTCTTTATGTTAAGTTGAGTGATTTTAAGGCCTATTTATTTATTTGGCTTATATAGGATACTCTAGACAAATCGCACTGGACTTGTGATTATTCAGATGATATTTTCCAATCCCTAAGAGAGTCGGAGCTCAGACGTCACACTATTTACTTCCGTTCACCCCAGATCGAGTATAGGCCAATGTTGCTGCAGCTCACAATGGATGCAGTGGAGAAAAATAAGCTATCCAGAACAACACTACATCTTGGTAATTATGGTAGCATACTACATGCTTTTATTCCAGCTCTTTCAAGCGTGTTCTCAGCAGAAACCTAAGATCTTATAACAAAATTGTAATTTTTGTACAATTTTCAATATTGCTTTTATATATCTTCTAATTTCAGCTATATATTTTCTAGATTGTTTTATGGATAGCTATACAATACGTCCTGACAAACTAAATCTAACCGCCATAACATGTCTTATGATCGCAGCAAAAATTGAAGAGGCTGATATGGATATGCCAAAATTCGCGGACCTGAACAGATTGATGGGCAAAAATTATAATTTGCAAGAATACAGAAACGTTGAACGTAAAGTGCTGAGCACATTCAATTTTAATGTAATTCGGCCAACTTCGGCTGCCTTCGCTGAATACTTTGCAAACAATTTGGTGACGCTGCAGGATTTTCATACATTTGTCAATAATTGGAATAACGAAATATCTACTAATCGCTACCAACATTTCCATCAGCAATTGCAGAGCTCGGAACACGTAATGCCTCATGCCATGATTTGTTCGCCTTGTCCCTACAGAACATACGAGGAAATGCTGATTGTGTTAAGCAAACACTTCTTTGTATTAATAGATGTTACATTGAACTGTGAGTAAAATAGTTGTTTTTTATGAGTTAAAAATAATATGAGGATTAGACATTAATTTTTAGATTCACGTAGTGCTAATCAAACGTCTGATTCTGAAAATAATAACTTGTTTTTTCAGATTATAAATTTGTAAATGCGCGCCCTTCGATAATTGCGTCAGCTTGTATAGCAGCGGTGAGACAAATAAACGGAGTTTTTCCTATATGGACACCATATTTGATCAATTTAACCGAATGCACGGACGATATAATATCCCCATTTGTTGAAGCCATATTAGCTATTTACCGTTTGCAGCAATGTAATGAGAAGTTACAGGTTGTACAAACGCCAAATACGCCTATAGCAAATAACTGCTCTGGCGCTGCCAATATTATATGTGATAGCCCTGATTCTGGCATTGTATCGTGTAATGATACAAAGTCTATGAAATCTGATAGTGATGACGATATTGACAATTGCGAAGCACAAGATAATGCTGATACAGACGATGATGAAGATGAACCATACCATTGTTTGGAATATCCACTGCTGTCGAAAAGAAGGAAAATTTTGTAATAGAATGGGTATAGTATGTCTTCTTTTGTATCAAATGCAATATGGAGAACGCAAATTTTACATCATTTGAATATATAGGTCTTATTACTCTCTTAGTCCTGTGGTCTAAGTTTATTCCAATTCGACTTTGTTCGTAAGGTTTTTAATAAAAATGAAATACCAGTTTATGTTTATTTACTTAGTAGTAATACATTTTCTAAAAGTGAATTGCAATAAATTTTAATTTCCTAAATATCTCCTATATAAAAGTTAAGTTATTAATTTAAAAAGTGACAGTCGTTTCGCCGATATTTATCTTGAAGTTTGTATCTTATTCCATACATTTTGTAGTTTGATATTTTTTAGAAGTTTTCGTGATTTAAGTTGTTACCACATTCCGTCTCGCTGACCATAAAAACATATGTCTTTCATTGGAGAAGTCCCTACTTCCCGATATATGGGAATCTGAAGATCCGAAATTTATTAGCTCACAACTTCGTAATTTCATTCCCTTTTGAAAAGTCATTGTTTTCGTATGCTGAATGAGTAATTTTTTGTCTAAAATTAGAATTAGATTAGAAATGCAGCTACTCCTAAATGAATCATGTGTCTAGAACCTTAAAAAATAATCGAAATCATATTTTACCATTTATGTGGGCTAAACATCGTGGACTGATAGGTAAGACAATGACAATTCTTTGATGACAAAAATGTGAGTGTCAGAGTGTACGTGCGACTTAATATACGTGATTTTAGACTTGTTTGCTAATAATGGGAAAACTCTGGATATTCGCTAGGGAGATATCTCGAATGTAAAACATTTTTCGCTTTCACATTCTCGCCTTATTCTGAATGAATAGGGCGAAGCAAAAATGCAAGAAATTCGAATTTTCGAAAATGGTGGCTCGCCTTATTCTAAATGAATAGGGCGAAGCAAGGTATATTTAATAAGGTAGCCGCATCGGCCCAGCTGTTGGGCAAATAAATGTCAAAAATGTTGTTGTAGTGTTGAACCAAAAAATTAAAAAACAAAATTATAAATGAAAATCTCCGAATTTCGAAAAGCTTTTTTGGCACTACTTTTATTAACATTTTCTACAAGAATTTTTGTAAAAAAATCTTGTCAATCTGTTTCTTTTTGCAAAATATTTTTGACATATCAAAATACAACAACCGATGTTTGTTGTAGAAATTCGCCGATGCGGCTACCTTGTATATCTACCTTGGGGCGAAGCCAAGGTATATTTAATAAGGTAGCCGCATCGGCCCAGCTGTTGGGCAAATAAATGTCAAAAATGTTGTTGTAGTGTTGAACCAAAAAATTAAAAAACAAAATTATAAATGAAAATCTCCGAATTTCGAAAAGCTGGCACTACTTTTATTAACATTTTCTACAAGAATTTTTGTAAAAAAATCTTGTCAATCTGTTTCTTTTTGCAAAATATTTTTGACATATCAAAATACAACAACCGATGTTTGTTGTAGAAATTCGCCGATGCGGCTACCTTGTATATCTACCTTGGGGCGAAGCAAAAATGCAAGATGCGGATTCGAATTTTCGAAAATGGTGGTTGAAAAAAAGATTCGTGTTGCCATATTGTAATTTAAGTTGTAATGTGTGTTGCCATATTGTAAGTTGTAATGTGTGTTGCCATATTGTGTACCTTTTTTTTGGAATTTTGTCGCCGATGAGGGCAAACTCGGGTTGGTCGATTACCCAAAGTAATCATGAACCACATTGTGTACCTTTTTATTTAATTTTGACATGTTATCACCCCAAATTCTTAAAGTGGCCAATAATTTTATGATATGCTCCTCCTTTAATTCTTCCTTCAAATTATGCACACCATGGTACAATAAATAGGTAGTCCATTTAGAGCAGCTGATGTCTCCATTAACTGTCAAAGTGCATAATTTCTACTTACATTCGATGTGCAGTGTTGCCAACAATGTGAAATATTACAAAGAAAAATTTGACAGATAATCGAGACAAAAACAAAGGTTTTTGTTTTGATACATCACCTTATTATTGCATCACGATAATTTTGAAAATATATAGGGGAGAGGGGGCACCTTTGAACAGCGCTCTTAAAATCTCGGTTTAACATTTTTCCGACCCGTAACCACATTTTTGTATATGGCAATCTTGTTCTCTATCTGCGTAAACCAATTTGGCTATCTTTTTCAGTTGTCGACAAAATGTACATGGGTGACCATGTTTTCGCAGTGCCATTGTAAACTTTTTATTTTTTGGTTGTAAGGGCGCAGAGAGAATTCGGTGATCGTTTTCTTTCGTTAAACAATTTTTTTGCATTCCAACAATCATTTCAAACATAACTAATGTATTTTCTTTCATATATATTTCCTACAAAAAAAATTTATTATAAATTTCCGTAAAATGCCGCAGGTGGTGGGTCACTTTTGATTTTTCACGATATTAATTTTTGTTTTTAAGTCATTTTATGTTTTAATAAATTTTGATTTGAATTTTTTAATTTTCGAAACTTTTTGTTTATATTTTTTTAATAAATAAATTCATTTCTGATATCTATGAATAAAATATTTATATATTTGGACATAAACACTGTAAAAACCATGCCGTTCAAAAATATCAACCCTTGTTTAAAGCTGCCCAGACCCAGACTTAGTATTTATTTTATTGAATTTCTCATTATACAAAAGAATTACACTTACCAGAAAATTAATTAGAAAACAAACAAAATGACAGCTTTTCCAACATAATATTCTAAAAGTGTTCTAAAAGTAAAATTTTTGCTTTGATTTTGTAACAGAGTAAAAGAAAACTATTACAAAATTTGGCGTTGTCATAAATTTTACATAATACCGACCAAAAACGACTACGACAACGCATTCGACTACGCCTACGAGAGCTGCCGTACCGTAATAAGGGTCAATATAAATGTGAATATGAAATCTCCTTGGAAATAAAACTAATCTGGCCAATTCTAATAAAAGGGAAGAACATATCCAAATTATTAGTCATAAATGGCTAAAACCATAAGATGTCCCATGAGAACATGGAAAGGATATTATTTGACCCTTCCAATAAACAAATATTTTGTAATGCATTTTCGAACTTATTAAAACAGGAAGCTACTTACAGCTGTATTATATATTCAATATGTTTATTATAATCTTAATAAATACATCAATTGTTTTTCATTTTTACAAAATTCAAAATTTAACAAAAACAGCTTCCAATTCACGTGGACAAATTAATAATACATTGTGATTTCAAAATAGCTCTTCAACATAAATTATGCACCATTTATTCTTTGCTCACTTCGATTACAAAGTGCATAGGAAAAGTATTTAAAAAAAACAACAACACAACAGAGAAAACTACAAAAGTTCTAAAAAAAGTGGTTAAGGAACATTATTGTATGGCGACTGATGCCGCCAAAAAAAACGTATTTTTTAAAATTAAACACAAAATCCATTGAAGAAATTGCGTTTAAGTTATTGTACCATACATCATATATTGGAAAAATGATAAAAAAGAATATATTCAATAGTATGTAAAAATAACGATATATGGACAATTAAGTCTTTCTGAAATCGTGGCATGCACCTTGCCCAAATATTATTTTAATCGTATAAAAACTATTGGAACAATTAAAACACAGTAAATACTATCTGAGTCTAAAAATGCAGTTTTACCAGAAAGCAGTATATAAAGAAGAAAATTGATGGCGGATATTTATTGAAGTCAATTCCATTGGAAGACTCCAACAATTGTCAGTCAACTAATAAATCGTTGTATCGTTTTGGGTACAATTATTCGATCTAGACTAAGGATCTTTACGTTTTATATTCAATTCTATCTACAGTGGGCAAAAGTGATGTTTGGAATGGTAATTCAATAGCAAAAAGAAAATCGAGAAGTTATATGTTCACCGTTGATTATCACGCCGCTTCAAGATATCGAATATGACATCTGAGGAATTGTCTTTATTTGGCGATTCGTGTGTGTCATCTTCGGAATCTGTTTCCTCCAACAGTGGGACCGTCAGAGAGGAATGCTTCTTACCACCTTCGTTAAGGTCTGAATTAATGGTACCACTTTGATGAGCGGCATTACTATGACCTGCTGAAAATGCGACACTTCCTGTATTATCGCTGTAGTGCATGTCAAAAGAATCATCATCTCCACCCGACAAATTGATTTCATTTTTTGAAAGCATTGAATATTTGTGCAAAATATGGCATGATATACCCGCAAGACATACAACTAGGCCCAAACAATTTACTAGAGTGAGTTGATCGCCATTATATGCGACTGCCAAGGCTAGCTGGAATATATCCTGAAATTGGAAATTAAAGTAAAATAATCATATGAAATCGAGGTAATGCAGTAAAAGGAATTCTTGTGCATACCTTAAAAATGCCGGCAATTGATAGCGTTAAACTGGACGTTTTTACTAAAACCAAAAATTCTGCAACTTCCATACAGAACGCCATTGCTGCACCAAATGTTATTTTCAATATAACCATGCTTATATCTGAGCTGGAAAACTCACTCAATTTATCCACAACTCCAAAGAAAGACTTTCCTGTAAAATCTGAGGAATTACAAATCTGCTTATCGTTTCTCTTAAACTAGGATACATACCTTCAAATATGATCACAAATGGCAAGAGTGCTAATATCATCCAGGGTTGCATGTGATAAATCATATCTATCGGATTGTGCAGACCCAATTTGGACTTTTGCATAAGAAATTGGGCTAAGCTCCACCGAATGCCGCCGCTTAGGGAAGCTACTAAAATAAATACGAATCCCAATGCGTGAAATTGCGTTGATTTGTATGTAAACATAAACAGTCCCAATGCTATCAGGGATACAATAAACACTAGCGACCAACTCTGTAAGACAGAACATATTTGAATTAAAAGTGTGCGCAATGTACGATGGGGGAACATTTACCTTCTTTTCCAATCCCAGCATTATTGCAAATATTAAGATAAACACTATTGTTGACGATTTAGTCATTGTGTACAGTGAAATTGGCACTAATTCTAAGCCCCAGTTTGAAAATCCAATATCGATGCCGCTCGCTAAACCAGTGGGACCCATTTTTCGCACGGATGTTCGAAAGTCCAACTGTATTCTAGATTTGCCAACGACGCACTTGTAAATAGCACGTATCGTACTGGCAATAATCAGCTTCAATAGGAGGTGGTAAGTCACAATACTTAGCGGAAATTTAAGTTCCTTTATTAAAGCTGAAATCACAAAGAATTAAATAAACAGTTTTTACTGCAAACAGTTTTCAATTACCTTTCTGGTAGAATGTCAGACATATGGACAGAAATAAATATAGTAATATTGTCGCTAAGGAACATATTGCCATCTGCATCAAGCGAGAGTCGTTGAGGCGGTCTTTTAAGCTTACTTTTGTAGACGAGTTTGTTGCGGAATTACCACGGGTAGTGGAGTAACCCGGGTCGTGTGCATGTAGATCTACATCTTCGTCACTCTCCAATCCAAATCTAACCCTGCTGCTACTCTCATCATTCAAAACTATTTCCTGTTGGTCATCATCATCGTATGTCCTACTTGAAGCTTCTAAACTATTAAGGCGGGCATATTTATGCGACTCATAACGTGTTTGCCCCATATTCTGGCGTATCTTGTTCAACCTTATTGTGTCTTAAAAACTCCCAATTACAGGGAATGGAGCGAACATCCAATGACTGTAAACATATGTTAACAAATAATAATAGGAAATGTCGAGGTAAGTCGTTTCCGAGGATTCCTTGCCTTCGGTATGCTGCTTAGGTCGCTGTATTACTCATAAATACTATTCTGTTTTTTTTTTGTTCTTAACAATTTATTAATCTTGCTGGCCCTTGTCTACTTCTTTGTATAAGTACCGTGCATCTAACTTCTTCTTTACATTCTTATTTAGTGTTTGTTTTATTTCACAATGGTCCAAAACGAAACGTATTGTTGGCGTTCATGTCGTATTCTTTTAGAACGGACACAGAATTAGTTACTACCAATATTGTTTTATACTTTAAATAAAATAATCGCAAATAAAAACAACTAAACAACTGTTGACGTGAACACCCGATACTCGTCGAATATATTATAGGGTGACACAGAATGCTGACATTTCACATTTAATGCCCCTTTTACTTAACAGTGCAAAAACACAAGGTAGTATACCTTCCGAAAATAAAATAAAAATGTAATAGTATATTTACATTGAACCGAATTAAATAAATACAGTAGATCTAATGGTGTTTTTACACGATATGTATTTTACATATGTGCTGTCACTTTTTTGCATATGGAAATCGAACTCATCATGTGAAACATACGGAAATTTCAATGTGTCAAAACGATATGCAATTACACATGTATTTTTTTCCGAATAGGACGCGCCCTATTTTCGTATGTGAAACATAAGGAAATCAGCTGTTTGAATGAAACACATTGTTGGAAGAAAATATTTCAATTGCAAGTCAAAGAAAGGATGAAAAGGCAACAATTACAAATTATTATTTCGTTTGTAGGTGTTTAATAAAAAAAAAAATTATGTTGATTTAAGAAAAAATAAAAGTGTTTTTTTGTTTATAGGTTATGTCATATGTAAAATACATATGCCGATTTGAACACAAGAATAAATGTTTTGTGTACGCCGCTAATTTTGACACACATACGGAATTACATATGGATGAAATAAGTGACAGCACATATGTAAAATACATATCGTGTAAAAACACCATCATGTGTCAATTTCATAGCATATATAAGTCTGCTTTTCCACAGGCAGATTTTTATTTGGCAAATTTTTTGTTTTCTCTTTTGAAATTTTCGCTTGCTTTTCCATTAGCAAATTTTTCTTTGCCAAATTTGCGAATCAAAATACAAAAGAAAGAAAAAAAAAAAACGTCAAAAGTGTTTGCATTTTAAAGATTTTTTTTAATAATTTATTTATTTTTTATATATTTTATTATATAAATTGCAAAAATTAAAAATTAAATTTCACTTGCACAAATTAAAGCAACAGGTTTGTAAACAAAAGTCGGCCGTGTGTCAGTAAAGCGAATAGGTTCAAAATGTCAACAAAATTGTTTTCAACAGAGCAAAGCAGAATTTGCGTGTACGGCAAATTCTGAACAGGTAAATTTTTGTTTTTCTTCCTCGCACCCCTCTGCCTACAAACTCAGTATTTGCCAAATAAAAATTTGCCTGTGGAAAAGCAGACTAAGAGAATTTATGTTGCACTGGATTTCATTAACCCAGTGTGTTTAAATTGTTAATTCCATTAGATGTTTGTCAAATAAATCCTCATGATGTAGGTAAACCCGGTAAAAAGTTCTATTGTACAAGCTGTTTAACATTTGATCATGTTATTTTCTTAATCATTTTAAATTTACCATGATTTATCGTATAAATTTACATCATCTTGCGGCAGCGATTATTTTAAATCACGAGGTGGCTTGTTCCATCAAATCAAAATACATATTTTGTGTATTGTTTTTAATACTATGACAAATAAATTCAAAATAAATTGAAATATATTCAAATTTATAACAAATTTTTCATGGTATTCTTTACTGGATTTTGAAAAGAAATCATAACCTTTCATTCATTTTTCGCGTTTTTAGTTATGTGTTGAAAAAATGTCAAATAAACACAACCATTAGTTATATTTTGGCAGAAGAAGCCACCACATACGTAGTTACTTTTTTTATTCAACTCAAGTTGCTCTACCTTGTATTATTGTACCATGGTTGCAACGCCGTTTTTGCAGAAAAGGATGCATATATGATTTGCTGTACATTCAACGGTTGTCGAATGCAAAAATAAGAAATGCAAAGGAAAATACAAATTATCTATAAAATTTTTATACCCTTCACCACACTGTGGTACAGGGTATTATGTCTTTGTGCATATGTTTGTAACTGGCAAAAGGAAATGAGATAGACACTTGGTTCCTTTTGAGAATATGCATAGAATCACTTTCTGAGTCGATTTACGCATGCCCGTACGTCCGTCTGTTCGTCCGTCTGTCTGTCCATGTTAAATTGTAAACAAAGTACAGGTCGCATTTATGATCCGAATTGGATGAAATTTGGCACAGCTCATTTATTTGTCCCAAGGACGAACCCTATTAAAATTGGGAAAAATCGGTTCAGATTTAGATATAGCTCCCGTATATAATTTCGTCCGATTTAAGGTAAATGGTGCATCACTGTCCCTATATATCTTTCGATTTGCACGAAATTTGGCACAACGTACTGAATTGAGCCTAAAATGATGTCTGCCAAATTTCGTGAAAATCAGTCCAGATTTAGATATAGCTCCCATATATCCGATTGTAGGTAAATGGTGCACCAAAGTCCCTATATATCTTTCGATTTGGCATAGCGTACTGAGCTGAGTTTCGTGAAAATCGGTTCAGATTTATATATATATATCAGTTTGTAAGATTGACATGAAATTTGGCACAAAGTACAAAATTAGGCATAGAATTACGTAGTTGCGTTTTGTAGAAATACATAGCCCAACGAATGTCCTATTCATATTTGTTTGAAGTCGATTTACATATCTTTGCCCCATTGTAACAAACGAACGACATGTTTATGTATTGAGCTAAGTCGATTGACATTTAGATAATATCACATATTTTAGTTCATCCACTTTCATGTTAATAGTCCTGTTTAATATACCCATAGTGGTGAAGGGTATCATATAGTCGGCTCCGTCCGACTTTACTATTTTCCTTACTGGTTGTGTTTATAAATGGGTTTTACTTTCCAACCAATCACAGCATTGCTGGACAATTTTATAAAATTTTTTATAATCTTTTCATTTTCAATTTGCAAACAAATCGAGTCGATACTGTTATTAGTTTGTATAGAAACTTATTCTTTAACGATGTAGGGAAGACTGGGAAACATTCGGCACTTTTTTTTAGAGATCTGTATCTCAGTACTTATGCAACCGATATAAAAACTTTAGGGAAATTCGTTATTGTAGTAAAAGGTAGTAGATTTTTGCAATACGGGGACAAACCATATATTCTTAATTATTTTTATAAGAATAAGAATATAGATTGCAAAATTTAAAAATTTGGCCACCCACGCGATGTATGTAACTCACGCGACATTTTTGATTTTGCATTTTTTTATTTCTATAGTAGTTATTAAATTAAACTGCAAGTTAAATACTGCAAGAATATACTAGTTTTTACTATTTTGTCGATATTATAAAGAGAAATTTGTTATCGTAGATTCTTGCAGTACGGGAACAGAACAGTAAGTTATTAAATTAGTATGTATGTATGGTACTATTATAGAAGGTAACTGCAATACTCAGCTGATTTGTTTCAAACGTAATACTCGTGTCAATTTGAATATGGAAAATTAGGTGGCCCAGCAGAAAAATTGGGTACACATTGATTTCTTTATTAAATGTAATTTCGTACTCAATTTACTAAATTCGCCCACTGGGAAAGTTTGAAGCACTAAATCTGTTTTCATAAAATAATTCCCGGTTTCTAGCATTTTCATATGTGTTGTACATACACTTGGCCATTGCTCAATTACTGGAAATGTGTGGACGCGATATAATTAGATTATCAATTTTATTCTGAAAATTTTACATTTCGAAAATAAATAGAATTTATTGATATTTTGTTTACATGAAACTGACATTAGTGTTACATGTTGTTGAATTTGATTTGTTGTAGTTTTACAGTTACCTTGTATAATTGTACCATGATAGTTATGCTAAGAACAAGAAATTACAAATATTGTCTTTCTTTGTATTTGTTGCCTTAACAGCGCGTATCTAAGTACAATAAAAAATCTTCCACTTTGGTTTACCATTTTCCACTAGATTTTGCTGAAATATTTTTTGTGTACAAAACCCCTTGGAAATGCTGCCAATTGGTCTTTATAAACCTGTGGTCTATATATAGACCAATTTGGGTTTATAAAGCCCTGCATCAACATACAGAGCAACTCTTGGCCGATACAAAATGACACGCGTCCTTTCAATATTCTCGCTTTAGTAATATTGAAAATTGCCCCGAAGAATTGTAATGTGACTATTTTCAAATCGACTGCTGTACGTTACCGTAATTTTCAAAAGGTTGCAGTGTAAGGACAATTTATTACATCACGTCTACTAAGTCTAAGTCATTGCCATCAAAGCAACGTTAAAGCGCATGTCTGGAATCTGAAGTTAGATGCGAGTCCTTGTTTCGTTAAAAATTGCATATACAAACACACTTGTTAGTCCTGTCATTCTTCCTTTGAAACGATATACTATACACATTACGATTGTAGGTAGTTTAGTTGCGGCAAAACGGTATTCGCGAATAAACTCTGCGTTCATATTCTATTAAATAACGGATAAAATAAAATGGCAAATGAAATCAAACAAAAGAGCTGTGGAATTCTTAACTAGACTTGTGGTCAGTGGTTACACGATTCGATCGTAGCAAATTATTAAATTAGAATAGAGTAATGTGATTGCCGGGACGAAAAAAAATGGTGAATCATTTGTGCAATTGAATATAGATAGGAGAAGGAGGCAGTTGCAAAAAAATTGTCAAAATTACGTAAAATCATTTTAAGGTTATTCATAAAAAATATCAATTTAGTTCGATTATATTTGTGAAAACAATGTGCCTCAGTTATGACTATGGAAACGGCAATGACGCGTCATAGCTAGACCACCAACAACAACCAATAAAGGATACATCAAGAAGGAGCTAAAAAAAAACATTGAAAAACTCATCGTCCGTTCAATACTTTTTCAACACGTCGAAGTAGCGTGGAGAGAAAGTAAACGTCGACCCAAAGCGCAGCGGAAATGTCTACCAATAATGAAAAGGTATTTTTTAACAGATACCCTTATGTCTCGCAGCGATGCATAGAATTCGAAAACTGCATTTTTGTTAATATACTCACTCACATGTGTATGTACAGATGTATGTATGCTAGCTACAGCGGCTCAATGACATATAGGAGTATACAACTTGTATATATTTGTATTATTATTGATTATAACATAGTTCGTTTACGAGGAAAAACTACTGGCTACATACATATGTACATATATATTTATGTATGTGTTTGAGGTTACAATTCCACGCCAAAAACTATATTAGCTGTTAACTCCGAGATATAAAATCCAGCTTGCTGATTAGATTAAAATACTTCATCTTAGATTTGTAGAGAAGGAAGCAAATATTCGTGTGGGCCTGGTACAGATGTTGGACTTAGCCGTTTTACCTCATTCCAAATGCAAAAAAACACTATCAACAATTTATTACAAGAATTAGTTTGCCCTGCACGCAGGATTGCCAGATTATTTTTATAGAAAATCATCAAATGACTATTTTTGTTAAAAAAATAAATTTATTATATAAAATCACCCATGCAAGTACTCACATTTAGATATGATTAATTATTCTTTTATTAAAAAGGGACTTAAAATAAATATTTAATTTATTAAACGCGTTTGTACTTTAATTTGATCAAGAAAGTTTATAATTTTATTTATATTTTATATATGGATAGTCATTTCGACTTTTATTAAGTCACTCGTTTTGTAAATATGTGGATATTTGGGATTATCATTTTTAAAAACCGGTTTTCCGTTCACCAAACATTAACTATTGTTGCATTTGTAATATTACAAAAATACCTCACATACAAATACAAATATGCCAAATATTCATCTTCTTCCTACCTATTCTTTCGCTTTATACATTTATAACAAAAATTGAAATTTTGAAAAAATGGTCAACTCGCCATTTTTCAATAAATGAGCAGTGGCTGCACCAGCTTCGTAGTTTAGATAGGCAACATACTGTTTAAATTCTTGCCATTATAAACCTTAAGCATTCGGGAGCTTATTAACCTTCCTTTATTCCCAAAGTAGTATTTTTATTCACATTGTTTTCAATACACTTAGTTTTGGGCGTGGATTGAATTTATTACGTCACGAATCGAATAATTCAGTTCGAGTGACCGCATTTTTACGATGCTACAGCGCAATGAAATAATGAAATATAATAGGTTTATAGGAAAATGCATATAAGAATTTCACGATTTATATCCATTTCAAGGATATCATATCAAAGGATAACTCTAAAAAATGATTTTTGTACTTAAATATAAAAATTTAGAAATTGTTCAATTCATTTCTTTAATTATAAAACGAAAGTAAATTTCATGGCAGGTTTATTCATAAGGTTAGCAGGGAGGCGAATTCATACCTTAGTCTTCTCTTGCTGTAAACATTTGAATCGCGAAATACCAACCAGAACAGGATAAAAACTCAAAATATCTTTCAATAAAACGTAATGATAGTAACGTGCACGTATATTTGGGTTCCAATAAAAATATTTTTTGTTTATTTATTCTTCAAACAATAAATTTGACAATCAAAGAAGACTTCGAATTCCATGGCATAGACCATGGTATGTATAATAATAGAAGGTAACAGCAAGTGTTGTTGTACAACAAACGATACAACATCCACATGGAAAGTTGTTGTTGTAAGTTATACTAGTGTCAACGTCATTTGACAGAAAAATATAAACAAGCAAATTATCAAGAAATTATATTTATTTTAAAAATGAAATATTTTCGAATCCTCAAAATAAAATTGAAAAACATGAATGAAATTCTATCAAATTTATATTTCTATCGCTTCCACATCTTTCCTATAATTGAACCATAACCACTTATATGTGTAACACATATAAAAAGGCAGGGAATTGCGAGTTATTTCATGAAGAATGATTTGCTTCCTCAAACTTTCCCAGCAGGCAGATTGAGTAAATTAAATACGGGAGCACATTTAATAATTAACAATTTCCAATTTTATGCTTTCCCAATTTTCCTGTTGGGTGATTTTTAAAAACATAATTTGTCAAATTCGTATTGACACTAGCATTACGTAGGAAACAAATCAGCTGGGATTTGCTGTTACCTTTTATTATTGTACCATGGGCATAGACCATGGTACAATTATAAAAGGTAACAGCAAAATCGGGAAAGGAAAATCGGGAACGCATGCAATTCGAAATTGTTCTTTATTAAATGTAAATGTATATTAAATGTATTCAATTTACTCAATCTGCCTGCTGGGAATGTTTGAGGAAGCAAATCTAAATCTATATATATATTTATATATATATATATATATATCCCAGAATAGTGGTTTAGTTTAAAAGTTAGTTTAGCTACACATAATATTTACGGGGATCTTTGCAGGGATGATTGTCCTAGTGTACCTTAAAGGTCGTTTACATTGAACCGGATTTGGTTAACCGAGTGGGTTTAAATTTTCAATTCCTTTGAATATATGCCAAATAAATCCTCATAAAGTAGGTTAACCCGGTAAAAAGTTCTAATGTAAATGCCGTATTAGGGGAGTAGTTGACCTGAAAAATGTATTTAAAATATAATGATGTATATACTCGGATATGAGAAACCACCCTGGAAATCATTTCTGTCAGAGAAACAGGTTATGGAAATGGGAAAAATATGTACTTAAATATGCCTCCGATTTGAAGTACCAATTTCAAAATTTCTCTTTACCATTCCGCTCAAACTACATTGTTAAGTTTATGTCTATTTTATTGCCGCACGCTAGTTTAAGAAGGCACTAGTCATCTGGAAATGTGTGCTCTACGGTTATGACTTTTTGAATTTTTTTTAAAACGATTTAGAATAATATTAATGGCCTAACTGAGGATTGTTCCAATTCATTTAAAAAGATTACACAAAATTTGCTTTCATATTATGTGTTTGGGAAAAAATAATTTAAATAAATTTGATTTTTTTAATCTTGCATCCACGAAAATGAGACGTCTTTATTTACAATTCTTATTTTGAATTGATCGCATTGCTTTGTGGGGGGACGCTGAAACCTTTTATGAATTTCACAATTGGAGATATTTCGTGGGAAACCAACGTGTACTATAAAGGTTTAGTGTGAATGTAGAAAAATATTGCATGAATTTTTTCCATAAATAACGGTTTTTGTGAAAAACGTAGACTTTGAGCTGGGCACATAATTAAAACATCGTATGATTATTTATTTTACTGCAATTTAATTGATCGGCAAATTAAGTAAATTTAGCACCGATAAAATCATGTACAGATAAAATTTTTTTAAATTTTATAAAAATTTATACAGTACAACTAACATGGGAGAAATTACCCTTATATAGAAAATAATTTTTCGAATCTACTTCTTGTAGATTGCTAGAATTAGTAGAAAACAATAAATAATTCTTAAAATAAATAAATATTTGCAATAAAAACTCAACAGGTGGGAATTAACCTAATGAATCGGTTCGATTTAGAAAGGTTTTATTAAAATGCCGGAATATTTTGCAGTATGTGAGGAAATATCAATTAATTATGACATTTATTATATCAAATCAAATTGTTCTCCCTTTCTGGCTAAATTAGATTAAATGGACATTATTCTATTCCAAAAATATTATTTGGGAAAATATTGTAATTTTTAACAGTTTCCAAGGGTAAATCACTTCAAACGAATCGAGGGCTGATCAAAAATTGAGTACCAAAGTTCATGTTTTAATTATGTTACCACCACTGTATGTCGTTGCCATTCGTAAAGGTTCAATAGTATTGAATCAATATAAACACCGTTTAGTATACATTGAGACTTCACTGTACTTGTAACTTTCCCATCAATGAATGCCAATTCCAAAGAGATGATGATTATATATGGCCAGAGATGGTCCGTCAGAAACAGTGACGTAAATGACCTACATTTCCGACGTATAATACATACGTCAGAAACGTCGGAAACCTACGCAAAACCATTAGGTTTTTGACAAAATAGCTATTTCCATTAATCAATTATGAAATTACATATCGTCAGCTAAAATGCAAAAAGGCGTAACTAACAAAAAATTGAAAATTGACTTTTTGAATGAATATTGTGAATGTCAATAAACTACATGTGTTGACAAAGTTTTACACGTCTGCGGTCAAAAAAGGACCTTCTATTAACAAAAAACAAAAAGACGTAACTACAAGTGGGTTTATTTCATAAATACAAAATGGCGTAACTAACAGAAAATTCACTTTTTTACTTAATTGTTATGACCGCCATTAAACTAAATAACTAAATTTGTTAAAAAAATTATAGTCTATTATTCGTCATATGCAATATCACCCTGCCGGTCACACTTTTTCATTTCACATGACATGTTTATAGTTTTCATTCAAAACAGTTTTTTGCTTCTCCTACACAATTATGTTTTTGTTAGTTACGCCTTTTTGCATTTTAGCTAACGATATGCTTTACTCAAATCCATATGAAATTTCAAAATTTTCTTCCCTAAAAAGTTTGGAATTGTTTATCATTTCCAGTAAGGAATAGTCATATATATATAAAAATGATATATATTCTACAAAATACCTATATATGGTAATGATATTTAAATAAATGACGTTTACTACCTTTATTACATTTTATACAGGTATATGACGTTTCCGACGTTTACACCTTTTTGACAGTCGAAAACCTAAAGATTCGTCTCATGGACCATCCCTGTATATGGCCTGAGAGAAAGAGGGTATGCGTGAGCTGAGAGCAATGCTTTGTTTTTATCACGTTATCATTCTGATAACGGGATTTTTGTGGGCGAGTATCAACAATTACGACAACATTGGAGAAATTATTTATAAAATTTTTTCTGTTGTTTTTCTGTTTGTTCAACAGTGCACTCACTCGCCCGCTTATCTTCAGATCATTAGCTCAAAACAAAACAAGGAAAAAAAATGAATTTTTAATGGAATCAGAAGGCGATTAATCGAGTACCGTGCAAAGAGAAATATAACTTTTCCGCGTGTCAATGGCGTTTCTCGTGTTTGTGGATGTTGTTCATTGAGTTTGGAAGAGCAGTGGATTCTCTTAGAGTGGCATCAAGTAAGCTTAAAGTACCTACACACTGAGGAGATAATTGTGCGTGGGATACCCTGCATTTGCGGAATTAGTTAGATGTATAGAATATATGTTCAACATTGAGGTATGTCGGACGGGTATATTTGTCAATTTGACACAGGTGCCGGTCATTCCTCGGATTTTCGTTAAGCTGCTTGAATTTATTTCTTGTGGTATTGGTGCGAAAGTTGGATTTCATTTCGTGTGGATCGGAAGTAGATTGATTTTGCCTTCCAATGTCCCACTGTTATCCGGTCCATTGATACTGTACTCCAGAACTTCAGTTATTTCCTCTTGGTTATCTGTTGAACATTGTCGCGGACCGCACTGTATAGCATCCATAATATTTGTTTACGGGCACTGGCGCTGATAATGCAGACTATGGCCGTATGTGGGTCTGAAGTGAGGGGTAGTCGCGTCTAATTGTATGAGTTCGCGTAGTGGTCGTTTGTTCTGTTTCTGTTTTTAACAATTTCACTGATAATTATGATAATATTTTGTTACTTGGCATTTGATGTTGTTGTTGCTGCTGCTGCCGTTTATGTCATTGTCGTTGTTGTGGTTTATGACAATGACGATGCCTGTACGAGGCCGTACGTATGGATTGTAATTGTGGATGATGGTGCGGTGATAATCTCTCGACAATCCGTACAGATTGAAATACAATTTGCTCTTCGGCCGCGGCTGTTGTTCTTGCATCCGATTTGATTAAAATGAACTCAGTGTCGTTTATTCATTTGCTAAAACATCAACTCGTTAACGACGTTCTCAAAACAACTGATTCACGTCGTTCTCCTCTGACTAGCGTATATTTTCGGTGAGCCTATATCTAACATTTAAAAGTAGACAATTCTAAGATATTGAGATTATGGGTAGATATATACCCATTGCATGCGGATATTGTAGAACAATTAGAAATAAATGGTTTTTATAACCTTCACCACACTGTGGTACATGGTATTATTATTCTTGTGAAATCGCACAATGTTTTAATTATGTGGCCATTTCAATGTCGATTTAAAAAAATTAATTTAGAACACTTAGGTATACTGCAATTAAGAGATTAGGTGTGAAAATAGAAAATTATTGCTTGCAATTTTTCTATAAATAAAAGTTTTTATGGTAGGTCATCACTGTTGGATTGGTGTCGGAAATGCAATCTGCACGCTTAGAAATGTCTAGTTTAGAACAATTGATATTTAGGGAAGCCGCAGAACCAAAATTTTGATATTTGGTTCCTTGGTGTGTATATGAGATTCAGTAAACGAAAAACCGGATATTGGATATTTTAGTGGAATTAAATAACTCAATTAAATAATACAGAATTAAGTTGAACGAACACAACGACCATTTTGAGAAAGAATGAAATGAATGCACCGAGATCGAAATGTGGCATTTGTTATGCGGGCTATTAAAACCATTCGGTTGAGAAAGCCTAGGGACTAACTAAGGAAATTCATTGGAAATCCAATTTAAAAATAACATCCTGTGGATGCATATCGAATGGCAATTTATTTCGATCGAAGCTGCAATGAGAAAGCTCGAATCGGGAGTGTAAGCACCGCCACCATTATGCGACGCGTTTCGCCGTTGGTTAAGCGGTTCATCAGGCATATTGGGCAATGTGGCTTACAAAGGTCGTTACCTGATATGTTGTATTTATATCGAATTTATTGCGATATTGCATCTACGAATCGAATTTAAACGTAATCAAGTTCGACGTTTGTCATCACATCAGAACACCCCTTTCCAGAGCAGACTTTTCTGCTGTATATTGTGCAACGTCCGGAAGTTAAGGAGGTGGCTTCGGACGTCAAAGTGCCATTTTTATTTTCAAATCTGTGATTGCATTTTGTTTTTATTTCATGTTTTGACCCCTATACATTTGAACATGCCCCTGCAATGGCAAACGCGCCTACATGTTTTTCGACAAATTATTCAAATCAAAAATTAATTTTTTACAGAGATCCTGTGATACATTAGCTCCTGTTGCTGTCAGTATTGCCGCAGTGGCTGCCAAAGAAATCGAGACATTGAAGCTGGCATTGCAGGAGAAGGAGAACCATATTTTAGTCATGGAACAGGTGTGCCTATCGGAGTCCGAACATCAGGCCGAACTGGAGGACAGCATAATTGCGTGGCAGGATAAATATGATCGTCTATATGAGTCTCACAAACGTGTGCAAAAGGTCAATCAAGGTTTGGAGGATAAGTTATTAAAACTAGTGGATCGTAACGCCGCCGAAAGAGCCCAGCTAACCAGCGATGTAGCTACATTAAGTGTACGTTTGGCCCAGGCCAACTTCAATATATCGAAACTCCAGCGAGAAATTGTAAGTATATGGTAGCAAGACCGCTTAAAATATCTATGTAAACGTTGGTGCGGGTGGGTGGTTGTTTGCCAACACCTGTTTTTCGATAGCCAGACCATGAACTGTGAAAAATCTGTGTTAACATATAAGCACAGATGCTTTTAACTTCCAATAACGATCTACCTGCCTGTGGTGTATTAAATTGATTTTCTGTTCACGGAATAGGGGCGAGTAGTCCTCTATTGCGTGAATACGCCATTGCTCAGAGATCTATTCGGTATTAAATACAAATGTAGGTTAACGCATTAGAATGATGTTGTTTGGGGTTTTAAATGACGGCGACGAGTGGGTGTTGGAGGATGGACTCGGGCTCCGAGAGGTTCTGATTTCAACACACAAAACACATTTGTACCATTTGCACATTCATTAATTTATGTGCTTTTGTTTTCGTATGTTGTTGTCGCCACTCTCCCACAAACAATCTATTGTGTGTGCTCTCAATGTCCTTAATGGTTTGCACGTCGTTAGGTACAAAAGTTGACATTATGTGTGCGTGTGTGGGTAGTGTACAATAGCAGCGTTTTTTCTGATCAAAAGTAGATGTTTTATACTAAATGTTGCAATCTGGAATCGGCTAAAATAAAAAGGGCTTACATAAAACTGTTGATCATGGTTAATAGTAAGGCGACAGATTTTGGATGACATCAAGAAAAAATTAAATAAAATTTACTTGGATTCAAAATGTTTTACATATTTTTACAAACAAATTTTGTATGTAGCCTTCAAGGATTTTTGCATGAATCTGCAAGAGTTTTGAACTAATCGAAAATGTTTGCCACTTTGTACTGATCACCCATATTTCTTATTTTCAGTAATAGCTTGAACAGTAGAAGCACTGAAAGGCGTTTTCTATACGACGCGACAAATTCGAGCAATGAGCCCGCAATGTTATGCATTTTTAAGCACTATATCGCAATTATATAAATTGGAAACATATATGGAATATAATTTTGAGCCCAAATCGTTGATGTCAACGAAAGAAGCAAAACAAAACAAATTTTAATTTTATTATATAGAATTATTGTGTTTAGCTGGATTTTTTACTTTTCTAACAATCACAACATTGCACGAACATTTCAAAATTTCACAATAAAACGCATCAACACGCCTAATATTTACTCACATATTCGAACCTTTGAACCTTTTTAAAGGCGTTGGCTTACTAACACAACGGAGCACAGACATAAATTTCCACTGACCTGGAGGCGTTTATTGATCCTTTCACCTCGATTCTACAGATGCAACCCACACGACCCACACATGTGTGTCTATGCACCTTCATACACATCTCCTTTCATTCGCATTTACTGATATTCCGGCTTCATTCCGACATATCTGAATGCAATCAGTATTCCCTTCTTGGTTCACTACTTATGTCGTAATCATGAGGAAAATTTCCCGGAAAGGAAGCCTAAATCCACTTGTATGGAGAGAAGCGCTTGTTTTAATGTGCCTTTATTAATCACTCGGCATGACAGATAAATGCGAGGTGTGTTCAAAAAGTATCGCGACTTAAACAGTGTCTACTTTTTTCAAATGTTGTTTGATAGCAACAAAAAATATAGCTTGCTTCCAAAAATGCAGTGTCCTTTTAATTTGGATACCAGCGCTGTTTTAACCGCGGACACGGCTCGCTGCTTTAACTGGTAATTCAGACAAACCAGTTATGATTTTGTCGGGAATCAGCGATGCACAGCAGTGTGGAAATGAGATACATAATTGAATCTGCTGGATATTGTGTTTAATATTTTATTTAAAAGTAGGAAACTATGGACGTCCAGAATGTAACAAAGGTCTTTGCAATGCACCTTGTTGGGATTCAGGGAGAATTCGTCAACCGTTCGTATTGTTGTATTATTCGTATGTATGTATTTGCTTAACATTGTGACAACACTTTCGTTGTATTCATAGCCACTTGGCCTTTTTCTTGCTTTCAATAAATCCACATTGAAGTTTCCTTGGGATAACATTATTTTTATTATTTTCAACACAAATTTACTTTCCCAGTTTAACTTCGAATGGCCGAACAAGTACGGAGGAAAGGGCACAAATAGGAAATCGCGTGCGTTACAATAAAACACTGCAGGTCATTATATTGTCGGAAGTAAATATAGTGTCCCCATTGGAATAGATTGTTGGTAGAACGCTGAACTCAACAATCAATTGTATGGCTCTAGGCAATCCGGTGTGGGTCAGGTGGGAGGGAACTGAAGTGTGAGGATTGATTGTTTGTTAGTTGACTGCTAGTTGGGGGAGCGTTAGCTGTGGCAATACAATCAACGTTTACATCTTGAATTCAACGTTTTCGGCTTGTGTAGAACTGAATGTCAAAACGTGTGCATTTTATTTTACCAAAATTTGCCATTTTTGTTGTGCTTGTAGTTGTCGTATGTATGTATGTATGTATGAATAGGTGTTTCATGTAATGTGGAGTGAGCTCATTCGTGCGGCGCCACTATGCTAAGAACGTTCATGTATCCTGCAGACACTAACGTCATTCTTTGCTTCTATGTAAGTGTGAGTGTACACAGAAGTACCTGTCGCCATGCGGAAAGCAAACAACTGGCACCTAACAACACCGGCAACTTCAGCTTATGCCCTGAATTGTTGATTCATCCAATGGCATTTTCGACAGTCAATCGGCAGACATTTACTACTCCAACTCTGTTCCGACACTCGGATGGATGTCCCCAAATGTATCAGTTTCAAAATATTTCCCAATTGACAACTTCAGGACCCTATTATTACTCCATGCGAGCGAAAAGGGTTCATTGGCGTTCCAAGGTGCTTAATTTTTTTCCATTTCCACAGTAAATTATTTTGGTGTTCGTATGTGTTTGTCAATATAAGAGATACAATTTTTGCATAGCAAATTTGATGCCTCGAGACTCTGTAATTGCATTCGCTTATCTGCTAACAACCACCTAAACAGACAATGATAAAATCCATCTTTCCACTCAGTCTTGGGGAAGAAATTGATAACTTTTTGAATTCCGACCACTAATGCTTTTATCCATTTGTTTCAACTATTCACTTGACCAGACTAACACACCATTTATCACACTTTAGCAAACACTTGCTGCCTCCCTCTGCTACCATTTGTTGTTCCCTTAAGAGAAGGGCTGCAAAAGTTTTCTATTAGATTTTCCGCTTAGTTTCGCCAAGCATTATTGCTCGGTTTATGTTTGATAAAGTTTGCAGTTGATTCCTTTCTTGGATCGCTGTAAACAGACGTTGTTCACAAAAAGTATACTTTGGCGCCATGTTTTGTTTCGTGGTTCGGCATAATCTCCTTCTCTACGATTAGGTATGAATATTAGATGCAGTATTAAATGTTCTGTAAGAAACAGTAAGGAAAATATAAAATCTGACGTGCCGACTACAATATACCCTATATCACTATATAAATAGATCACAAATAAATATCTAACAATAATAAATTATGAGCAAGGTTTCAACATTACCAAGGTGAGCATATTGTCCACGACAAAAAGGGGATTCCGTTGTTTCTAGACCTCAATTTGGAGGTCCACAAAAAAGCAAATATATTCCATGACGGTGTGAGTAAATTCATCAAAGTTCACAGAGATCGATTAACTTAATTAAATGAAATTTAACAGGGATCTTGGATCATTGCAAAAATTGGATTTGTATTATCCAAATAAGGCTATACCCTCCTGGCTTATTCAAAAATATTTTAAATTCCTTGAAGCTGAGGTTTGCAAGGTCTTTACTCGCGAAATATGAACATATTGCATATAATTTAAATGCATTTCTATAACATGAAGTGCTCTTGTCAAAGTCTTCAGTCTATCAGTAATAAATAATAAGTGGCGTGAAAGGTGTGTTGGTGGGAATGCAAAAACAATGACTAAAATTGTGTTGAAGTCAACAAGTTTTCTTTCCTAATTTGTGGCTATACTACACAACGCACGCACTTTTGCTCAGTGACTAAGTTGAAGAATACCCCATGGACAATATGGTTCTAATGTAGATTTTTCCACATAATCACTGCATTCACCCAAAACGGGTGCAGACATTTTGAAGCCGGATTTTCGGTGTTTTTCTTATAAACAGAACGCGCAACCAGATAATGAGTAAATTGATTATAGGATTGCAGAACTAGCGATTTTGCTTCGTTTAGTTCATATCTCATGCGGTGAGGTGAGCTTATTTGCAATTGGATTCTAAAGACGAAAATTTGTTGCGTACATTTTTATAAAAATCTATTTTTGAGTCTGCGTATTTTATTCAAAAATAAGTGTGGCGGCACATCCGCGATTCTTAACCAATCCTTATAAAATAGGCGTACATTTGTGTATTTTCACTGGAGATTACTGAAATCGGATGCGCATCTTTTTTTGCATAATAAAATGCATCATGCGGCACACTTGAAGACACCGAGGATTTAGGCGAAACCATATTCCCTTAACCATATAAAAATATTACAAATTAAAAAAAAAAAACGTAATGTGGCAATTCAAAAATTAATTTATTATATTGTCAGATATCTTTATCCTTTTTTGTTTTTCGCGACTATTAAACCGTATTTCAATGTGATTTGACTAGTATACAAAGAAAACAAATGTCATTAATCATTTGTGACGAAATTCGCTAATTACAACAAATAAACTTTTGTGCGCAGCATCCGAATTTGTGAACGCGAACTGATTTCGAATGAGCATATTTTCCTTAACATATGTACCATTTTTTTCAAAAAAAAATTTTTAATGAAATTTAAAAAGAATTTTGAGAATTCCCATACACGAGACGATTTCAAATTTAATGGATTTGGTTGTGTGAGCAAAAGTTCTACTTTGACAAAAAAAAAAAAAAAAAAAAAAATGGATAGATCCAAAAGAGATTCCAAGTATATGCCCAAAATATTGCTTATATTTGGATCAGATTTATGTCCGAATTCTGACAAGACAGTGTAGTTCAGACAGTCTCACCCTCAAATCGAATAGAACTCTATAGTGTTGTAAAAATCTGATATCGTTTAGAGATGTCGAACAAGCATTTATTCAACTCAACACAAAACCTCTTGTTGGTGTGGCAGAAATAAAATTTATTCGCATTTTTGCTACTCTCCGCGTGTATCTACGGGCTCCTGTCAGCATTGTTTATATGTTCGAGCTACTTGAAATACGGGACGTAAAGGATATTAAAGAGAAAACTCCTATGGAAATGCTCGTGTATAACCTCTTGAAAGCGAAATGTTGTGCTCGCAAAAAGTCACGAACGTGTGCAAACGCTCGTTGTTTGTTGTATTTTATTATTTCACGACAAACTACCTCGTATTCCAGGTGGAATGAGGCTTTGGAGTGTAAGCGTAGCAATGTAGCACTCCCTCTGACACCTCTTCTCTGCTACTGCCAGATTTTTGTCTGTTTAAATGAGTGTATATGTTGCGAGTTCTTTGCGTTTGCATTTGTATGTAATCCTTGCAATGGGAACGAAATGTGTATTCCATCGACAATGGACTTTGAACGAGCAAACGGCTAATAGCCTACTGTTGTTGCATTGTCCTGTCTATTTGATTTACTTACATTAATATTGATAGTGTGTGAGTGTGGGTGGGTGTTTTGCATTCAACAGCTTCGATGGGATTTTTTATATATAAATGTGAATGTAACTGCATGAGTAGTTTTTAAGGCACGTAAAGTTTGAAGAGTATGTATAAGTACTAGTTTGTTTAAAGACTCGCCTAGCATTCCAAATGCGGCGCTAGATATAAAATAGTTCGTAGTCTCAACAAGAACCACGACAATTGTGATAATTGTAGATTTTTTATTAAATCTATATTTTTTGATTTATTGAACATGTCTGCATCAAAATCTCAATATCTAGAAAAAGTGGAAGTGGTTTGGTACACCGAGAAATGCAACATGCAACGAAACCTCTTATATTCCGATGAGTTCAAAGCAATAAGAAGTGAACATTTACCATGCATGTGAAACGGTTTTATTTTTTGTTCCGTTTTCACTTAATCGGGTTATTGGTTTGCTGAACGATAGCGTCTCAAGTTCGATTATGCCAACCGTAATGATAATTCGTATAAATGATTGACCATTTACAGGAGCTTACCTGTAGGCGCTCATACCTATAGCGCAACGACCTAACATCAAATTGAAAACAGACCGACAACAACACAACTACTTACAAAGATAATTTTTTCCTTTACTCGGAGTTTACACATGCGACTTGTGTAATTTTGGGTTTACACAGACAACTTTTCTGCTGCAACGTTTGCCTCAAAAAGGTCACAACTGGCGACGAATTGTGGGTATATGGCTATGACATTGAAACCAAACCCCAATCATCACAATTGAAACGTCAGGTAGAGCCAAGAACAAATAAGTACATCAAGTTTGATAAAATGTCGGGAATTTGCTCACTATTTTCTTCGACTGCAATGGTGTGGTGCTTAATGGACTCTTACCTCAAGCTCGTGCGGTCAATAAGGAGTTTAAATTATCTGCCGTTTGCGCGAAAAAATCCTGGCATGGATTTTGGTACCAGCTCACGCATGAGTGCTCGAGTTTTTTTTCCAAAAACAAAATCCTTATTATTCCTTAACTATCGTATTAATCCGGACAGCGGGGGTCCAGCGAAAAAATAAATAATTTTTGCACAAAAATTGAATAACCCTTTTTTTTTTGATTTGTCAAAAATGCATTTTACTTCGGAAATGTTTGTCTATTGCGTCACTGTTTCTGACGGACCATCTCCGTTCCAAAGTATTCCAATATTTATTACGATATCGCATGACTTTGCCTACATTACAAGTTGTTTGGGTACACAGCCATACAAATGTGTGTATGTGCCGCTTTGCGCACTTAAGTTGAGCTAAAGGCAACGAATCTAATTGTTTCCCTCTGTGTCCTCAATTTTGTATTGAAGAGCGACAAATGGTCGCCAACCCTTGGGACTAGTAAACGACAATAAAAAGAACATAACACTTTTCTTATTTTTATAGAAACAACCAGTTTTGTTATTAGAATGTATAGGTGCCAGTGGCGATGTATGTATGTAAGTGTATTTTAAAAGTGGGACAATCAAAATTACAATCAACCCGCCAATATTTATCTAATATGGATGTGGGTGAAGGCTATAGGGTGTTAAAATAATTTTGTGTGGCCCAAAATACTAAATATTCGCCCTACACCCCGCTCTTAGTATACCAAGCTTCATATTCAAATAGCTGAATCGAACGGACCAATCTGCACGAAATTTTACGTGTAGGTTCTGGCCAAAGATGACACTTATAGTTTTTGGTAATGATCTGTTAATATTTGGGAGACGAAAATCACCAACAGCTTTATTTTTGTCTGTTTTTTAGTGGCTCTGGAGACCACTATTATGACCCGAACATCAAGAACGTTGAATATGAATATTTTGAAGATTATCGGCCAATTTAGCGGGTTGAATGGACCTAGACTTTTATGTGAAAATGACCAAAATCTCATTCTATGGAATTTATTTTGAATTCGGGAAAAATAGTCCCCGGAACAGTTTTTAGTGTATCCAAGAGGAGTGATTGACCTTTATATTGATAAATGTTTACAGGCGAATGAACAAATCACTTACGATAGTGACATTTGTGGTGTTGGTTAACACAAATCATTTGTCCAATTTAAGCAATGCCAATACACACAGTAACAGTACCTAAGGAAGTCGAGTTGTGGTTGCATCAAATATGCTCGCTGAACATTTGCTTCAGGAAAAATCAAGGTTGCATTTTGTTGAATTTATTTTTGTTAGAGAAATTTTCTTTGGTCCATCTTTCGTTCTATACCCCTACATGTGCACGAATGTATGTATGTATGTTCGCATTGTAACTGCACATGAAATATGATTTTGTGTACATCGACATCTTATCGTGTTGCCATGGACTCACTCTCGGAACCGTTTACGGAATTACTACAGAAAATGACTCGCGAATGTCCTTCGCGTTATATGCTGAAGATGACATCAGTCCCGTTACTGTCTGCCACCGATGGAATGACGTTTATAGATCAACTGATTAAGTAGCATTGCATATGTGTATGTGTGTGGGCTTTTACGAGGTAAAGGACATTTCCCTCTCTCGAAGTAAGGGATCAATTGCTGGCAGAAAGTATGAAGTATAATTTTTCAAGTTACTCGAAATTACCGCAAAAACGTGACCCATTTATTCAGATAATATTATTGTGAAGCCAGTTGTCATAATTCGTACAATTACTAAATTCGACAGTCAATTGAGAACAGAAGTAAAAACACTGCGTTCACTATAAAAATACAGCTACGAGTTTAATTAATTGTTCGGTGATTTTTCCATGCATACACTGCATATTCTTCTTGAAAGTAAACAGTTTTTTGCAGTACAATTTAATTGCAAAATTAGCCAAAATTGTTTGTTGGGTTGTAAACGAAGAACGTGTCTTTGTGTTGCCCTGGGTTGATGCGTTTATTTAGATTTTCCAGTGAGACTTTGTTGACTTCATGAAATATTGATGGGGTTCTTTCCTGAGAAAACTGTAAAACGTTTATTTAAGTCAAGGGTAAGTGTAAAATTGGCATCTACAACAATAAACCCAGAAATATACATATTGATGATATATGCATTTTTCGAATAGAATGGATAAATGAATCCTGCTACAGTAAGAGCGTGGAATCTTCAAATTTCGAAGTGTAATCCTTCGATAATTATAAAGTAATCGCATGGATTACATTCAGGGAAGGCAGAGAAGGCTAGATGTTCGGATTTCGCTATAAATCCTCACATATATGTATTGGAATTGAAATTTTTCTAAAAGTGCGTGCTCAACGAAATTTATAATATGTGAAAATTTAATTCGGTACGAAGACTTCCCACAACCACACCCACACACACGGCCACACACATATGTTTGTTTTTGTTATTGTTGACATTTTTTAATTAATTTATTTCTCCCCCTTCCAAAGTCGCATGTACAAATATTCGAATGTATGTAAGTACGTATGTGCGTGGTTATAGGCTCTGGGAAATATAACCAACTCAGCACAAATGCAGGGATATTAAAATAACTTTTTTTAAAGCCGTAATGACCAAATAGTTTTAAACACAACATCTACTATGTCCAACAAATTTATTCGTCTGCAATAAATAATTCATAATTGTTTACTTAATTTTGTTTCTGTACCGATTAGGAAATACAATTTCACATAGAGAACACCAACAATCTAAGATTCATTTGCCTTCATATTTTACTGGAAATATTCGATCCACCCATTCGATGCCATCAGATCATCTTTGCAGGTGGCGGAGGGGAAATGCACTCTAATTGGTAATCAAATCAAACTGAATCAACAACACCAAATACAAGAATATTCTCTCCAGCAGTACTAGAATTAAGTTTTTATCAAAGGTGAAGAGACCACACGCCGAGTACGATACACGAGGTTGAGCGTGCAGCAAATAAAGGTTAAAGTGTGAAAGCTGTAGGAATATATCAACGCCAATGGCATGGCCATCCGAGCAAAAAGTCGAAAAAGAACGAAAATAGAAAAAAAAGAAAAAAAAAACCAAATCAATGCATTTTCAATGAAACAAAGACACCGTAAAGGGCAAAGGTGTGGCCATTTCTCGGTTGATGGTTGATAGCCCAACAGTGACATTAACTTACACAGCCCTCCAAACGAAGGTTCGCCGAAGATGTCAGTGCTTTCAGCCAAATGCTGGATGTGTACAGATGACGGGTATGCAAGAATTGCAGACGCATGTTGTCCAACATCACGACGACAAGGAACATGTCCCACAACAGTCCCAAAACATACAGTACAGCGTAGGGGTTGATGGGGAGGGGACGTTGTCTTGCCCCCACTTGCTTGCCTTTGCGCTCCTGGCGCCACATCTCGATTGGTACAAAGTACATGATGAATATCTGAGTGATGCATTCCATTAACACTGACATCAGGAAGCCTAGCAACTGCAAGCCATATAATCGCACGTAAGATATGCTCAGTTTGACCAACGTGAAATGCGTGTGCATCAATTGGCCTACACGGTGGAGCAGATGGCTACGGAAGCGCGAACCTAGGCCACCTCTGTGATGGGGCAGTGATCTCAGTTGCAGTAGCAGACCGATAAGCTTCGCATTGAGTTGTTGTATTTGCAATGTTATCAGTAGAACACCGAAATACAGCATGTTCAAGGTCATCTGCAAGACCAACAGGCAATAGTGGACGAAAAAGAGCGTGGCCAGGTACCACGGGTTCGACATAGCATTATCCTTCTCAATTAAGAAGACGATCCAAAGGACTTGCAGCAGCGCCGTCGAGCATTTGCTCACCACCTTCCATGTAACGTAGCCATTTACGATGTTCGGCTTGTCCAAGAGGAAACTCCACAAATGCAACATCTGATTGACACTGGCTACAATGGCGTGCCTGTAGATCACCTGCATGAGCAGCGTGGCCAGGGCACAGGTCAACATGACGCCATAGCGAATGTAGCCCACATATGTTAGAAGGTCATTTTGACGCAGGAACACCATGTCGGCGTAGAGAATTTGCAAGGCAATTGGCGTGTATGTTCCGGCTATCAGCAGCATAGTGACACTATATGCTACAGCCAGTCGCTTAGTTTCCACCCTGTCACTATTGCAATTGTAACCGAAGCAAATAATGCCAAGGACGCGACACAGTCCATACGAAGCAAGCGTAATGGTGGAGAGGAATAACCCATTGATTGTTAACAACCATGGGGATGCTGATGCTGTTGTCGATTGGTGTTTGCCACGGAAAAACGAAACTATGGAATGCCAGTTCATATCGACACTAAACACAAACTGGGTCGATGTCATTCAGTTAGGCTTCCTACGAAGAACAAACGTTTCATTTCCACCGTCGATGTAACACAGTACAGGTCACAAGAGTGTACCGAACACGTAATTTCAGTTGATTTCCTCAATTTCCATTTCGTATTCGGTATGACTCGTTAACAGCTTGCAAAATAACAGTACAACCGAAGATGTTCTTATAGACCGAAAGATACAACACGGCGATTGGAAGAATTAAGCAAGTAGCACGATGTTTCACTTCAATTTCCTTATATGAAAAAATCGATTTGTGTATTGTAACCTATCTGTTATAACTCTACGAAAATTATCACATTAAAGTGCCGAACTACTCCCTTTTCAGGTGCAAATTAAATCGTTTGAGTTGTAATTGGAGAATTTTAATTGTTGCTCTAATTCCGGAATTCCAATGTAATTTTTCTTAAATATTTAAATTATTATGTCAATATTTAAATTATTTTGATGATATTAGGGAATATAAAATGTCTGTTCCAGAACCTGCAGTAATGTACAAACATTTACTACGTTAACAATATTTCCTTTATGATGTCGAAAACTAGTTCGATTTAGTAGATTATTGTAGCCAAAGTACATTATAGCATGAAATATATAAAATTGACATTAGTAACATACATAGTTATTTTGTATCGAGCTGATTAACAACATCGGTATCTTCAAGCGAACTAAACAAACTCCAAGAACAAATTTGGAATTTCGTACGCTCGGCTTATTTTGGTTTCATTCATGCTCTAAACTATTTGGGGGAAAATGTCGACCGAATTGGTCGAATGTTAGGTAACACTGTTGTTGGTTTCTGTTCTACATTGAACCATAGTCGGTGCTACTAAACCTTCCAGTTTCATCGAATGTACTGTTTTCGTAGTGTGGCATTAGTCAAGTGACCTTTCAATTAAATGGCCTACAGATTAGGGGAGGGGACATTAATAATTAACACAATTCCGGTTTCTTATGGTACACATTAGATATTATCAGTGGGGCCCATTGAGTTGGCAGCCTTTTAACGTAATTTAACAATTAATTTTCTAATTGGCTCCATTCGGGTAGTTTCTCAACACTATGCAATTGCCTGCCAGTGGACGTTATTTAATTAGACCGTAATTCTGACGCCTGACAGTGACAATATCTCCTTTGAATCTAGCAGTTCCGTTTACAGATTACTAAGGGGCTTTCAATTGCCGTTGGCTTATCGTTCGAAGTTCGTCATAACGTTATTCAATGTACAACCATGCCATGTCGGCCATTACAATAACCATACGCCCGCGAGTACCACTGCCTCAGCAATGGGCACAAGTGGGTTTGAAACTATTTCAATATCTACCAACTAGAAGTTTATCCATCCGTATAGTATGTAACATGGGCATCGTACATGATCCAATTTCCGAATGAAAGCCATAATAACGGCAAACACTTTACCCCTCGCTGTTGCAGCTACTGTTTGAGTGCATATTAAAATTGTTAACACCAAATTTGGCAAAACAATTTCGAGTACAGACAGGGCTATGAACGTCGACAGGGAAGCACAAACAAAGTTTTTGTATTTGGGTCATTTCGTTGTTTCTCCAGTTTCTCCGCCCGAAATGATGAATTGAAAATGCATCAAAGGGGAATGGACGGGGTGTCTGGAAAGGATTGTTTTCGTTGACATTTGAATGGCTTGTATATGCTATTGAACCGAATTACCGGCAGCACAATTTATGCCGTACTTCATTGTTTCTTTCAGGAGCGTTACAAGACAGACATTAATTTGGCCATACAGTTACTGCAGTGCAAACCCGAAAGCTTTGTGCCACAAAAGATTTCATCGGTAAGTATTAAAAACAAGATTTCAATAACACACTAGTGTTGCCTAGACCGGAAATTTCTGTAGTAACCCTGTAGTGCAATTCTGTAACTTTCTTCAATGTTACCGATAAATATCGGTAAAATGAAAACACATATTTTTTCATATAAAAACTAAAATTTATGATAACTTTTCCATATCTGTCGGTAGGGCTTAACGGCTACTTTATGTCGGCCGTTAACTCACCGAATATTTTCGTTAATTAATGAAATTATAAGCAAATGGAAATTTTGCAGTTATCGACAACCGCCGGCAGTTCTGTCGTTAAGCAGTTACAGAATAGCATTACTGGTTCTTGAAACATAAGCAATTACTCGATTATTAAAATGAAATTATTGTTCGTTTTATTTTGCTTCCCAGTTACCAATCGACATTCAATCGAAAGTATCGGCATACATGCGTGTGGACACACATTCTCACTCTGATTCGGAAGGTAGTATTACCGGAGTGGGCATTTCAACGACAGCTGCCTATAAAGTGCTTCCTGCAACTGATTCGCCTCCGCGCGAAACTTGTCCCTTTCCACCCACCGCCATGGTCTATTCGATGAGGGGACTTGGTAAGTGTTAGTAGACCACGCTTTTTTACAATTTTTATTTGCCTTAATTATTTTAGTTTCTGTGATTTATTTTTATGTTTCAAAGTAATGGCCTCGTACACACACATGCACACATATGCATCCGCCGTACATGTAGATGCACACAGTTTTACTCTATAAATGGTTAGTTAGAGCATTAGAGCAAAATCTAAACGTGTGACAGGAGGGTTCTTCTCTCCGTGCACCGAGCTTGACATGTGTTGGGCCATTTTCCAGTTAATTTTGTGGTTTTCATTTGCATTAAACACTTTTTCGGTTTGTATGCCTTAGCCGTGATACGGAAACTAGTGGGGCGATCCTGAAAGTTGGATTGTTTGACGACGGCAAATATTTCCAATGGCACACTTTGATTTGTACAAATGCGAACGACCCAACAACAGCGGCTTTCGGAATAAAATTGAAATTTGCCGTTGGCGGGGTGTTGTTGTTGTTGCGGTTGCCTTTATTGGATTTTAATTGTAAATATTTGTTCGCCTCGATTGTTTTGTATTTTTTTATTTTGCTCTGTTTTTAATGTTTATTTTAGTTATTAAGCTGTTAATATTGATTTTTTGGCGTATTTTTTTGGTTTTTGGGTGGTTTGCTTGAATTTAATAAATGAATAAATGAATTTAATAAATGAAGAGACCTATTTTGATTGGAGCATGGTTTTAAAATGTGTGAAATTAAATGGAAAATGCCTATTGCAAAACCAAGATTCTGCATCATGGCCCCGGTTCATGAGCGTTTTTTCTCTCTTCTTGGTAAATTTAATTCTAATTTAAGCATGAATGTACATATTTACAATCAATAAAATATCTACCTTCGGACGAAAAGTAAGCTGGTTACAAAATTAAACATTGCGCAAACCTAACTACGAAAGAGAGACAGAGCAACATCCGTGAGGAATTTTCTCACGAGAATGTCCTCCTCATATAAGGAAATATTGTCCACTCATATCCGTAAATAACAATGTGAGCATGCTTTTTATATATTTTAATTTTCTTTAACAATACTGTACTTCTTTTGATTACAAATTAGCAGTATGTACAACACAATTTATCATAATTTCAATACGATTTAAAACAATGCTCCATTCAAAGATATACATATAATATATATCCAGTTTTAGTTATCTTGCGATTAATACTAATTTTCCATTCCTCATGCAGATGCTAGCATCAACTCCGAATCATCACTTAATTTGGCTAACAATAATAACAGTACTAACAATGATGCTCCTAACAACAACAACAACAATAGCAATGGCAGCCCGATGTTGACCACAACTGCAGTACGGAATTCTATAAATTCCTTAAATAATTGCAGAGCGAGTGAATTTCTCGTCAATGGCAATGATATGATCTCGCCGGTGTTGATGGTCAAGTTCCTGAAAGACGAACTAAAGGCGGCAGAAACAAAACATTGCGATACCTGTCAATGCTCGAAAGACCTTACCGTTTTGGCAGATGTTTCGCATTCATATTCCGTCTCCACCCAGACTCCGTTCACATTGACCAACAGCAACGGCAATCTGAATGACAGCACGACACAGCTTTGTCTGCGCTGCTACAGCAATCTGAATTCGCCATCGCGCACTAACAGCCCTTATGGCAAGAACATACTCAAATCCAGCGATTCGGTGATATCGGAGACGAAAAGCTCCGTGTCGGATCTGAATGAAATGGACAAATTATTTACGCCCGTTAAGAAAGACGACCTCATGGTCAATCCTATTTTAGGCCACCATCGAGTCTACGATAGACAATATTCCCAGAAGAAAGGAACCCAGTCGTTGTCGGCTACAGCGAAATTGTCGTACAATACTTTGTTAGACAACATGAAGTCGACGAACAGCAATCAGCGTCGTTTCATTGATGGCGGTGGAACAGCCCTGGACTTACTCGAGGGAAAGACCAAAACACCTGCACCTGCCAAATCTAAAAGAACATTGGAAGATGTAAACGCCAATGACGATATTCTCGACGAGGAGAAACCCCTTCTGGGCTCAGGTTTAAGTGAAAATATTTCCGTGGATGCCGCCGAGGATACACTGGGCGTCAGGACAAAGTTAAGAACCGAAAGTTCTTGCGAGTTAAGAAGAGGAGTGGTCCAAGATCACTTAAAATCGCCAACCGCCAGCACTAAAAGTGCTTTAGAAGCGTCGAAGACGTCCATTGATGCTCTGGTCAAAACTGCCATGACCGGCAGCTTGTCGAGTGTTTGGAGCAAAACCAGCAGCTGTGAGGGGGCAAAGATGTTTGAGAACTTCAACAGAAATCTCATTAAAACCATTAAGGTAAGTAGGTAAATCATGTGCTGCTGTGCCATTGTTGCACTATAGCGTTTACCATTTCCCATTGTAGGCTGAAAACCCGAAAAATAGAGGACCACGTCTGTGTGCCATGCGAATTCAACAAAACGGCCAGAGCAATATTCTCCTGGACAATATCGAGTCAATTGAGGCCGTCACACCCATTATATACCGTCGACGGGAGCGCCTTCTAGACGAAGAACTTGATGATGGCAAGGACATAATAACGTCCAAATTGGCGCTGGCAAAGGAACAACTGCAGCAACAACAGGAAACCCAACACGTCATTGAAACAGCCAAAGAAGCCCTGGAAATTGAAAACTTGCCATCCGACTTACTGAACAGCTCTCCAAAAATTGACGTCGAACCCAAAGACACTATTGCGAATGAACCAAAAGAACCGAAGAGACCACAAGGATGCGATGAAACTGTGGTACTTGCTAAAGACGAAAAGACTGATAAGATGATAATAGTAGAAACCCCAAAAGTCGAAGTGACCACAGTGGACCCATCCCCTGTGACTTGTGATAATAGTTGTAAAAATTCAGCAGTTACCCCATACAGCTCTTTAGTCGACAACATCGATTTCCAGGAATCCGTAATACTGCGGCGTCAGCAATTAAGTCGTGTAGCCGAATGGGTCCAGAACAATTCCAAACAAATGGAAAGGGAACGGCGAGAAATGGAGAAGCATAATCCATGCGAATCCTCGCCAACGGAACACCGAGCATCGTCGTTTTCCACACTGGATCAAATCGATTCTGTGTCAGTGGAAAAAATGTCGACGGACTCCGGCTACAAGACAACACCACAGTTCCAACAAATCACCAATTCCAGTCAAGACGACACCATTAAGACCTCCGATGAGTCGCTCTCACCCAAGTCGGAGCCAATTAATGATATTTCCACACAATTTACTGCAGAAGCCATTAATACTGCCACCAATGACATTTCCACTGGGTCTCCGATGGAGGCACCCGCTTCTTCTTCAAATGCTCAAATTTATAGCACACCTCAAACCTTTTACCGGCGAACGTCACGCTCGGGTCTACCTGTGGCCTACACTACATCGGAGCCACAGGATTCTAGTTCGCAGTGTTCCCAGATAATTGCAACCGAACAGCCAACATGTGATATAGTGAACTACAAGTACTACCCCAGCCATAGCGACAAGAACCAAGCCTCGCAATCCATTGCTCAGACCGGTCGCACGGAAACCGTGGATATTGCTCAAATGGAGTACAACGTCAAGCAATTCCTGCTGAAGCAAAATGAATGGTCGATGCGCACGACGACAACAAGCCCCTCTACACAAAGTCAAATTTCCACACGGCCCATCAAATTGTTTTCGTCGAATTCTGCCACAGGCTTTGGGCCTGGGAAAGGGGAGCGCGTAGTAAACGTAGCCAATGGCAGCTTGGCAACTATCACGTCGGGGTCCACTCTACAGGCCATTGATACTGGCATACCCCAAAGGACTGAAACGAATTTATAAGAACCTAAATGCTAACAAATCTAACATAAGCTTCGTTCAATACTCCATCCAATGTGTAAAACGTCTACAAATATAGTTGTAAATACATACATACATACACACATAGAAATAAAATCCACAAAAGACTTTGGTAAATTCGATAAACCGAACATTTAAACACACAACGTGGTAGGGACTTTCCCAAATACATGTTTCGACATTTCAAGTTTTTTGTGGATGTAAGAATATTGTATAAAAACCAAAACCAATTGTTAAATATATTCCCATTCTCTAACGTACGCAAATATTGTACTGCGATTGGAAACACATAAAGATGACAATAAAATTGTCAGACAATTAATTCTATGTAAATTAAAAAAAACACGCTACACATACATATAAATTATACTCTTTGCGAGGTAGTTTCAGTCTTTTGCAAGCAGATGACTGCCTAGAGGATAATATTTAGCCTATGCCAGTGCAGCTGTAGCGAACCTAAGAATAATGATATATACGAATTTAAACTATAGACCCAATATAAATTCCTAACTATTTGATAAGATTGACCGTGGCTTGGAAAAATGACTCTTCAATATTGCCATATTTGTAATAAAACAAAAAACGTTCTCGGTGTCCGCATTCTGTAAATATTTGTATGTAACCGTATTCATAGGTCATATACTGATCCACTCCATTAGACACATTTGATTTTCTTTCTTAAAATATATTAAAGATTTTACTTGATAAAATACACGAAATGTCAAATATAACGCAGCTAGATTCCAGGCCACTGTCGATGTCAAATTCAAATATAACCAACTGCATTTAGCAAAGCCTCCATAGAAAAAATAGGTATGAAAAATGCAGATAGTCCTAGTAAGCAATAGCTACATACATCTGTAGAATATATACGATTTGTGTAATCAGTCCAACTGAAGCCCCACTCCTAAGACGCGGAAACGAACAGCAATACCAGTATGAATATCGTCTTATTTATTGTAAACTAGATCAATCCAACAAAACTATAATCCCAACCAAAGACAATGTGTACTTCATTCAATGTATTTTCATTTCATTGCTTAGCAAATAAGCCAATTATATTCAAATTATTATTATATTCAAATATTAGATTTACATATTTAAACCGAAGAACACACATCCATACTCACAATCATATGCCCATTTACATATAAGAGATGTACTTTATATTAAATGTCTAAACCTCTATATAATTGCAGTACCTTTCCTATAGGAATCAATGAAACACACACTTACACTCTTTATCATGATATAAAAACAAAATTGGTCATGATTAACTTGACGCATATTGTATGGAAATATTACTATCCAATGTAAACATAGCCTAAGTAAGAGCAACTTGTTACGGCCGAATTCGGTTAAGCGAAATTGAGTAATACGAATTGTTTTTCTCTTATGCAGAATTTTCACTTAAAAGGACTTCGGATAAACGAAATCAACGTATCCACGAAAACTTTTGTAAACAAACAAAACGATTGAAAATATGTGTAATTATGTGCGTTAAGGTTATGACTTTTTTATAACCTCATATTCGAGTATCATATTTATATTGGTTTTTACCTAATGCTACGTTCTGAAGGGTACTTGAACCATGTTGTTTGCTCTCAGAATTGCGTACCTGAATTAACCCGTTCACAAAACATGGCGTGCATCAACCATTGATCTAAATAGAAAAATAAATTCTCTTTCGCCAGATTATACATAGAAACTAGGCTAACTAGTTTTCATTCAAGTTTTACATTTTTTTCTAAAAATGTTGTAGTTTATCACACATTTTTATATTTTACGTTAATTACAACCGGGCGAGAAGAAATATGTATTGAATTATGTAGAAAACGAAACTTCAAATCTTCCACGTGTTATGTGGCTTGGATGTCCAAATATGTACATGTATATATATATATATATATATACATATATATATATATATATATTTCCCATAAGTTAGACACCAATTTTGAATTGTAACGTTAGGGATACGAGATGAATGTTTGGTAGAAAAATAGGGTTATATTTGAAACTATTTCGATTTAGCATAGGGTTTAAAGCAAATCGAGTTATTGAATGGATGGTTAATTGAGGCAAACAATATCACGACAAAAGCTATAGTCTAAACGTGCCTTATGTTTAAAAACAAATACAAATTAATGTTTTCACAAAACTAAAATTTAAAAGTGGATTTGTGTGACCTTTTTAATGATTAAATGGAATAAATCTTATTTTAGTCGTTAATACTCATTCACTCATTCCTAATATGGGAAAGTATTTTTGAGAAAAAGTCATAACCCCAATGTACATATATTTTTTACGGGATTAAATTAGTGTGGCGTTAAATGGTATTTTCGCTACAATACATATATACATATAGCTCGTTCCATAGATTCTAGTAAACAAACGCGTATATTTTAAACGTATTTTCTATTAATCGACAGTCCTTCTAAGCGAATTAATGTGTTTCAAAAACTATCGGAAATATTAGTTGATAACTGTTTCAATTACACGATTTTTTTCAATAAAACGGCGCGCCTATCCGAATTCAACTGTGATGTCGATTCATCTGCTGATCTAAGCTTGTGGCGCAAATCTTTACATAGTTGCAAAAACAATTCCTGTCTTTAGCCGCTTTTTTATTGTATAATATAATAACAGAGGCTACAACGGCAACTATTATTATGTACAATAAGTAGAAAATAAATAAACGATTTATGCCAAAAGTATTCCCATGTTATGCAATAAGTATTCTTTCTTGCTTATAATAACCACCTACACCAATTTGAAGGTATATTGAAGTACATCTTTGGCCTACTTCCATTTCCTGTTTCCCTAAGAGATTTATTTTCTACGGCGGGCTCTGGTGCTATTATTACACAGACACAATAATACAAACGGTATATAGTCAATACAGTCTTCGAGTTTTATGCTTTTTAGGGCGAAGGATCATTCATGTAAATGCTTTTTTATTAATTTCTCTTTCGAGATGAGCTACATGATAGGAGTTTGCAATAAAAAGGAAAGTCACCATTATGCGACGCGTTTCCCCGTTGGTTAAGTGGCTCATCAGGCATATTGGGCAATGTGGCTTACAAATGTCGTTACATGATAAGTTGTATTTAAGTCGAATATTGCTGCGAAAGTGCATCTACAAATTAAATTCAGCCATGTCAATGTTTGGACATTTGGCATTACACCAGGACATTCCTGTTCAGAGCAGATTTTTCTTATAGTGACGAACTTTTTTTTCCATACAGACTACAATATTTTTTCTTCAATGGTATACAACTGCATATTGTGAAACCTTAGGAAGATAAGGAGGTGGCTTCTTCATTTTTCATAAAAATATTGTCTTTGTGTTTGTTGTTATCAATCAACGTGATTAAATACGCCTTGCTTCTATCTTTGTCATTAAAAAGTACTGGAGCCGTTATGTCTGTTTCAAAACCAGCAAGAATGTACATTTTTACTAGGGTAACAAATTTTCATTTGTGATATCGAAAAAATAGTAAACAATTGACAATAAATGGTCTGTTCCCTTACTACAAGAATCTACTTTTTTACTATTTTTGTCGATATCATAAAGGAAATATAGTTTTCGTAGTAAAAAAAATTACATTCTTGCAGGTTTTGGAACAGACATAAAATAAAACAATAATAAGAAACAAAACAACGCTTGGGAACAGGACACAAGCATGTAAGGAATAATGTGTATTAATGCTTCCAAATGCTTTGTATAATTACAATCCCTACCTTAACCCTTTGAGCCCCGAATTTTTTTTCCGTAATCATAGAACAATTTTCTGTTCACAGATTTAATGCACTTTATACACAAATTAGTACTGTACACATTTTTGCCCTCTTCTCTATATTAAAAAGCTCATAACTTTACCAAAAATTTGACCTTTTTAGATATTTCTTGTGATATGTGTCGTCCATAATTAGGTCTTGACATAGGAAATCCAAATAATGCATATATACTAGCTGTATAATAAATATAAGCTATAAAAGGGTTAAATATGTGCTATATGTTTTTTAATAAAATGGCGGATCTAAGAAAAGTGTTTTTATTAGTTAATAAAAAAGTGTTCCCTGCCCATAAATGCCTAAAAATTTTATGTCTTGAATGTGTATACTCGATATAATTGATAAACAAAGGAATTTCACACTTTTTAATACATTTGAAGACTGACTAAAATACACAATATAGAAAGATTATTTGTTGCATAAGCCATTGTAGTAATTTGGATTCAGCTACATTGTTTTCTTTCCTATTGTACCATGATTTAAACATTGTTTTTGCAATTGTCGCCACAAAAATCGGATAATTTGTCTTGTTTCAACGATGTTTAAATATAATTTCTATAAATAATTATTAATTATTTTATTTAAAAAAATAGATTATGTATTTAAGAAGTAATATAATTATAATCAGAAAGAGTAACTACCCAGATATCCACAAACGGCTTCATTTTTATCAATTCTTGGTCCAAATATGTGCAATGAAACCACAAATGAAACATACATACATACATATTTATTATAGAGGAAACATTATATACACTTCATTTCAGTATAACCAACCACCTTGTCGTAACACACATATATATTAATGGAATCATATACACAATTTACATATAGACATATTTATACCTATAACAGACATACATGGAATATATATGTATACTGAAATAAATGAAACATATGCTTAGCTACACTTTTATTGCATACTACCTATATAATAATAAATAATGTGGTGTTTTCCGGGAATACTATTTTTGCAGCTAGTTCGGTCAATTCATTTGGTTGTGACCAATACCTGGGAAAACTGTCCAAATTTCTCACCTCATTCACCTCATTCTAATTTTGAACGAAGAATCATTGGACTAAATGTATTAATCCCAAAGGAGATTATATAGTTTTTAATACGATTTGTTCGAGAATTTACGGAATGTTATGTCCCCAAAGGGGGTAATACCTTACGAAAGGCATTAATACCCTTCACGTCTAATAGATGATTAGTTGCAATCTAGGCAAAGCCAAATGAAATGAAAAGGCGATGCAAAAATAACGAATTCCGCTTAATTTACAATTCTAACTGTACAAAAGCTACACACAAAATGCAAGGACACTGGAAAGTATGAAATAAAAACAAAACAAAAAAATTTGACAAAAAAATAAAAATAAATATACTACGAATCAAACAGTGACCAGATCATACCAATTGCCTATTTACTCTAAGCTCTGTTTAAGTTTTTTTTTTACATTTTTAAGAAAATACGTTTGCTAACTGTTGTTTATGTTTATATAATACATATATTCTACATCTCTGAACTATTTCAAACAAATCAAAAAATCTATTAAAAATACAAAATCAAAGTAATACCGAATATTTATTACATACATATACTGAAATGTTTATCTCTCCTATATTTATTATATTTATGCAATTCCATCTGCTCATTGAAAAGCCACCTTATTATGCAAAAATAAACAAAAACACAAAAAAACAACAAAAACAACAAAAATGAAAAATGTTAAAATTAACTCCCACGACAGCAGAAATAAAGTAAAATTGAATACTTACGACAACATCATGAATATGTAATTGCATAAGTCCCGTTCACTAGACTACAGAACAAAACAAAGGAACACTAATAAGAGGCGACTGTATGTATATTACACGAAATTATACTCGTAATAGAACAAAAATCAACTGGAATAAAAACAATACTCCGATACGAATAAATCCATGCAGCTTTTCTTAATCTTGAGACAACAAATAGAACGCAGTATGTATTATAATTATGGAAAACTGTTGATATACCAAACAGAACGAGGGAAAGGCAGAGATGGTCCGTCAGAAACAGTGCCGCAGATGCCGCACATTTCCGGCGTATAATACATACGTCAGAAATGTCGGAAACAAATAAAAAATCATTAGGTTTTTGACAATAGAGTTTTTTCCATCAAAAACTGCATATGTTATAATGAAACCCGTATCAAATTTCGGAATTTTCATGTTGAAAAATGTTAATATTTTTTGTCGGAGCTAATTGCGAATTTATATATATTGTATATATTCTTGAAAATATTGTAATAACTGACGTTTACTACACTTTTTACATTTTATACAGTTATGTGATGTTTACAACTCTTTTAGACAGTCGAAAACCTAAAAATTTGTCACATGGCTTAAGGTTATGCAGGGTTTACTTTATGCTACCCTACGCCAATTTAGGTATGTACAAGCGGTGCCCGTCGTATTTCTATTATGCATAATCTGTAAAATGTTACGCGTAGATGTGAGCATTTGAACTGAACCCAAACATTGATATGCTAATTTGGTTGTATGTAAGAAAATAAGTGTCGGATGGATGTCAACATAGCAACATTTATATGAAATCGGACGAAACTCTATGGGAGATTTTCTATATTTCAACCGTCTTCAATTTAACTTGATCTCCAAACTAACTTAAATATGTTTGTATTTATGTACACGGAAAGACGTAGAGTATTTACATACAAGACCTGTGTATATATAACCAATTAAAAACCCTGTATTCTACACTGTATAAGGACTTATGTGACTGGAAACCTATGGTCCGATTTGGTCCAAAACTAGCATGTATACGGATATTTTCAGGCCTCAATCAAATTATTAATTGACATGTTATCAGATTTGCGATTTGCTACTATAGATAAAACCGTCATCCCTTCTGTGCAGTCATTATCCGCTTTAATCGAGAATTTCCAATTATTTCCCCAATGTGGGTCTTTCAAAAAAATATCCATGATCTCCTATTTGATTGAAAAAAAAAAAAAATATATATATATATATTTGTTTGAAAAATTTTATTTTAAATAAAAATGGACGAAAGGAGAAAATAAATAATTTCGTTTGTGGAGCTTAAACTTATAGACTATATGAATAGCATCCAAAATAATTGAAATAATGGCGATGATACTGGCGGCACATGAAATTGAAAATGACATATCTTAGGGTTCTAAACTTAAAATGTAGAGGGGCTTTGTTGATCCCATTCAATGCTCGTTATCGTGATTTTGAGAGGCATCGTCTTGGACTACTATCAACTCTTCGGGTTGGTTGGTTTCTTCAAAGGAGTCGTCAACCTCGGCACTGCTACGAATCTCGTTGTTCATATCATCGGCAGCAATAGCTACTTCTTCGCCAGCAGTCGGGGTTTGATCTGGAGTTTCAGGCTGAGTGGCCGGCTGTGTGGCAGTTGTATCCGCTGAGTGTGTACTCGCTTGTGGAGTATTGTTGTTGGCGTTATTAGCATTGTTGCCCTGGAAAATGTTCAGTAGGCCCTGCAACGGCCCTTGCGGCTGAGTGCCTGATGCTGGGGTTGCTTGTTGGTTGTTATTTCCCATAATGGTACTGACCAGCTGCTGCAAAGGTCCTTGTGGTCGAGCTGTGGTGGCATCGCCGGAAGCGCCTTGTTGCTGTGCTGGTGGTTGTCCACCAAAACTGGACAAGGTATTTTGGAATGTTGTACCCAAATTGCTAGCCAGATTTGTCAAGCCTTGGAAAGCGTTCTGAGTTGTGTTGACTACCGATTGAGCTGCGTTCTGAACTGTTGATATAGCTGGGGCCAAAAACGAGGGAATTGTAGGATTAGGCGTGGCTGGAGCAGTTTCGTCGTTTGCGACTTGTTGAGTGTTTTGTGTCTGGCCGGTGATTTGGTTGAAGAATTGGCCCAGCGGAGAACTCTGAATAAGCTGTTGTACGAAGTTCTGCTGTGTTGTCTGACCGGGTGTGGCTTGTGTAGCTTGACGCAAGGTGGCCTCAGGTGCGCCCTCTTCGTCATCACTAGACACGACAGGAGTTTGTACATGTTCTTCGGAAGAGTCGTCTTTCACGAGTGCTTTGAATTGTTGAGCAGCCTGTTCATCTTCGACTGGTTTTTCGCCAGAAAGGGGTTTCACTTCCTCAGATTTTAATTCAGGCTGGACGGCTACATCGTCGCCCTTTTTCTCGTCAATCACAACCACTGAGGTTTTCTCTTCGGTCTGAAGGGTTTTTAAAAGTTCGGAATTTTCTTTGACAACTGCTTCTTCGGCATCCTCTTTCACGACATCTCCATCAAGGCGACGTTGGGCTTCTACTACAGCTTCGACGGCTTCCAATTTTTGTTCTTCATCCACGGCTTTGGCGATTTCCTCGGCAATGACTTCGGTGGCAACACTTTTCACCTGAGACTGCAGATTGGCTTCGTTGCTGACATCTTTGATCTCTTCGCCATCTTGAATCACAGTCACTGGTACTAATATTTCTTCTGTGCTCCGATAACGTCTGGGAACAACAGCCGCCTGACACACAGCTGCCAAAAAGAAGATACCCACTACCGCAAAGGAGAAGCGCATATTAATCCCAAAGTAATCCACTATTGATTAACTTCCAAATTCTTCGAACCAAGCAGTCAAACGATGCTCCGGGACACTTCGATGTTGTTAACGCGAACAATTCACTCTGCAAACTGTTTAAAATTTCTTTGACAGAAGCGCATTTATACGACCAGCTTACGGTGCTGTTGGTTTTGCCCAGCTACTGCTCTTCTGCTGTCGTTTTGAACAGTAATTTACATTGGTTGTCGTTGTTGTTATTGTTTTTGTTGCTTCATAACTCTCAGAGTAAACATGTTGATCGTGACCACTGTTTTGTGGCTATGTGCATTTCTCTGCACTCATGTCTACTGATTGGCATTTCCCAGAGCCAGAGTCGGAGACGTTCTCAATGGAATGGTTCTACCTGTCGCGTCGGTCTGGATTGCTGTTGTTTTCACTGGTCATAGAAGGCTCATACGTATACACAGCTTTCAATTAATGAATATGGCTTGTCAAATGCGATTTGCAACATTACAGTGGAATATTTGTAACCGAAATGTGACGAGCCTAACTTGAATCTGTTGCAGTACGACGATCTGTTCTAATCATGCTGATGCCGATCGAATTGAAACCTCATACATGTAAATAATTCCAAATGGATTGGCAGTTAGTTTTCTTTAGTACCGTTTGGGGTAATGGGTTCATCTAATTTTAAAATATCTGTTTCTTAAACAATTAGTACATATTCACCAAACCCGTTAATGTTGTAGAGTCCGCCCCAGCAATTCTTTCAAGTATGAAGAAAATGTTGTTGTCGACAGCATTTGGTGTCGAGTGTGTTCGGCACAACGCACGGTGGTTCGGAAAGCATTTTTTTTGGTCAAAAACACAGTTTTTTTATTCTCCGATGTTTAATATCTGTCTGGGATTCGAGAACTAAAGAATCGAAAAAAATTAGGTGACTGAAATAGTGTTCACTTTCAGTCGACTCGCCCCGACCGTTTAACTATTCTTTTCAAATTTTTGGAATCGTACAAGTACAAAAATTCGGAACCACCGTGCGACACCAGTCACACTCACGCTGAACTTAATATGTGTTAAAATTGTAGCTAAAATACATTTATCGGATTCGCCCATCCTAATATCATCTGGGTCTTTATGATTCCACTAAAATATTTGGACTATTCGCAAGCATTGGCCTTTTACCTTAATTAATTTAATTTCATCTTATGATGACCGTGACCACTCACCATGAGTACTACCTGAATAACTCTAACAACCTTGGCGGATGGAGCTGAGATGTGTCGCAAATTCTTTCGTTGAATAAAAAATGGGTCAGGGCTGTTGGCTGCTAGACCAACAGTTGAAAAAATCCACACAGAATGAAATGAATTTCAAGAATCCAAAAACCATGTTCCATTATTTCACATAGTGGAAAATGGCATGCATATGCCTATATGTTTTCTGCAATATCGGGACAAATGGACATGTCATTGACCCGTTCCCTTAAAGTGGAATGTGCGTGATTTGTTGTGGCTTTTTATGCCAATTCCAATACCAGCTCCAAACAAAGAACTAAGTACGCATCTACACAACAAGAGGGCTTCGCCGTGTCCACAGGCAGACCATGTTGCAAAAGGAAACGACAAAAGAAAGAGAAGAAGTCAAACCAGCAGCCTTAAATGGTTTCTGTTCTTTGATTGGGTTTTTGATCTCTGGCCAAAGTGGACATTGCCACTAATGCAGTTTGGTACTGTTGCTGGCCATCATCATCGTCGTCGTCGTCGTTGTTGTTGTAGTTTTTGTTATTGGGACTGTTGAAGTTCATTGTTTGTCCAACGTCTAGTGGTGCAACTAACAAAAGAAACCAAATATTGGTTTTAGTTGAAGTTCTCAAACTGGTTTCCTGACGATTGTGACCACCAACACCACCACAGCGATGCGCCGACGAAGTGCATTTGCTTTACAGGGAATTTCTAAAAATATAAAGCAACACAATTTGTAGTATCCAATAAAAACACAATTTTATTAGCATCCATTGGCAGCTATTGATATCTGCTGCTACCAAAAATAAACCTGAAAATGTTGCTATCACCAATGATGAATTTTCATTCCATTTTCACTGTATACTGTCCATTTCGACACCTTCCTCCAGAAAGTTATTGTTAATTATGAACTTGTTTAGATAGCTCCGAACTATTGATATGCAAATGTGCGGACCCAGCTACTTTCAGTGACAACAAAATGGGCAGGCATTTCTCTTCATTTTGAATCGTCGAAGAAAGTTTAACAAACCAGTGGAGTTTTGAGATGACTAATCAATTGGGAGTCTCAAAAGATGCTCGAAATAATTGGCCACATAATTGGTAAATTCAATCAGTATTCCGTATTGATAAATTCATTATTTTTATAAACATTCGTTGAATTCATTATCTTAAGCGACCTTAAGTTTGATTTGATAATTTCATTTCATGATTGGGAAGAGTAAAAAATTTATTGAAAATAAAATTCAGCCTCAAAGTTCTATAATAACACGTGCGTTTTCCACACGTTCTTTATAGTGCATCTAGTAAAGGAGAAACTAATTTCAATATCGTAGAAACATTAAAATTAGGTTGCAAACCTTCACTTCAAACTGAACACAACAACCGATCGGAAGTTACCTTTCTGATTACTATTTTAAGTCGGCTAAATTTGCCTTGTAAAATGGTTATAAAAGAACGTAATTGTTCTTTCGTTGTCCCACTCACTCGAAAACTAGCAAAAGTTGTAAGAGCTAGTTTTCGAGTGAGTGGGACAACGATTGACTAGCGGATTATGGAACATAACTAATATCTCTTTAGATGCGGCCGCCGATGGCAATGACTCGCCGTGTTTGCGTCTTAAGTCTTTTGTTTACATCTCTGACTTTGCCAATTTGCTAATTATTTCGTAATCATATTAACACCCTTTGTAAGGCAAATACGATTTTTGTTTCTTTAATTGCGAACGTGTCAGTATCCCACCAAAATTAAAGGAATACACGCTCGTCAAGAGCTACGACATATTCGTAATTGTGCCCCAATATTCGTCTATGATTTGTCGAAAGCAAATACAACAACTATTATATAAATGTCGGCGGAGGCCCGAAAACGCAAAACAATTGCTTTGTTATTCCAAAAACAGACGACGCCCTAGCAAAGTGCCACTGCCACCACGTAATTTACCGTCCCAATGTGACGATTGCAACTGATTCGATTGCCAAATTAGTTGTTTATTCAAATAAAAGCGAATCTGAAGCTGAGTCTTGAAAAAGATCCACAAACCGATTTTGGTCTGATCCGAATAACAACAACAGCGTCAAACAAACAGTTGTAATAACAGCAAAAGAAATTAACACCTCCGTCACATACGCACGCGGTACGATGGACGTGTACGAAAGCCACGGCGATCACCATGTTGAGAGCGACTGTCCGTCCCAAGATCGCAGACAGCAAATAAACCGAAATGAAATGAATTTAACGAGCTCAACTGACGGGCAAGTGGCTTAATTTTGTTTAACGACCCATTGATGGACTTTCACTCCATAAAAATACGGCTTAGTAAAAAAAACACACACACACATACCAAATGCCAATTACATTTCCGATCCCGAGGTATTTGTGCAGCCTCCCCAAAAGCAAAGAATTTATTCACTGAGTGAATCACATTCACAAGGAGACCTGCCTCTTTGCATTGTGGAACAGGGAGTTCTCATTGGCATGTCAAGCAGGCAACTTCTCGTATCCGCCGTAATTGAAGCATTACATAGCGATTACATAAACGTGCTTCGATTAGCTTAGACGGTCGTGTGTGCATGTGTGCATCAAAAGTGCATTTGATAATTCACGATTTGAATGCGGTTCGCAAGCATATAGGAGTTGCAACGGGGTGAATATTAATTGGCAATCGGCTTCGCTATGAATGAGGGCGGAATGCTTAAAAACCAGACTGTCTTTGCTTTGACTTAGTGGGCAAAGTCTTTGAAATGTTGTGTGCCATGATATACCACAAATTCCTGAAGAGAATGTGCTGGACAATGTCAATTGTGTATGTATGTGTATATGTATGTACATGTATAGCAGAGAAGCAAAGAGAAATTACCTTCAGCCTCATGAGAAACCAAAAACACATCAACTGCAAGTTAAGGATATGTGGACTATCTAGAGGAATCTATGTCCACTGTGTTAGTCGACTTGTTCATTCTTATCAAATTAAGGAGCGGTTAACGTTAATTTCGAATAAGTAGGACCTGACTTTTGTATGCTACTTTGGTTTGAGTGGAAGTGGATTATTTTGTTTATAATTTTTTTTTTAATTTTTACTAACTGTGACAGTTTGTGCCGGAACTACCACAGATGCTACGTATCGACAGTTTCTATAAATAAATAATGCAATAGAAATGTTTTATTTACCAAAGATTTTTAGATCGTATAATCCATTAGCATCATATGAAATTTACATTTTTAATGCTAATGCAATCTTCGAATTTGGTCTAGGATTGAAACAAAATTGTCGATTTACAAACTTTGGACCAAATTCACTTGATATTAGTTTTACAACCGTTCGGACTTGACTAATGTTAGAAAGAAAGGTTACGATGTTTCAAATTTAAATAAAATTGGGTGAAACGGATAGAAAAAAATGCTCAAACTCCACATTAGACTGCGATCCTGCAGACCTCCGCAAACCTAAATAGGTATGGGGCATATAAAATTGTGATCATATTGTTGGAGTTCAATATCTTCATATTGTACCGTTGATGGGCGAGAATACATGACCAATTAACTAAATTATTTGATCAACAAATGTCTGCTTACACATTTAAACAATATAGAAAACATTTAAATAATTTAAAAGGCTTCGTCGACTATATATATCGTCGGCAATAGACACAGATTTAGGGCGCATTTAGACTATGCCCTCTTAATCGACTCGCTTACTAAATCCTAGCTCTTTAGACCATTATTAAATGGAAAAGTGTCGGCCAGTTAATTTAGAAATGTGTATGTATACGCAATAAATTTCTAATTCCACATTGCTGAACAGGTGTAGGAAATGTGACGCATTTTTGGTACAAAAACAGAATTATCTCGTTTCAGCACAGAATAAAATAAATTTGAAATTTATTTTAATCATCAAAAATGACACCAGATTTGTCCCAAGGTTACAAAAAATGGTAAAACCTTGGAGACGCATCAGAATCAAAAGTGTTATGCCTTGGTGGCAAAGAACAGACTAAATAAACCACAAAACAGTCGCCTAACATAACAATTTATTTTATGCCTTTTTAGGGCGAAGGATCATTCATGTAAATGGAAAAGGAAAGCCAGGGAGATACTACATTCCCACCACTTTGCCATACGTTTCGCCGTTGGTTAAGCGGCTCATCAGGCATATTGGGCAATGTGGCTTACAAATGTCTTTACTTGATAAGTTGTATTTATGTTGACTATTGTTGTGGCGCCTTAGCGTTCAAAGCCACCTCCTTGTCTTCCAAAGGTTGCACAATGTGCAGTTGCATACCATTGAAGAAAAAATATTGTAGTCTGTATGGAAAAAAAGTCCGTCACTACAAGAAAAATCTGCTCTGAAAAGGAATGTTCTGGTGTGATGCCAAATGTCCGAACCTTGAATTTAATTCGTAGATGCAATTTCGCAACAATAGTCGACATAAATACAACTTATCAAGTAAAGACATATGTAATCCACATTGCCCAATATGCCTGATGAGCCGCTTAACCAACGGCGAAACGCGTCGCATAGTAGTGGGTGTGTGGTATCTCTCTGGCTTTCCTTTTCATTGCTACTCCGATCAAGTAGCTCATCTCGAAAGAGAAATTAATAAAAAAAAAACAATTTATTGCTTCTCCCTATTCGTAATTCATTTGCCACCTAACATGGTTGTTGTAAGTTGTACTAGTGTCAACGCCATTTGACAGAAAAATGTAAACAAACAAACAAATTATTGCTCTGTTCCCGTACTGCAAGAATCTACTCGATTTTACTATTTTCTTCGATATCATAAAGGAAAAAAGTGTTATCGGAGTAAAAATAGTAGATTCTTGCAGTACGGGAACAGACCATATATTAATTTTTCCATCGCTTCCAAATAATTGAGTCATTGTCACATATATTTGTAACACATTGTATGAAAATATTGGGAATTGCCAGTTACTCTATGAAGAACGATTTGCTTCCTCAAACTTTCCAGGCAGGCAGATTGAGTAAATTTAATACGGGAGGACATTTAATGAAAGAATAATTTCGAGTTGTATGCGTTCCCAATTTTCCTGTTGGGTGATTTTTAAAAACATATGATCTGTTCCGGTACTGCAAGAATCTGCTATACTTTACTATTTTCTTCGACAACATAAAGGAAAATTCGTTATCGTAGTAAAAAGTAGTAGAATCTTGTAGTACGGGAACAGCCAATAATTTGTCATATTCATATTGACACTAGTTTACGTTGGAATCAAATCAGCTGGGTTTTGCTGTTACCTTTAATGATTGTACCATGGTCACCTAACAAAAGCAATGCAACACAACTATCGTCTTGAATATTAACGGTCGTTCAAATTATTGCCAATTTGAAACGGGTGTTGCCATCTTCAGATTTAAGTTGTTGCAGATAGGGCAATGATAAATTAGTTGACGGCGTATCGCCGATATGAATCAAATTTGCAACAACTATTGCCAGTGTGGAATTGACATTTGAAATTTACTGGATTTGAAATGATGATGACGATAAATTCGACTGAAATGGACTAAACATAAAAATAATCAAAAAATCATATCAGCAAATAGATACAAAATTATTATTTTCATTCACGAATTCGAAATTTGATATCGTTGTAAAAATAGTGCGGGGACAAAAAATACTTCAGCAGTTATCAAATTTACAAATAAATTAAACAGAGTAGTTCATTCAATAAAAATCGATAAAAGAAAAATCGATGTATGTATTCGGAACTCTCGAATTGAAACTGAGTACTCGATTAGTGGCGGGTAGTTGACACATTTACAACCCTAGTATCAGCTGTCAAAAGATCTAGCGCAACTGAGAAAAATATTTCAGTTTTTGTGTTGTTGCTGTGCGTAATAAATAAATGTTCAGATGTGTTCGCACGAAACTCGGTGTTCGTTTAATCTGAAATAAAATCGCAAAATAAAAACAAAATAATAATTGGAACAAAGCGAAAAGTGATACGAAAAGTTCATGCAATTTTTCGGTACAATATTCCGTTCAAACTGCTGCGAGTTGTGAGTGTTGCGTGCGTACGAATTATAAGAATACGAGTTCAGAGAATCGAAAAGAAAATGCAAACCTCTGCTAGGCGACATTCGTTAATTTATTTACTGCTGTGCATCGGTGTGAAGTGAACTGCCAATAATAACGAAACCGGATTTGTTATCAGTGACAAGGAAAAACAAATTAAATATTGGCGAGCTCCATAGAAATTAATTAATAAAATATAATCGACAAAAAAATTAATTTGGCTTCTTGCATATTTTTTTCGTCGAGACGAAGCACTTGACAGCAGTTGTCATTTCCAATTCTCTTATTGTGGTCCATGTGCATACCGTTGTGCATTGGAGTGACAAGGATAACCATATTCTCAGTTTGTTTGGGAAAACGTGTGCCGCTCTCTGAGCTCTCATAACTTGTTATTTGTTTGTGTGTGTGTGTGCTTGTTGTGTCTCTTTGTTGTTTTGCTTTCGTATTCGTTTTAGTAAAGCCCACACCAATTTTCGATTCCAATTGGATTCCTTTGTGGTTTTTGTTTCGTCGATAATTATTTGTCCAAAATAAAATATGTTGAGAAGTTATGCAGAATAACTTCGACGTGCTGATGCTGCTGCCGCCAAACAAAAGAAAAAAACTATTATTGTGGGAATACAGCATCGCCAATGTTCAGCGTACTTAGTTTGTAGATTTTGTGAGCCCTCCCGCATACGCTTTTGTAAGAACGAAAGGCTTAAATGCACTTTACGGACACCTCTCAGATCATTTTGAAATTTTTATCATAGGTAGCCCTTCTGATGCTGATTACAGCAACATAATTTTTTTCGGGGGGAAATCAGTACTTTCCGAGATATGGGGTTCCAAAGTTCAAAAAATACCCCCACTTTTTATTAAATATATTTAAGAATACCACTCCGAAACATTTAAATTTCTTGCAACACATAGTCCTTTTGGAGCTGATTACAACCTAATTATTTTTTTTTTTGGAGAACTTCGTACTTCCGGAATAATTTCAATTTTTTTCTAATTTTTAGAAAAAAAATTGAAATTATTCCGGAAGTACGAAGTTCTCCAAAAAAAAAAATAATTAGGTTGTAATCAGCTCCAAAAGGACTATGTGTTGCAAGAAATTTAAATGTTTCGGAGTGGTATTCTTAAATATATTTAATAAAAAGTGGGGGTATTTTTTGAACTTTGGAACGCCATTTTCTAAAATTATCAGAGAGGTGTCCGTAAAGTGCATTTGTTCCGAACGAAATTCGATTACGCTCTGAATCCACTGTGCTGCGTAACAATTTTGCAATTCCCTCATAGCGCGGTGTCATTCATTTATCATAATTGTGGTGGCATTACGTTACACTTTTTCCGTGGATTCCATCAAATTAAGCAAAACAGACGGCAAACACATAGCACGGCAGCAAAGAGAGCCCCATTCGAAATTCTTGCAGTGAATTCCATTGCCCACCCCACAAACACCCCCCGCCACACGAGATTCGTTTATCATTCTTTTTACTTCTTTGTTTTATCGTTGTTTCTTTGTTTTTGTTGCAAAGTCAAAGTCGGTCGTTTCTGGCTGGTGAATGAGCGAGCGAGTGCCTGTGTGCTGCCTTTTCTACATCTACAGTACATGTCTATCTGTCGGCCTGCCTCATAAGAAGCCGAAAATAATTCTAAAGATCAACAATCAATAATCGAAGAACTTGAATCGTGACTAATGCACCCCATGGAGCGAAGCATTTCTGCCGGTGGAGGCACTACTAGCCAAACAACGACAATGGCTACGGCAGCAGCGCAAACAAATTCTAAAGAAGGTGAGTAATGCGTCATACACTTGAACCGAACTCCGGTGTTCACTTTCGCTATTTCTCTTTTGATAATCGGGAACATCAACATCGGGAACATAAAATTCAATAACCTATATAACCGAAATGTATTAGCAGGACAACATGTCGTATGCCTTTCTGTAACTTGGGAACCAATTTAATGCACGAATGGCATTTCCTTTTTTTGTTGTTGTTGCGAACTAAGAGTAGTGCTCCTACGTTCGGGAAACGTGAGTAGTAGGCATTGTTTTAAATTTAACCGTTTATGTTCGGAAATGTTTTCCGTGAGCATAGATCTATTTTCTGTGCACAGGTCTAATGCAACTATCCTAGATAGGATATGTACAAATTTTGACGTCACTACATACTTGCATTCGGGAGACACAGCACATTCTTTATGGAAATAAAATTCCAATATCAAGAAAAACAGAGGGAAGGCCTGATCAAAACAGTATTTTAGCTAAATCAGCCGTAAAGTAATACCAAAAAAGTTCGACCGATAGAATTCAACACCCTTTTCGACTGTTTGTTTTTTTGTTAATTACTACTAAAATGGTTGTATTGTTACATATGTGCACTTCGGCAGTCATACGACTTTCAGAGGCAAAACCAAACTTTAAATATTAAATAAATCAAAAACAATTAAATTTTTGCCAATTCTCCCTTAACACTTTTTTGTATAAATTTAGGAGTACTATCAGTGGTAGAAAAATTGAGGGCCACCGGTTTTTATCTTTCGAGATAAAAGCCACAAAAGAGCGGTCACTCACTCACGCGACTTCAAATATACATCACTGTAGACACCATAGCTAATAATGGGGAAAACTCTGCGAATGGTGTGAATATTTTGAACTTTTTATATTCTTTACATGAATAAGAGATATCAAGCATTATTATTGCACTTTCAAAATTTGGAATATCGTTTATTTGCGAAGGATTTTTCTCTGTCACTCAAGCGACGTAACTCGGTCGACATTTTTGATTTTGCAGTTTTTATTTCTGCAGTGTCTGGATTTATAATCTTTAAATTAGTATTTATGCTAAGAACAAGAAGAAAAAATGACATTGCCGTTAATTCTCGTATTTAAGAAAAATTAAAGAAACAAATTCTTCGACTTTGTCATATATGTAGGGGAGAGGGGGGCACCTTTGAACGTGAGGCACCTTTGAACAGCGCTCATAAAATCTTGGTTTAAAATTTTTCCGACCCGCAACCACATATATGGCAATCTTGTTCTCTATCTGCGTAAACCACTTTGGCTAGCTTCTTCAGTTGTCGACAAATTGTGCATGGGTGACCATGTTTTCGCAGGGTCATTGTAAACATTTATTCTTTTGGTTGTAAGGGCGCAGGAAGAATTCAGTGATAGTTTTCTTTCGTTAAACAAATTTTTTGCATTCGAACAATTATTTCAAAAATAACTAATGTATATTCTTTCATATATATTTTCTACAAAAAAAGTTATTATAAATTTCCGTAAAATACCACAGGTGGGGCACCTTTGAACATACCCAGTAAACTCCATTAAAAAACGGAGTTTTTAACTTTTGGCTTCGATTTCTCAAAAATTTCAAATGGGCTAATAAGATTAAGGAATTAGCTGTATTTCTCACCATATACATTTTTGTTTTTGAGTCATTTTATGTTTTAATAAATTTTGATCAGAATTTTTTAATTTTCGAATATGTTTGTATATATTTTTAATAAATAAATGCATTTCTGATATATATGAATACAATACATATATATTTGAACATAATCACTGTTAAAAACATGCCTTTCAAAAATACCAAGGTTTGTTTAAAGATGCCCCCCTGGGGGGCAAATTTGAACAATTTGACTTCCTCCATTAAAACAGTAATAAAATATGTATATCAAGCTTAAAGTATGTCATATGTATATTCATTTTAAAGGTTACATATGTACCTATTAGTTAAAACTTATAAGAAACCAAAAATTATAAAATAAAAAATTTTATGAGGCTTGAAAGAAAAAAGTGTTCAAAGGTGCCCCCCTCTCCCCTATGTTTTTTTATTATAACTAAAATATTAAAACATTTTATGAAGATAATAATGCTAAATTAGTAAAGCTAAAGAAAATGGTAAATTAACATTTTGCGGCTAAATACAAAAATAAAAAATGTGTAGATCTTATTAAGGGGTAAAAAATTTGCTGAAGAGTGAAAATCCATATTTCGAGTAGTTCATGAGATAGGCTTACGTATTATTTGAAAAGTCGCCCCAAATCGACACATTTAAATTCGGGTTTAAACAAAAACCTTAGCTAATAATTCAAACTAGGGTTGTTTTTAGTAAAATCATAAGCATCCTACTATATTAAAAAAAATCCTTTAAATGCAGTTATTTATTGAAACTTTTTAGAATGAACTGCCCAACAGGGTGCGAAGAATGATTAAAATACGCTCTTTCTCAAGAATGCTCAATTTATCGCGAATGATTAAGTTACAATGAATGCACAAGCATTTGCAATCTCTCGCGAGTGTTCGCATTGTACGAAAAATTCACGAACGATACAATTTCGTTGCAAGCGTCGTTGATTCGTTCGCCAGCATTTGTTGCTGAAGAACATTATTTTGAAAACTCAAAAAACAAATGTTCGCGAATGATCGCGAGCACTGTTAAAAACAACAACAAACAATAATAACTTAAAAAAAGTAAACACACACAACGAATGAATGTGTGTGGAATAACAAAACACATGTAAAACAACTATTGAGTTCACGAACGTTTGTTGTTGCTGTTTTAAGCATTCGCGCGAATTCGGGAATGTTTGTTTTCATTTGTGAGAGAATGTCAGAAAGAACTTCAACCACCAAACGGAACGAACGATCGTTGTTGTGTGTTCTCACTCGTTTCTTATTGGCGAATGCTCGTTTGGTAAAGAATTTATCGTAAAATGAGCACAGAACGATAAGAATGTATTTTAATTCATTCGCGAGCGAATTTTTGCGCACCCTGCTGCCAAATTATTGCATTATAATTTATTATATATTTATTCATAATTTATTAAACTCGCTGCTGACTTTAGGAAATTGTTATCCAATTCTCGACAGTGGCAAACTCATGTGACCGACTGAAAACCAATATTGTCTAAAATCACGCAAAATCATTCTATGTTAATCGGACTTTGAAGGGCATTTTTAACATTGATCCTAATATTGAGGTAAATTTATTAACATAATGCTTCTTTTCCACCCATATATCGACTAAAGGCAAGGGAAACCTTAAATACCGCAATTACAAATACTTTCAATTCGAAAGTGTTTTATTTTCATTACAATTAAAAATCCGGATAACAATTTTAGTATAGTTTGACATCTTTAAAAATCGAAGTGCCACTATTAATTACAAGCAACATGGAGTGTCTTTAGAGTTACAAGTACCGCATTGTCAAGATCCTATCTGATATGATTATTTAGTTATATGATCTCAAATACAAAAGATGCCGACTACTGGTCAGTGTTCGTAAACATTAAATAATATTTTAGTTTTACAGTTCCGGAGCACTGAAAATCGCAGTGTTTCAGCACATACAGGACTAACTACTCTAACAATGTGGTGGTCTTGTACCAAACATGTTTTTTGATGTATGAAAATAATACAAAAAAAAAAAAAAATACTATTAAAATATTTTTAAAATTAAATTAATTTTAAAATGATTTGAATAAATATAAATAAATTATGATAATAATTAGCATTTTAATGGGAGGGCAAGTGGTGAAATAAATTGGGGATGCATTGCAAATAATATATTTTTTATATGTATTCTTTTTTTTTAACAAAACGGTTTAGAATCTGAAAAGTATTGCTTACCTATTTCTCTTTTCAAATATTGAATTACCAACAATTTTCTAACAAATGTTATCTAAAGTCACATAAGACCACCTGAAAAAATCATAAAAACCACAAAATATTTATTTTAATTATTAATTATTAAGACCTATTAAAGACGAATGAATGTATGTTTGTCAAGTAAATTAATTAACGAAACAATATTCAAGTTTTAATTCAAATCAAAGCTGTATAATTTGCTTTTTGTAACAAAAACTGGCCAAATTGTTTACCTCAAATGGACACTATGTTTTCTTTTCTTTCTTTTTTTTCTGGTTACAAATACAGTTATATTGCGAATTCATTTTGTTTTGTTATTTTCTTTAGGGTAATTAGTACGTATTTGTGTCAAAAATGTCTTCCAAACTTTTGCTATTTTTGCTAAAAAGTTTTTATAAAAATTAAACAGCGATTTGATTTAGGTTAATGGGCTCGGTAACATTATATTACATGTGGAATTATTATCGGAGCCCCAAATGAACTCCCAGTCGATGGGTCTTTAGAGGTACCCTCAGGGATGCAACAGGTTATCGTCATAAAAAAGGATATGTACAATATGTACGAACTCTGGCCTTGTTTTTAATTGCAGAACATGAACATATTCGTTCTATACCTTATCCCTATTTGTGAATACAATATGTACGTGTGTGTGCTTCCAAACTATCATAAGCAATACGATAGCTATAAAAATAGACGGGTAAATAATAGATAAGATGTTTGTATCTAGTTTGCTCTAGTTTCAATTCTACGTTCAGTCTGTCTTCATTTTTTATTATTTTCTTCATTTCGTTGATAAGACAGAACTGTTTTATCACACTCATGTTGGAGAATTATATTTGAAGTTAAATACGATTTTATTTGCAAATCCCTTCAGTAACAGACAATTTTTAATTATATTATTTTTTAAAAAAAAAAAAAAAAAACAAGAAAATAGAACATAATGTTAAAATTGTTGTTGAAATGGAAAAATTGGAAATTCTGATATAGGTTTAAATGTATTTTCTCACGCATCAAGTATGTTAAAATGCGAAATGTTGGTGCTGGTGGCTTTAAGGATCATATTGACTGTTCGCGACTTTCTGATTTTACAATTTCAAGATTTATTTCAAATGTTTGACAAAAGATAAAACTGTGAA